GGGTTCGATTCCCAGCATCCCATATGGTCCGCCAAGCACTGCAAGGAGTAATTCCTGAGTGCATGATCCAAGAGTAATCCCTGTGCATCGTTGGGTGTGACCCAAAAGCAAAAAAGAAAAAGTGGTAAGTCTTAGGAGAGGTTGTCAGAGGCATGGTCAGGATAACTGGAGGGTCAAGGAAGGCTCTGAGAGGGGAAGATGTCTGGACAGACAGCAGTAGGCAGGCAGAGAGAAAGGATGTCACTCTAGGGGAGAGGACCCACTTTCATGTTTGAGGACATAGAGGTTGTGTACTGAAGCGAAGAGTAGAAGCATGGGTCAGAAAAAGGAATTAATGATTGAGTGCAACCTGCACTGCTGGCTCTCGGCAGAGTTCTTACCACAGTAGAAGTGCTCATATTTACGGAATGAATGAAAAGGACTTGGTGTTCGTCTTGAGGGTATTGAGGACCCATAAAAGGTCTTAAGCAATAAAATGTTTGAAAAAAATCCTTGGGTTTGGATGAATGGACCAGTGACCAGGGAACAGATGAGAAGATGAGGCCTGAGTGAAGTAAGGGCCTTGAAGCAGATTCAAAAGATGCTATAGTTAGGCTGTCCCTGCTCAAAAATGCTGAGTAAGACCTGACTTAGCCTTCCACAATCTCAGGACCTTCCTTGCAGGTTCTACGGAGAATTGGAGTGCCTGAGAAACAGCGCCATCTCTCCCATCTATTATTGGCTGTTGACATGGATTACGCCAGTGGTGCTCTTGGGTCTGTTTGTGACTGCAGTGATTCGTTTCTCCACCCTGAAGACCTATACTGCTTGGGATATCAAGACTGTGAGCCTCCCTCCCCAGACCCCACCCAGACCTTGCTAGGGAGTTTGGGATGACCTCTCAACCCACTCTGTTTGGGGGCCACAATCAGTGATGCTCAAAGCTTACTCCTGACTCAACTCAGGGATCATTCCTGGTGGGATTCAGGATCCTGTAGAGTGCCGGGGATTAAACCTGGGTCAGTTGCCTGTAAGGCAAGCACCCTACCCACTGTTCTACCTCTCCAGCCCCATCAATCCGCTCCTGACCTAAAGATCTAATCATCTCATTCTCTGACTCCCTGAATACTCACTTGTCCTCTGCTGTTTCACCTCTCACTCTTTCTTCCACAATCTTTTCTTTTCTGGGAACTTCACCATTCTGAATCCCTTTCCCATCTCTCCACAGTCAAACGAGTTGCTTCAAGAACTCCCAGATTGGTGGAATATTCTGATGATTATCCTTCTTTTCATCGTTATCTTTCCCATCCCCACATACTTATTATACTGCCTCATTCATAAGATTCCCTCCAGCCACCGGAACTCTGTTATCCCTTCAATGTCTTCCAAATGCCTGTCCCCAAATAACACACCTTTTAAAAATGCAGAAAATGAGAAAATGAGACAAGATCAAATTGCTGATCATATCACACCCCTTAAGAATGTCAAAAAGGAAGAAGTGAGACAAGATCAAATTGCTGCTCCCTCTATTGTGTGACTGCCTAACTTCATTTTACTGGCTGTCATGTACACCTTAAAATATCAAGCATGCCACTTTTAATGCCTGCTGCAATTATTGTTGTTCCTGATCCCAGAACTATATTCCCAAAGGTAGAGACATTATTTTTGGGTGGGAGGAGTAAACATTATTTTTTCGTGGGCCCTGGCTTTTATAGCCCTTTGCTTGGGCTCTATCCTTCTTGGTCATCACAATCACTGTGTTTTGCCCATCACTTTTCTTAGTATATACAAATGCCTACGGTATATACTGTCTACAACCATAACCAAACGTGCTGTTTCGGGTCTGCCCGGCTTGCCACATGGAATGGCAGGAGCAATGTTGTTGATCAATAAATCAGTCCACTGAAACTCCAAGCACTGGGTTTGAGATCTGTTTTATTCCTGTGAGTAGTTCAAATATTTAGGCTTCCCCCCAGGCATCTCCCCTCCCCTCTCCTCCCTGATCTTCCTCCTTTCCTCTCTCTCCACCCCTCTCCCCTTCCTGCTCTTTACCCCTCTTGTCTCCCCTCCCCTTACTTTCTTCTCCTTTTCTTCCCCCAAATTCCACTTTCTTTCCCTTCCTTTGCCTTGACAAATTTAGATATATTTCTAGACTTGCTTTATCTAAAGACTGGCCTTTTGCTAAGGGAAATTGAGCTAATAAAGGGGTCCACAAAAAAAAAGGGTAGAAACATACTTGCTAGTGGGATATGGTAGCTAAGCATCTAACTCCAGATCAAACCATTGCTAACCCACCAAGGTCCCAGAGCTGCTTGGTAAGCCATTGCTTGGTTTAACTACAGGGCCAAAATCAGCAGGCGGGTCTCTTGCAACTTGGGGAGCAGATGATTGTATAGCTGAGCTGAAATACTTCTCTAAAGGAGATGAGGGCTGTGGATAGAGGTGTGTGTTGTGTGTTGGGGGTTCCTGGAAGGTCCAGGAAATGATGATCCTGGGTGAGAACATGTGGCCCAGTAGTAAAGTGCCCGCTTTCCCATGTGATACTTGGGTTCTATCTCTAGCACCACAGAGAATAGAAACAGAATGGGGTTCTCTGAAGTCCTCAGATTTTGGGATTTCTGGTTGCTTAAACTGCTCCATGTAAGTTTCTGTGGGTGGGAAGAAAAAGACCTTTCTAGCCTTTGGTGGGTGAGACTCCAGGGATGTACTAGACTGACTAGATACCAGACATGGTTTCAGCTTTATTTTGTTTGTCTGTTTTTGGTTCATGCCTGGTGATGCTCAGGGGTTACTCCTGGTTCTTCGTGGACCTCTAAAGTTTCATACTTCAAGGGGCAGGAGAGATGGTACAGCAGGTAAGGCACTTGCTTTACACACGACAGACGCAGATTGGATTGCTAGCATCCCATATGGTCTCATGAGGACCACCAGGAGTGAATCTTGAGTGCAGAGCAAGAAGTAACCACTGAGCATCGCCAGGTGTGGCCCCAAAACCAAAAAATAAATTAAAAGTAATAGTTTTATGCTCCTCGAGCTCCATGATAGGACGATTGAAGGGGTGTCAATCTCCACATCATCACCTATTGGCTCCTGTTCCTTTTGGCCCCGCCCCTATTTCTGTGTCATCGCCCCTCCCCCATCCAAACGATCTGTTAGCTTGAAGACCTGGGCTGTTGAGGCAGGTAAGGTGGGGATTAGACCAGGTTTTTGGCTTTTCTTCGGCATCTACAAATCTGTTCTTAACCTCCTTAATTTGGGGAACTGGGTACACATCCTCTTTTTCTTCTTGCTTCTCCACTTCCGCCTTTGTGAATGGAACCTGTGGGAAGAGCGCTGCAAAACAGGCTCTTAGCAGACAGACTGAGAGGAGCAGAGAGCCAAGAGGGTGTTTTCTTCGCTTACTTGGTTCTAGAGTCCCTTGGTCAATGTCTGTACTATCCGACACATGAATGGGGTCTATCAACCATTGTCCCAGGGGTTACCGGTCAGAGAGGGATTTCTAGCGTGGTTTCTTCTCCTGGGACCTTATTGTCTAAAGTCAGCTTCCTGGAGTGCTCCTGTGTGCTGAGCAGGTCTTTGTGATAGCTGTTGGGAATCTCATGCTGCCCACACATGAGAACCTCATGAGGAAACTTCACACATGGCATCACATGTTTCTAAGAGTTCTCTTAGATCTAGGTATTGTCATTCCTCCCTGTCATCAGAGACCAGGGAGAAAGGGATTCACACTCTGAACCAAAAGGACATGTCTTGGAGCATCTGGCTCTTTTATTTCAGCAAATGCTTCTGCACATGCAAAAGAATTACAAGAAATTGATTTTTACTCATCACTCTATATAATAATGAATAATTTGGTTCCAATCTGGTTTTATCCCCTCTCCCTCCACACACACACACACACACACACACACACACACACACACACACTGTAGCAGTGTCTTCCCATTAATTTGAAGCAAAACAAAATTTGTAGTTTGTTGGTTTGGAGGCCTCACCCAGTAGTGCTCAGGGCTTCTAACTGTGCTCAGGGAACACCCCTGGAGGATTTGGGGAACCACATGGGGTGCTGGATATCGAATCTGGGTCAGCTACATGTCAGGCAAACATGATAACTGATTTTATTTTCCCTGGGGGAGTGCACACTCGGCAGTTCTTAGGGCTTTCTCCTGGCTCTGTGCTCAAGGATCACTCCTGGCAAGGTTCAGGGGACCATATTGGATAAAACCCAGGTTAGCTGCTTGCAAGGCAAACACCCTACTTGTACTATAGCTCCAGCCCTGGCCTTTTTTGTTTTGTTTTTTTACATACATATTAGGGTTGTATTATTTTTCACAAAAAAACAGTGACTTTAGTAGGAATTACATTGAACCTATAGATCAAACTGGGGAGAATTGACAGAGTATGCTATAGAGAGTTCTTTTATGTCATGAGGGAGATCTAGGGTCACACCTGGTGGTTCTCAGAGATCATTCGTGGCAGTTCTCAGGGAACTCTGTATTGTGCTGGGGATCAAACTGGGGCCAGCTGCATGCAGGCAAGCTCTGTAACCCCTGTATTATCTCTCCAGCCCCAGTTCTAAATGTTATTAAATTCTACAAGGGAAGCCCCATCCTTGCAAAAACAGGATGACCACTGTTAGAAAAACTATGAAAACACAAGAGGAGGAGCCCCCTCTATCTTCAGATACCAACTCCTCATCTCCTGCTACCTCTATACTCCAGTCTGAAAACTCCCAAATGCTTAGACCTTTGGACTCCAAATCCTCAACTTCCAAGATTTCTAAGAATCTTAAGTCTTCTACTACTTCTACACTCCAGTCTGAAAACTCCCAAATGCTTAGACCTTTGGACTCCAAATCCTCAACTTCCAAGATTTCTAACCTTAAGTCTTCTACTACTTCTACACTCCAGTCTGAAAACTCCCAAATGTTTAGACCTTTGGACTCCAAATCCTCAACTTCTACGATTTCTGAGGACCTTAAGTCATCTGATATCCCTGTGCTCCAGTCTGAAAATTTCCAAATGCTTAGATCTTTGGACTCCAAATCCTCAGCCTTCAAGATTTCTGAGAACTGTAAGTCTTCTGAATCGGTGCATTCGGATCAAAAATGGAGTTCTCTGCATTCATACATTTGGAATGATGAAAACAGAACACAGGAGACTATAGCTACACCAACTAGACCAATTAGAAAATTTTCCAGTACACGAACCTGCTGGTCGAACAAAACGGAGTTCCTTTTGGCCTCCGTGGGCTTCTCTGTGGGCCTCTCTAACGTCTGGCACTTTCCTCGCCTGTGTTTCAACAATGGAGGTGGTAAGCCTGGGGACTGGGAAGCACAGACCAGTATCAGGTGAGGAGCCGGAGGCCTTTTCAGGTGCCTCAGGAGTGTTGAAGGTATGGAGAAGCTTAGGATTTGAGATTTTGCCTGGGGCAGGCAAAATCCAGGTATGAAAAAATCTAGGCTGTGGGAAGAGGATGTGGGCATCCTCAGGTATGAGGATGGTGGTGTTTGAAGCCTGGATCAGCAACGTCCATAGAAACTATGTGTCTGAGCCTTATAGGTATTGAGGGCCAAGGAACTGGTCACCTAGCACCAGGTGGGGAGCGTTGTAGAAACAACTGAGCCCTAATGTTGGTGATCCTGAGGGAGGTTCATGGGCTAGAATCTGTTCTTCTGGATTTCTGAGAAAATTGACAAGTCAGCTGGCTCTCAGACACCTTCCCCGAACACCCCTGTGTAGGTACTTTTCTCCTCATCTACATCTTCCTGATGTTCTTGTTCGGCGTTCCTCTTCTGTTTCTGGAGATGGGAATTGGACAAAGGATGGGACTGGGTAGCACCGGTGCATGGAAGAACATCAGCCCCTGGATTGCAGGTTTAGGATATTCCAACTTCATGGTGAGGACCCTGGGCTGTCCTGCTCTATCTACCCCTCTCCCCCACCCATTCCCACTTGTTTTCTGGTAATAGTGCCATGATCTCACTTTCCCTTCATCCCCAGATCAATCCCCTTCCCTTCTGGTCAGACTTACTTCCCCTGACTTCAGAATTCTTCATGATTCCTAGGTGTGCTGTATCGTGGGCTCATACTACAGTGCACTAGTAGCCTGGTGTGTCTACTATTTGTTTCATTCTTTCCATTTTCCTCTCCCTTGGACATTGTGCCCCATACTGAAGAACTCCAGCGATCCTGGTAAGACAAGAAGAAAGAACTGAGAGATGGATAAGGATAGCTAGAGAGATAGCTTGATATGCACATGGCCAGCCCTACTTCCATCCTGGAACCACACAGGATCCCCCAAGCACTGTCAGAAGTGATCCCTAGGCATAGAACCATAAGTAAGCTCTGAGCACCACCAGGTGTGGCCTAAAAAGTTAAAAAAAATTTTTTTAAAGGTCAAGGCATAAAAGAAGGAAGGAGGATTGTTGAGAGACAAGGGACAGTTGGAAAAATGTGGGTCCAGGGTTGGAAGGTAGGGATGGGTGGTACCTGGTCTTGCAGTTTTCTCCATGGCCAGTTTACCTTAGATCCTGAATGCATGCGGACATCACCCAGCAAGTACTTCTGGTACCGGCATGTCCTGAAGGCCTCAGATAAAATCAAGATAGGTGGGCTGCCAGATGACCATCTTACTCTATGCCTCTTTGGAACCTGGTTTATTGTTGGCCTCTCCCTGATGAATGGACTGAAGTCCACTTCGAAGGTGAGTCACCCTCTAACTCACCAAACTGCTGACTCCCTTCTCTAAGAGACTCCCTAGTACTCTCCTCATTTGAATGTCTATAGATCTCCCATGTTCTCTCACCTCCTCATCTGGTCTTTGATTTCCAACAGCCTCTGATATCCCCCAAAGCCTTTACTAGCCCCGCAGTCATGGATTCATACCACTTTTGAATCATACTTCTACTTAGGTGCTGTATGTCTCAGTGCTCCTCCCCTACATCTTACTTTTCGGTTTTCTTGTGCGGAATGTCCAACTGGAAGGCGCAAGTTTTGGTATCATGATCTTATTGGATGCCAAGGTAAGGCTTTGCCAGTCCTTGAATCTTCTTGTCCAAACTGGGTGTCAGGGACCGTCTGATCAAATTCCTCCTCACTTCTTCCTTCATTTCCTTCTCACCTTCCATCTCCATTGCAATTTACCTTTCCTCCCTTTCCATCCCAACCTGCATGGTACTTCTCCTCCTCAGATGTCTGTCCTGTACTCGCTGGATATGTGGCACCAGACAGTCAAGCAGATATTGTTTTCCTTGGGCTCCGGCTTTGGCAGCTATGTGGCTATCAGCTCCTATATGCCTCGGTCCAACAACTGCATCTCTGATGCCTTTGCCGTGGTTATTTTCAACTTGATTTTCTCTGTTGTTGCAACAGTGGTTATATTTGCCCTCATGGGTCACATGGCCACAGAAAACATCAAAGAATGTTATCAGAGGTGAGCCCAACCTTTCATATGGAGATCCTTATGAAGACCAACATCTCAGAATAGCCACAGAGCACTGCATGGGCCCGAACCACAGGGACTCTCACTCAATTGGGACCCTCAAATTGGAACATCCCAGATGGTAGAAGCTCCTGACTAACTCTTTGATAGCTACTTTCTAAACTAGATATGGGGAGCTGGAGAGATAGTACAGCGGGTAGGGCATTTGCCTTGCACGCGGCTGACCCCGGTTCAATTCCCAGCATCCTATATGGTCCCCTGAGCACCGCCAGGTGTAACTCCTGAGTGCAGAGCCAGGAGTAACCCCTGTGTATCACCAGGTGTGACCTAAAAAAGCAAATAAATAAATAAATAAATAAACTAGATATGGTCCAGATGTAGAAGTTCTGCTGAATCATTATACATTTCTTTTATAAAAAAAAAAAAAAAAGAAAGAAAATGCACCTTGCTGCAGAGGGTGTCACGTAGCTCAGATCCTAAACTTTGTCTTCTTCTGAGGCATTTATTCAGAAAGTTCTCATCAACCACTGTAAAATTCTATTCTCTCAGCCAGGTGAGATAGAACAGGGGTGAAGGTGCTTGCCTTGTGTGTAACAGACCCTGTTTGGTACCCAGCCCCACATATGGTTCCCAGCACCCCAAGCATCACCCATCAAGAATGACCCATCAGAGCCAGGGATAGCTCCTGAGCACTGCTAGGTGTTGTGGCCCCCAGACACTATCTATAGGGACTAAAGTGATAATACAGCAGGTAGGGTACTTGCATGTGACTGATTACGGTTTGATTCTCCCAGCACCCCATATGATCCCCCTGAGCCCCACCAAGAGTGATCCCTGAACATGGAGCCAGGACTAAACCCTGAGAACTGCTGAGTATGCCCCCACCCACCTCCTTTCCCCCCAAAAGCAAACATAAAACACCGTCTTTTACCCCTGGCTGAGTTCTGGAAATAGAGGTGGTGACTTGTCCCCCAGCCCACTCCACCCCCTTAGGAAAATCAGAGTTTGTTAAGGAAGCAAGTACTGAGCCGATCATCACAAACTAGATGAGGACTGCTGATAGGAATGAGGAGGCTGCTGGCTTCCTGGGGAGCCAGAGAAGGTAGCATATCCTGAGGAGAGTGGTCCTGAATGCAGCATGTCCCGATAAATCACTACCCAAATTTTTTCAAATACTTCTCATTCAAAGACCTAACACTAAAAGAATTCTGAGTTAAAAAATAATTTTAAGGGGCTGGAGCACAGCGGGTAGGGCATTTGCCTTGCACGTGGCCAACCCAGGTTTGATTCCCAGCATCCCTGAGCACTGCCAGGAGTAATTCCTGAGTGCAGAGCCAGGAGTAACCCCTGTGCATCGCTGTGTGTGACCCAAAAAGCAAAAAAAGAAAAAAAATAATTTTAAGAAATAATAAACTGGATCACTCCCCACTACTTGACTGCTACCTGTTGATTTGTCCTTATGGAAGAGATCTAAACTGCTTTAAATGGTAGTCAGCAGAGTTCCCAGAGTCAAGGAAGGATTGGCTAGGGATTGGCTGTGGGAAGAATGGGGGTGGGGGTGGAGTAGGGTGGCTCCAGGCAGAGAAAAAACATGCAGTAAAGAGGAGAACTTGGCAAGTTGAGGGAGATTCAATAACTGAGCAGGACAGAAGGAAAGTGCAGAGAGTTGTACGTTAACGGGTTGGAGCAACTGGCAGGGCAAGACAGCTGAGAATGGGGCCGGAGCCATAGCATGCGGGGAAGATGCTTGCCCTGCATACAGCTGATCTAGGTTCGATCCCTGGCATCCCATATGGTCTCCCAAGCCTGTCAGGAGTGATCCCTGAGTGCAGAGCCAGGAGTAATCCCTCCACATTTCTGGGTTTGGCCCAAAAGGAAAAAAAAAGCTGAGAATGGAGCTAGAGAGCTAGTATGGGGCAAGACACTTATGGCTGTGGTGCCCCTGATTCAAATCCCTAGCACCACGTAAGTGGTGAACTGAACGCTGCTGGCAGTCAGGGAGCACAGGACCAGAAATAGTCCACAAGCATTGCTGGGTGTGACCAACCCCCCCTTAGAAAAAGTTTAGAAGGGGCCAGAGAGATTGAACAGCAATAAGGTACCTGCCTCCATGTGGTTGTGACCATGGTTCAGATCTCCAGCACCACATATAGTTCCCTGAGTACTTCTAGGGATCACTCCTGAACACAAAGCCAGGAAGAGCTCCTAAACAATGCTGGATGGGGCCCAAACTTTAGCCTTCCTTGCAAAAAAAAAAATCCCAGATTGTTATTATTTGGTGTCACACCCAGTGTGCTCAGTGTGCTTATTCCTGGCTCTGTGTTCAGGGATCGTTCCTTACAGGCTTGGGGGACCATATAGGGTGCTGGGGATCAAACCCCAGTTGACTACATGCAAAACAAATGCCTTACCTGATGTCCTATCACTCTGGTTTGATTGTGCGTGTGATACCCAGATTGTCTAATAGGAGTGCAGTCCTAAGACCCTCAAGAATACTGTGGTAAAAACCACTAGGGGTCCTCAAGTCAGAAATTCTCTGGAACATCTTCTGACTATGAAAGGTGGTATCATGCTGGGTAACTGAAAAGCTCAGTAAGGGGTCTGCTCCCTCAGCTATAAACTACAGCCCAGGTTACCTTGAAAGGCTCACTGGTCTACTTTGATTCTACCCCATCCACAGAAACATCAATATATTGATAAATCTGATAAATAACGGGGTGCTCCCTGCCACGGTGGGATTCCCAGACAGTGCACAAAGCAATCTCAGTGCCACCTACTTGGTGTGGTTGGAAGGCCTCAGTGAAAAAGACAGAAGCCTTGTCAGATCCCACCTGACTGAGTGTGACTTATATAAGGAAATGAAGGAGGTAGGTAAGGGTAGGGCGTGGGCCCCAGAATTCCCCTCCAAGCCCCCTGTGTACCAGCTCCCCTCAGGTCCAATCCAGAAAGGCAATGCTCAGCTGCATTACAAACAAATAGGACAAAGGTACTCAGATCCTTTTGTGTCTGGGCAATGTGAGTCCCTCGGTACCAAGTTGTGGAGTTGGCATCAGGCAGTTTGCCCCAAGTCCACAGGGTCCTAGTGTCACAGGTGTCCCTGAAGGGAAGTCAGATGAGTCTAATGAAATTCACTGACATGCTCTAGATCATTTCCTAGGAAGAGGGAGGGGATAGGAAGAGACTCAGGATTCCAAAGGCTGAGCTCAGAGCCCTAATGATGCCTCTGGTCCTCACAGATCATGGGGAGCTCAAGGGTATTCCTCGTGATACTCACCAGCATCATCGACGGGTTTTCTAAGCCCAGCATCGTTGCCATCCTCGTCTGTTTCTTGCTGTTGAACGTGGGACTGAGCACCTTGATTGGGATTATGCAGGGCATTGTTACGCCCATCCAGGATACACTCCCTGGTCCCTGGAAGCAAACAAAGTGGCTGACAGGTACCCTTGCCTAGAAAACACCTTCACCACTACCCCCACCACCAATGGCTGTGGCTGAGCTGAGCCCTGCCCACTCCTGGGATTTCCCCCCTCCACAGTCCCAGTTCCATTCTGAGCTGGAACTAAATCTGATGTTTTCCTCTAGTGAGCATCTGTATGACCATGTTCCTGGGCAGCCTCACTTTCATGACCCCCTCGGGCAGCTATCTCGTGAACTTGCTAGATGAACACTGGCTTCCTCTGCCCCTCTTTGGCATTATTACCTTGGAGATTGTGGCCATTACCTGGCTCTATGGGTCCAGGAGGTAAGGACCCTCAGGCCTGGGTTGACAGTCAGTCTCAGCACACAGCTGGCAGAGTGGGAAGGAGAGAAGCTCAGGCATTTTTGGAGAAGACAGCTGTGAGGTGGGGAAAGTGGTGAATGACCTAAGGCAAGTTCTCGGGCCTACTGAGACCTTTTTTAGACCAGGCTAGTGTGGGCATCTCAATCACGTGATTCCCTGCTGCTCTGTGCTCTGTGGCCCAGCAGCCTAAGGATCACCCAAGAGCTGCTCAGACATGCAGAACCTCAGGCCCCAGCCCAGACCTTTAGATCTGTGGTTGCACTTCAACAAGAGCCCCATGTGCTTCTTGTTCATGTAGTTGCAGGAAGATTTTCATCTGGAAGCACCATGGAATCAGTGTTTCTGGATAATAATGGTTTTTGGCATCCTGACACACATCCTGACACGCATCCTACACGCATCCTGACATGCATTCCACACACATCCTGACATGCATCCCACACACATCCTGACACGCATCCACACATCCTGACATGCATCCCATGTGCATCCTGACGCACATCCCACACACATCCTGGCACATCACACACACATCCTGCCCATGCACATCCCAAAACACATCCCAGCAGACATCCTGACACATCTTCCATGCATCTTGACAGACATCCCACATGCATCCCACACAAATCCCAACACACAGCCCAAAATGCATCCCACACACATCCCACACACATCCCAACACACACCCAACATGCACCCCCATACATCTCAACACACATCCCAACATGCATCCTAAACACACCCTCACACGCATCCCACACACATCCTGACACATCCCAACATGCATCCCACACACATCCTGACACACACCCCAACATACATCCCATACACATCCCAACACACATCTCAGCATGCATCCCGACACATCCTCCATGCATCCTGACACATCCCATTCCTACATGCATCCCACTCACATCCCAACACACATTCCACATGCACTCATCTCAGGTCATTCTTAAAGTATAATGCCAGGCAACCCTGGTGGTGCATTCTGGGAGACTATGACAGACTCAACTGAGTTTTCACTCTCAGAGTCTAAGTGAAGAGTCATATGGGAGCAAATCACTGGTCAGGGTAGAAATATGTGAGTTACAGTGAGAGCCCTCTGGGGACACAGATGTGTCAGGCAATTGCCTGACACATTGTGGGGGAATTGCTTGAACAGAATCTAGACAGTTCAGGGCAGGAGAGACAGTATGGTGGAATGGGAGCTCGCCTTGCATGCAGACAACTTGGGTTTAATCTCTGGAACCCCATATGGTTTCCTGAGCCTGCCAGGTCCCAAAGCACTGCTGGAGTGATCCCTGAATGCAAAGCCAGGAGTAATCCCTGGGCTCTGCTAGTAGTGATCCCAGGAGTAGTAATTCCTGAGCACCACTAGGTGTGATACAAAAACCAAAATAATAATAATAATTTTTAAGTAGAAGATTTGGTGAGAAACTGGTTAGAGAGGGGAACAGAAGGGCTTCTGGAATGTTAAACATTCTCTCAGGTTGGTTTGTACTCCCTCTTCCCAGGTTCCTTGCAGACATGATCACCATAATGAACCGTCCCACCTGGCCAATCTATCGGTGGCTGTGGAGCTATGTGATTCTTCTTCTGCTACTGATCCAGATTCTGAAGATACTGAGTCAGATGCCCATGTTGAACATCACCTACTTAGCCTGGAACTCGAGCACTGTGAGCCTTCCTCCCCTAGACCTCAGGAACCTCTAGGGAGTAGGGAGGAGACCAGACATTTCTCTCTACGCATCCATGGGATCCCCCCGTTTCCTGAGGATTCAGTGATCTGTCTCACCCTCTGAAGCCTTCCACTCTTGAAAACTGGGTGTTCCAAAACCTTCTGTCCTTTCTTTACAGTCAAAGGAGGTGATCCGAAAGTACCCGCCCTGGGCCAAGCAGTTGTGCACTTCCATGATCATCTTCACCTTCTTGCCTCTCCCAGTCTACTTTCTGTATCACAGCTTTCAAGTGGTTTGTTCCAGCCCTTCGGCCCAAATGACCTCCACTGTCACTAACACTGAAATGAGGGGCTGGAGAAATAGTTTAGTAGGGAGGGTGTTTGCCTTCCATGCAGCCACTCCAGATTCAACCCCCCACATCTCCTGCAATTCCTTGATCACCACCAAGAATGAGCTCCCTGTGCAGAAACAGGAGAAATCCCTGAGCACTGGGACTCAAAACAAAACAAAGAAAGAAAAAAATTAGCAATACTCCTACTTAAAAAAAGGAAAAAAGAAAGAAAGAAAAAAGGCTGGCAGAAAAGAGGAGTTTCAAGGGACAGGTCACTAAAACCAATGAAGCAAAACCCAAATAAAAGTGAATAAAATATAAAATAACCAGAAGAAACATTTTCTGCACCCTCCTTGCCCACCAACCCTGAGCAATGCCTCTAACAAATAAAGCCTGGACTCACTCACGGTCATGTCACTCCCTCAAAGTAGAATTCTCCCAAGCTAGAAACTTCCCACTTGGAAAGGCAAATGGAATGAATGCGAGCAGTGTAGCCCCATGGGCCCTCTCTCCTCTGGTCTGATGGAGACGAGCACAGCAGTCACTTGCTCCTTTGCCAGCTACAATAAAGGTGTCCATTGTTTCTGTGTCAGGTTGATAGTGACTGCTGACCCCTGCACCTATGCGACTGTCCTCTTAGGGTTTCACAGCCCTGGGTTGGATCTGGTTTCAGGACAAAGATGGTACTGGCGAGGCATGGACTTGAGAAACACACATTTTGTCTTTAAAATAAAAAATCGGAGCTGGAGCAATATTACAGCAGATAGCACAGTGAGCGATAGTACAGTGCCTTGCTTGCAGCTACCATATTTGATCCCCAACATTCCATATGATCCCCTGAGTAATTCCTGAGTGTAGAGCCAGGAGTAAATCCTGAGAATTGCTGGGTGTGACCTCCTCCCCCCAAAATAGCTGCATTCTCTGGCACCACATGCTCCCCTGAGCACCACCAGTTGTGACCCCTCTCTATTCCCTGAAAAAATGAGTCCAGGGCTGGAGATAGTGTAGGGGTTAGGGTGAATGCCTGGCATGCACCTGATCCTGGTTCCATCCCTTGTACCACATGGTCCATCATCATTAGGTATCTCCCTGAAGACCCCTGGATAATTCTGGGGTGAATATGGGAAGCCCAAAGCATCACCAGTTGGTTCTGGAAAGCATCAAGCACCGGCCCCCAGCATCCCAGGGCCTCAGCGACACCATGCCCTCTTCTTCTGGCATTCAACCTTATGCCCTAGGAATCTGAGGATTGCTGGGAGCAGTCCTGAGGCCCTCTGGATGTCATTTGTAAAATCCCCATCTGAAAAAAAAAAGGTTCAGTGGCTGTAAAGATGACTCAGGATTAAAGGACACCCAGGGCAATGGTGAGGGGGTGAGAGCACGTGTAGTCCCTGTGCCTGGGGGAGGGTCAGGGCAAAGTGTCCGGTACCCTCTGGCTTGCTTTCCACAGTCTATGGCTAAATTTAATGCTAGAATTGCAGAGTCTCCCTGCCTAGTGCTTCTGTGAGGCAATGAGCCAATGGAGAATTTTCTCAGGAAATAATGGACATGCTGCAGGTAGGGCGTTTGCCTTGTACACTTTGCATGCAGCCAGCATGGCCAACCTGATTTCGATTCCTCTGCCCCTCTGGGAGAGCCTGGCAAGCTACCTAGAGTATCTCGCCTGCACAGCAAAGCCTGGCAAGCTACCCGTGACGTATTCGATATGCCAAACACAGTAACAAGAAGTCTCACAATGGAGACGTTACTGGGCCCGCTCAAGAAAATTGATGAACAACGGGAGGACAGTGATAGTTCACCCTGCTCACTGGTGACTTCCCGCATCCCTTAAATGCCTGGAGGAGCTAAAGGGTTTATAGAGTCTACCGTGGGACTCACAACTTTACAGAGATCATACAATTGTCTAATGTGCCCCAGGACTTGGAGGGGTTTTGGCAGCCAAGAGGGAGAGTGGAAGTTGACTTGAGAAGTTATAGAAGACCCAGAGGGAGCTTTGAGGCAAGATGCAGAAAACATTAAAAGATACCCCCAATACAATACCAAATAGATTTCAACAACTCTTCACATGTAGAGAAAAGCAAAGAAGAGATTGAGGAGAGTGTTGAAACCAAAAATGAAGCCTAATCTTGACCTCAGGTATTTGATCATGCTCCTAATCAGCAACTGTGTCAAATGTCGAATGCCACTGAACACCTTTAAATGCTCAGTGGTCATTTTGCACTTTACTGTGATATGCCCATTTATCTATAGGCTTGTGGATCCTTTTCAGAAATGTTATGTAGATATTGTGTGTGTGTGTTCCTGGTTCCTGGGTAGACCCAGGGCCTTGCACATATGCTCCCCTTCATTTCTTTTATATCATGTTTCAAGTGCTTGATATCAGGGAAGTGAAACCCTGTGTTGCAAATGTTGATCTCCTCGCTGGTTTGATGCCTTTGAAGATCACAGGTTTGTCCACAGTCATTCTTAGTCAATTGCATTTTCACTGTTTGCACTGTGATCCTTGACCTACTTGAGATGCATTTTGACCTAAGAAGCAGCATCACCACCAGTCACATTTGCTCCCCGTCACTGACTGATTTCGTGTTTTGTGGCTGGTTTGGCGTCAGTAGGGGGCCCACGTATGTCTGCTTCGGAATCAGTTTTCAAGATCCTGAAAGTGCACAGCGTGCGCGCTGGGATCTTCTGGCCACTGTGGGCCCATAGACTGGACACCCATCTTGGCTCCCTTGGTGCCTCTGTGAAGCGCCGCTCGCTACCAGACGAAATCTGCCTGGCAACTAGTGACGTCACACCATCGGCCGGGTATCAGGTGACCCCAAGGAAAATATTCCGAAGGCATCTGGGGCGCCCGCGATGGGAGAGCTGGCAGGGCGACCCGCGTTCGATCCCTGGCACCCCGAATGGTCCTTCGTGAATGCAGAGCCAGGGGTAAGCCCCAAGCATCGTTGGGTGTGGCCCAAAATACAAAAAATACAAAAATTTCGGAACTAATGTGCGCCTCGGAGCTCGCCCCTGAGCTCACCTCTGAGTTGCGGCCTCAACCTCAACCTGGAGGCGCCGAGCAGAGCCCTCCCGAGGTCACACGCGCCGGCTTTGGCCCCTGAACCCCCTCCTCCTGGGCCTCCAGCCACCCCCGGGCGCGCGCCAACCCCCTACGCCCCGGAGCCGAGCCGACCGGTCGCCTCCAGACTCCTCGCGCGGCGGTGGCGGGTAGAGCGGGGAGCAGCCGCACCGCGGATCTCCTGGGAGCCCGGCGCGTCCCTAGCCTACTTTCTGCGCTCCCACCTCCTTCGTTTTCCAGGATTTTAGGGATCCAGAATGCTCTGAGAGGGGGACCGACGGACCCCGGTGGTGAACGCCCCAGCAGAGCCTGGTGCCCCTGAGTATGGTTCCCCATCTGGCCCCTGCGGACTCCCTTGCGGCTCTAACCCCTAAAGAAAGGGGTCGGGATGTTTAGGGGTGCCCGTGAACGACTGGCTCCGAAGCAGACTCCTGAACCCCTGGATCAGAGAGTGTCTTAGCTGAACAGGTGGTGGCGCCTTTGATCCTCGGAGAGTCTCCAGGGGACCCGAGGCAGAGCAGGACTGACCAGTGGACCCAGCAGGCCAGGGGTTACCTGAGCGGAAACCTGCAGAACGGCAAAGAGGTGAGGAGCAGGTGGAAACGGGAAACGGCTTGGGCTGGAGTCAACGGGCACAAGGATGCAGGAGGCAGCTTCGGCAGGTTCCTCAGGTACTACAAGGGGCCCCCACACGGCCCCTCAAACACCTCCTAGAGTGACAGGGGAGCATGGAACCCCTAAACAATGCAGAATATGGCCCCGAAACAAAACATCAGGGCTGAGTCCATCTCCCATCACCACCACCCAGGGAGGTTTAAGGGAAGGAGAGACTTGATAAGGTTCAAATAATGATTCTGGAGCTTTAGTTGAGCCACCAAAAAATACACTTTAAAGAATATTTTACATGGGGCTCGAGAGAGAATACAGCAAGCGAGTGCTTGCTTTGCACGAGGCTGAGCTGGGTCTGATCCCCAGCATCCCATATGGCCACCCCAAGTCTGCCAGGAGTTATCCCTGAGTGCAGAGCCAGGGGTAAGTCCTGAGTACCATCAGGTGTGGCAGGAAGGAAGGAAGGAAGGAAGGAAGGAAGGAAGGAAGGAAGTAAGTCCCGGGGCTAGAGCGATAGGACAATGGGAGGGCATTTGCCTTGCTCCCGGCCAACCCGGTCTCAATCCCGGGCACCCCATATGGTCCCTCCCGACCCCACCAGAGTGATCCTGAGCACAGAGACGAAGTAAACCCAGAGCACCGCTGGGTGTGCCCCCACCCCGTGAGTAACATAAAATATATTAATAAAGGCCTGTTGCAAGGGGTCCCTTGAAGCCTGCTCTTCTTGGTGTCTCTGAGCTTTCTTTAGGAGTCAGTCGGCAAGACATGGAGACCCTTGAAGAAATATCCACAGACAAAGCTCCTGAAACACCCAAGCAGACTTCTGACTTGACATATGAAGCCCACCAGATTATGACCAAGGAGATTCTGTCAACCAAGACCAGGAGCTACCTCAGAAAGTCCAAGAAATCGGAGAACACCCTCAACCAGATCACCTTCTCCCTGGGCATGGGCAGCTTCTGGCGCTTCCCATATCTGTGCCACAAGAATGGAGCAGGTGCTGCTGAGGGCCTGCACCCTGAACTCAGAGAAGACGTTTTTGGGGGGTGAAGGGGTGGGTCTGGGAGCACCGTTGAGGTGTTCAGCAGCTCTGTGCTTGGGAGTGACCCCTGGCGATGCCCGGGAGATCCTGTGCAGTGCCAGGGTTTGAACAGAATCAAGATATGCCAGGCAAGCTCCTTCCTCTGTGTGGTTGGAGCGATAGTACAATGGGGAGGGCGTTTGCTTGCCCTGCAGGCGCCGACCCCAGCATCCCATATGATCCCCTGAGCACCATCAGGAGTGATTCCTGAGCACAGAGTCAGGAGTAAGCCTTGAGCATTGCCAGGTGTGACCCAAAACTAAAATTATTTATTTATTTATTTATTTTTGCTTTTTGGGTCACACTCGGCAACGCTCAGTAGTTTCTCCTGGCTCTGCACTTAGGAATTACTCCTGGCGGTGCTCAGGGGGCCACATGGGATGCTGGGATTCGAACCCAGGTCGGCTGCATGCAAGGCAAACCCCCTACCCGCTGTGCTATTGCTCCAGTCCCCAAAACTAAAATAATTTAAATTAATAAAATAAAGCTGGGAGCCCAGAAGCCTGGGTCTTGGGAGAGAACTGAGGGGGGAGGGGTCAGGCGCCCAGAGGCCTAGCTGATAAAGCAGAAGGGGATTAGAACCCCCGCCGCCTGGCACAGCTCCTGACTGCCTTCTTCAGGCAAACTATCCTTTATAGCTATTTGTTTCAATGGGGAAGCAACACTTGGCGGTGCTCAGGAATCACTCCTGGTGGGGCTCAGGGATCCTCTGGGGTACAGGGGATCAACGCCACGGCCTACCTGCTGCCCCATCTCTCTGGCTGCAGGCAGTTTTGTCCTGGTCTACATCTTCATGCTGTTGCTGGTCGGGATCCCTCTGCTGTGCATAGAGATGATCATGGCTCACTGGCTCCAGGCAAACAACATCCAGACCTGGGTGCAGCTTGTGCCTTCCCTGGGAGGCATCGGCTACATCAGCATGCTGGTGAGTGAAGAGCCCCTGCACCCCGCTTGGGCGCTTCCCTGCTGGCTGGCCCTGGGCCACCCCTCAGGCCCTCTCTGTCCTCCCCCAGATCAGTTTCTTCATGTCCTGTTGCTACAGCATCCTGATCACCTGGAACTTCTTCTACCTGATCAACTCCTTTGACTTCCCTCTGATCTGGGAGCAATGCACGCCGGGCCTCAACAAAACGAATCCTGGTGAGGAGCTGGAGTGATAGTACAGCGGATAGGGTGTTTGCTTTGCACATAGCCGACCTCGGTTCGATTCCCGGCATCCCGTACAGTCCCCCAAGCACTGCCAGGAGTAATTCTTGAGTGCAGAGCCAGGATTAACCCCTAAGCATCGCTGGGTGTGACCCAAAAAGGAAAAAAAAAAAAGACCGATCCTGGTGAGCAGAGGGGTCTGGGGCATGGACCAGCCCGAACCAGGGAGGGTCCAACTAGTGGCACAAAGGTTCTGCCTGCAGGAGCCCCACTTCCTCCCACAAGCACCGCCAGGAGGCGCCCCTGAACACTGCTGGCTGGGTGTCACTCTCTCGCCCTCCCCACCAGACCTCGCTTGCCTTCAGACCGTGTCCCCAAACTACTTCTGGTACCAGAACGTGCTGCGTGGCACCGACTACATAGAGACTGGGGTCCAAGTCCTGGTCTCGCACCTTCTGCTGCTCAACTTAGCCATCTGGATCTTCACATACTTCATGATGATCTTCCAGAACCGGCATTCAGTGACTGTGAGTCAAGCTCAGGTCAGGCGTGCTGCTCCAGAGACCCCGTGCTCCCCGAGCCAGCATACCCCTCACCACCTGGACTCCTTTTCTCTCTGTCCCCAGTCTCCCCCCACCCCACCAGGCGATAGACTCTGGAGTGGTTCCTCACTGACCCTCTCCCAGTGGAGAACAAGGCTCCCTTCTTTCATAGAACTGCCCTGCTCAGCTCCAGCCCTGATCCCTACACCCCCTGTTCCCTCCAGCACAGCAGCTGCAGTTTGGGGACCCATGAACATCACCCATGTGCTCTGGAGATCCCCAGTGTCTCGGGCCAGGCGTGGGAGGGGGCTTACTACATAGCAGGTGTGTCCCTCCAAACACAGCATGAAGGCGTGTCTTCCACTGACCTAGTCCCCACCTGAGCCTCCCCATCCTTCACTCCCACATCACTGTATCCAGAGCCTCAGCCCCAACATGACACCTGTGGCCTGCATGGTGGTGGGGGGCCTCCACTCACCCCGCCCCCTGCCTTTTCAGTCAGAAACTGCATTCCCGAGCTGGAGATAGAACAGCAGGGAGGGCGCTAACCTTGCACACAGCCAACCTGGGTTCGATTCCCAGGATCCCATATGGTCTCCTGAGCCCTGCCAAGAGTGATCCCCGAATGCAGAGCCAGAAGGAAGCCCTGAGCACCACTGGGTGTGTCCCCAAGAGCCAAAAATACAAATAAACAAAAGGATTGATTCCCCAGGTAGAAGGATGGGACAGGGGAAGTTACTAGCCTTGCACAGAGCCAACCTGGATCCATCCCTGGCACTATATAGGGTCTCCCACGCAATGCCAAGAGTAGCCTTTGAGCACTGCCAGGTATGGCCTCAACAACCCCCTCCAAAATAAAATAAACAACTCAAAAAGGTATGTATGCTCACCCACAGTTCCAGTCTGTCCCCTTGGCATCTGGAATCTTGTCTAAGAAGAAAATTGACTTCAGAACAGTCCCTGTTAGCAGGCTTTGGTGAGGGTGAAGCTCATTCTGATAAACCACATGTGTGTGTGAGCGTGTGTGTGTGTGTGTGTGTGTGTGTGTGTGTGTGTTAGAATCTGGAGCTTTGACAATGGAGCTCAACCTTGAGCAACGAGGTCTCCTGATGTCACCATTGAGGTGGTCTCCAGGAGGGGCTCCTGCCCTGCCCTTGATAGTGTCTTCTAGTTCCTGTATCTATGCTGGCAATTGATGCCCCAGGCCTGCCACCCCCCCCCACCAAATCATCAATCCCCGCCTCTCCCAAGAGGGCCAACTTTCCCAAAGGCTAGGTGGAGGTACCCCAAGAAAGGCAGGCCTCCCCAGAGCAGACACGCTTTAAAATTTATTATTATTATTATTATTTTTGCTTTCTGGGTCACACCTGGCAATGCTCAGGGGTTACTCCTGGCTTTGCATTCAGGAGTTACTCCTGGTGGTGCCTGGGGGACCATATGGGATGCTGGGAATTGAACGTGGGTCGGCCACATGCAAGGCAAATACCCTACCCACTGTGCTATCGCTCCAGCCCCCAAATTATTTATTTTTGTATAATCACCAAGTTACAAAGTGGACTGGATTTAAGGAATACAATATCCCAACACCGATCCCTCCACCAGTGTCCCTGATTTACCCTCAGAGACACTTTTCCCTTTTTTCTCGCCCCTTTGGGCACTGTGATTTGCAAAACTGTTACTGTTGGGCCAGACCTTATCACCTTGCCACCTCCAGCACCCCCGCCATCATCCAGAATGTCCACTTCCCTCTATCATTGTCATGGGGGGCTCTTCTCTGAACCCCACTATTTACAAGATTCCTCCTAAAAGCCGGCTCCCCTTCCCCTGTCTATTTGAGAGCAGACACACTTTACACTTCCCATCAGCCATGCTCCTTTCTCCACAGCCTCGACCCCTCCTCCTCCTTCCACCAGGAAATGGCTCAGCAGCCCCTCACCCCTCTTACCCCTTTGTAGTTTCTGTCCCACATTCAGACATGGGCCAGAGAATAATTATGTCCAACTGCACCACACGCATGCACGCGCACACACACACACGCACACGCACGCACACATGCGCTTAAAATCCGTCTTCCTTGGCTTCCTGAGGTGGAGGTGTTTCTCTGCTCTCAGGAGGGCTGCCTCCCCCAAGCAATCACCCCCACTCCCACCCAAGCCTACACACATACACGAACCCCGGCCTCTTCCTTTCCCCCTCTTCTGACTTCCGGTTTCTGTCCTGACCCCCTATGCAGATGCAGATTTTCTCCCTCTTCTTCCTCTTCTTCATCCTCCTCTGCCTCCTCATCCGAGGGTTCTTCCTGGGAACCAGCATCTCTGGCTTCAGCCGCCTGATGACCACCAAGGTGAGATCTCCTTGCTCTCCGGCTCCAACCCACCCCTCATGGCCCCAGTCCAAGTCCACTCCCAGTCACCTGTCCTGGACCCTGCCCCACCGCAGGAGACCTGGTTCTCGATGGAATTGTGGCGGCACGCAGGAGGGCATGTGTTATACTCCCTGGGCCTGGGCCTGGGTGCCATCAAGAACCCTGTCTTCAAGCCTGTGGACAACAACTACTTCTGGATGGCTTCCTTGGTGGCCCTGGTCAATCTGTTTGTCTCCTTGTTGGCCTCGGGCATCACCTTCATCATCCTGGAGTTCTGGATCACCAATAGCGGCCAGGCCTGTTTGTCGAAGTGAGTAACCCCCGCCTTGCACACATCCAACTCCACAACCACCTCCTTCAACCTCCCATCATCCGACCCCACAGAGGTTCTCAAAGGGAATATTTGAGCCCACCTACTGCTCTCCCTAGAGACTTAGCCTGACACAACAGAAATGCTTCGACCTCAGGGATAGCACATGGGTAAGGCACTTGCCTTGCATCCCCTTTAATCCTGGTTCAACCACTGGCACCTCTAAACCTGGTACCCTGGTGGTACTAGGGGTCCCTTCTGAGCACTGCTAAATGTGGCCTCAAGACCCAAAAAGAAAGAAGGTAAGAAGAAATACTTGGCGGTTTCTTTGTACTGGAGGCCAGAGTCCTGGCTCTGAGCCCAGCATGTCAGGGCTGGCCCCTGTGGAGAGTGTAAGGAAAAGGAGGGTTGTCCTCACCCCTCAGCAGCTCTTGGAGGTACTCCTGCCCCCTGCCCTGCCTTCCTGTGCACCCGACCTTCTCCCCATGTGCATCTCTGTGTTGATACCCCCCTTTGGGGCAAGGATCCCTGTCATGTTGATCTAAGATGCCCTGCTCCCCCTGACCTTAGATTCCATGACCTCTGCAAGGCCAAATCAGGTCACATTTAGAGGGTGGGTAGGGTGTGTGTGTGTGTGTGTATGTGTTTGTGTGTACGCATGTGTGCACGCATGTGTGCACGCGTATGTGTGCATGCATGTATGTATGTTCATGGGTGTTGTGTGTGCATGTCTATGTGTGTGTACATGCGTGTTAGAATCTGGAGATTTGACAATGGGGTTCAACCCACCACTTTGAACAGTGGGGTCTCCTGATGTCAGCGCTGAGGTGGACCCCAGGAAGGGCCCCCACCCTGCCCTTGACGAGTTTCTGGGCATCACCCCTTGGCTCATCCTGGGTGACTGGCAGAGAGCAGGGTGGGTGTGGCGGGAGGGGGGCAGCCTGTCTTCCCACCTTCCCTTCCTCCCTGGCCCCTTCAGCAGTGTCGCCAACTTGAAGCAGCTCATCAGCAGGCATCTGCTGCCTGAGAACGCGTTGCCCCCCAAGAGTGTCCTGCAGGGCCCACCCATGGGCTACATAGAGTGGGTGCGCAGCCTAAGGTGGCCACTGCAGAACCAGGTGGTACTGTCCGCCCCCTCGTGCAGTGTCAAGACGCTTCCGAACAAGGTACAGGGAGGGGTGCAAAGGGGGTTCCCTGTGAGTCCCAGCTCCCTGGAAAAGTCCTTCTCAGGGAACTGGAGCGATAGTACAGCGGGTAGGGCGTTCGCCCTGCATGCAGCTGACCCAGGTTCTATTCCCAGAATCCCATATGGTCCCCTGAGCAACACCAGGACTAATTCCTGAGTGCAAAGTCAGGAGTTAACCCCTGTGCATCGCCAGGTGTGACCCAAAAAGCAAAAAAAAAAAAAAAAAAAGCCCTTCCCAAGAGCCTCAGCAGATGAAGAGGACCCCTGGAGTCACGTCTCTCCACCATGTGGTTCTAGGCCAGTGTCTTTGCCGAGGTGTTCCCCAACTTAGATTCTCCATCTTGCACACTCCTCGCCAGGCTCCTTCTCCTTACATGGAGGCAAAGGAGCTTACAGGGCTGAAGAGAGAATGACTTGCTGCAGGGAGCAAGAGAAGGGCATGCACTGGTCACACATCCACCTGCTCGCCTTCCCTTTGTTGTCCTTGAAAAGGAAGGGGTGCCATGCTTGGGGATAGTGGCTTTGGGGCTGGCACACAGCACCAAAGATAATCAGATAATTGGGGTCCCAGAGAACTGGGCTGCCGGGAATGCACTGAGTGGACGAGGGGCAGCAACAGGGACCAAACTCGCAGCCTGACACTTGCTGCGTAGGGGATCGCCCCCCCCCCCACATCGTGAATGGAGCACGGCCACTCCCTCCATCTCTCAAAGCCCTTCTATCCCGCCCCCTTCCCACAGTTCCTGGACAGCCCTGGTCTGGCCTTAGTGACCTTCTCACAGGCCATCTCCTTGATGAAGGCCTCTAACTTCTGGGCCATCCTCTTCTTCCTGAGTCAACTCATCCTGGGGCTGAACTGCATGAAGCGCATCATAGAGTGTATCACCGTCCCCCTGCAGAGCTCCTTCTCCATAACGCTGCAATACCGCCATGCCTTCGCGGGTATGGGGGTGCCCCGGCTGCCGCCACCTTCTCCCCAGGATCCCCCATCTTCCTCTCCCCCTGGGCCCAGGCCCCAACTGGCCTCTCTGCCTCTGCCCTAGTGATCATGTGCTTGAGCGGGTTCCTGGGCAGCATGTTCTACGCCAGCCAGTCGGGCAGCTTCATCTTCCAACTCTTTGACGACTATCTGATCCCACTGTGCTTAATCCTCATTGTGCTCTTCCAGACGGTGACTCTGGTCTGTATCTACGGTGTTCACAGGTGACAGCCAAGAGCCCCGGGACACCCCGCATACACACACCCCAGGGCTCTGAGAAGAGATCCCAGAGCAGAAAGGTCCAGCTGACAGCAAGTTTGGGGGCCCACGAGGCATCCTGGGAGTCAAGGACCCCTTAGTGTGCTGTGCTCCCTGCCGCCTGGACGTGGGGCTGGGGGGCATTTCCCGGCAGATCCTGGATGCAGAATCCCGCTGCCAGGAGGTCCTGGCTGAACTGGGGAGTCCCCTCAGAGTGAAGAAGCCACCCCCTGCCCTGGCCACCTTTATCCAAAGTTGACGTCCCGCCCTTTCTTGCCATGCAGAGTCCGGGAACGGCTGTTCTATGAAATCGGTCTGATGCTGTGGCCATTCTTCACTTGCCTGTGGTCTTATGTGGTGCTGCCAATGCTGCTGCTGCTTGTCATTCTGTCCTTCACTGCCCTCGGCCAGACCCCCCTCTACACGCTCTGGAACAACACTCTGGTGAGCCTCCCCCACAGACACACCCCGTCTACACTCTCCCGAACAACACCGGCAAGGGTGCCCCCACAGACACATCCTGTCTACACTCTCAAACAACATTCTGGTGAGGGTGCCCCTCAGTCACACTCTGTCCACACTCTAGAATACTGGTGATGCTGGAGTGATAACACAGCAGATAGGGTGTTTGCCCTGCACGCGATTGACCCGGGTTGAATTCCCAGCATCCCATATGGTCCCCCAGGCACCGCCAGGAGTAATTCCTGAGTGCATGAGCCAGGAGTAACCCCTGTGCAATGCCAGGTGTGACCCAAAAAGAAAAAAAAATAAAATACTGCTGAGCCTTCCTCCCTTCCCCCACAGCCTGGTCTCCCACCCCTCACCCCACAAAAACTGTCTCAGACCCCTCAGCAGCTTTCCCAGCACCACCCGGACTGAACCCCATTGCCCCCTCTCTCGGGCTGGGTCTCTGTCCACAGAGCGACGAGGTCGAACAGCCCTACCCGCTGAGGACCTGGGGCTGGTTGCTGAACGTCTTCTTCATGATATTCCTGCCCATGCCCATCTACCTGTGTTACCAGTATGCAATGCCCTCCTCGGCCGACACAGGGAACACCCAGGAGCAATGGAGCAAAATGCCATCCGTGATGCTCCACAAGCCCATGTTGCCTAAGATCAGCAGGGACGAGTCGGCCATTCACAGCCTGGGCAACACACAGCAGATCTCCCAGAGGAGCTTGTGGAGGTCCCGGAGAAACAACTCATGGACCTTCCGTGGCGGCTCCTTTGTGAAGGGGACCCCGAACTTGTTAGATCTTCCCCGCACCATGGCCCACGGCTCTGGCTCCTATGGTTCCCTCTCCCAGACACAGTCGGGCCATGTGAGCGCCTCAGACACCCCTTCCAGCAACATAGCGAGTGAAGAACTCTCCAGAGACAGCTTGCCCAGGGACCAGGGCAGCGGCACAGCTGACAGGGTGCGAGCCTCACGAGCCTCGAACACCCGGGACTCCCAAACCAGCACCACGCTCCTGGCCCCGCCTGGAACGATCTCTGACTACCAGTGGGGGCGGACCCCAAAATTAAGGAGGAAGAAAAAAAATCCTGTCTAATAAAGTCCTTGGCGCCCTCCATCCATCTATGCTGTGACCCCAGGGTGTGGGGATAGGGATTCTGCCCCAATGGGGGCTTCTGAAAATCTGCTTGGCAGCCAGTGATGCCATGTGTTTGACTTTCTGGGAAGAGTGCTTGCCTCTGCCAGGGGCACACTGCTCTGGGGCTTGGAGGTAATGCAGGAAGTCAGACTCTGGCCTCACCTGGGCCCCCATCCTGCTTGGATCTCATGTGACCTCATACCGTCCTGAGCACCTTGCTCCCCAGCTAGTAGGGTGCAAAAAGAGCTAGTACTGGGGTAAGGCAAGCTAATATACGGGGTAAGGAGAGCTAGTACTGCGGTAAGGAGAGCTAGTGCTGGGGTAGGGAGAGCTAGTACTGGGGTAAGGAGAGCTAGTACTGGGGTAAGGAGAGCTAGTATGGAGAGCTAGTACGGGTAAGGTATTTGATTTGCTCATGACAGATCCTGGTTCAGTTCCTGATCTCGCATATGGTCCCCTAACAACCACCAGGGGTCGCTCCTGAGCACTGGAGCCTGATCAGAGCCCTAAGTGGCCCAACCCCTCCTCCAATCACTTTTTCCATGAAGTGGGAGCCATTTGACCTGGAGCTTTCAGTGATCACTGGAGACAGTGTTCTCCCCGACCCCCCACCCTCCCAAATAAAAATACAGGGGCCAAACTGACTTTAACATCCACTCCAGAAGGGAGGTTATGGATGACTTTCAATGCTGTTTTTGTTTGCATGTTTTGGTTTTATGCATCACACCTAGTGGTGCTCAGGACTCACTCCTGGCTCTGCACTCAGGATCACTCCTGGCAGGGCTGCGGGGGGGTCCTCTTCAGGGCCTGGGAGCAAACAAGGCAAGTATCTTACCTACTGTACTCTCTCTCTCTCTCTCTCTCTCTCTCTCTCTCTCTCTCTCTCTCTCCCCTCAATGCTGTCTTAGAAATATTTTCAGGGGGGAGGCTGGAGCGATAGCACAGCAGGTAGGGCATTTGCCTTGCATGCGGTCGACCCAGGTTCGATTCCCAGCATCCCATATGGTCCCCCGAGCATCACCAGGGGTAATTCCTGAGTGCATAAGCCAGGAGTAACTTCTGTGCAATGCCGCGTGTGACCCATAAAGCAAAACAAAAAGATTTTCTGGGAATACAAATTTGATTCTGTTTGAGGGCCACACCTGATTGCTTCTGGCTCTGTGCTCAGGGATCACTCTTGGCAGGCTCAGGAGGACCAGATGAAATGTTGGAGATTGAACCCAGGTTGGCTTCATGCAAGGCAAATGCTGTACCCACTGTATGTGGGCTCTGGTCCCAGGGTATAATTTTTTTACAAGGAACATGTGATTGATAGCCTATAAAACAAAACTTTCATTTTTGTAAAGCACCAAATGTGCTTTAAAACAATCTGGCAGAGGCCAGAGTAATAGTATAGCAGGGAGGGTGTTTGCCTTGCACGCGGCTGACTGGGGTTCAATCCTCGGCATCCCATAGACCTAAGTATATCACTGTCACTGTCACTGTCCTCCCATTGTTCATCAATTTGCTCGAGCGGGCCCAGTAACATTGTGAGACTTGTTACTCTGTTTGGCATATTGAATACGTCACGGGGAGCTTGCCAGGCTTTGCCGTGTGGGCGAGATACTCTCGGTAGCTTGCCAGGCTCTCCAGGAGGGGCAAAGGAATCGAACTCGGGTCAGCCGTGTTGGCCATGTGCAAGGCAAATGCCCTACCCGCTGTGCTATCACTCCAGCCCACCTAAGTATATATGGAATAAAAAAGGAAAGGGGCGGAGGAAGGCAAAGCCTGGCACCAGGACAATTCAGCTCATTTTTCTTACCTCCTAGATCAGGGTAAGGAGAGCTAGTAATGATATAAGGAGAGTTAGTACTGGGATAAGGAGAGCTAGCACTGGGGTAAGGAAAGCTAGTACTGGGGTAAGGGGTAAGGAGAGCTAGTACCAAGGTAAGGAGAGCTTGCTAGGCTGCAGGCGGCTTGAAACGAACACTCAGTGAACCAGTACAGCTCAGCTGAAGTTTCTTGCCCATCAGGGAGAGTTAAAGATCATAGAGCAGTTACTGTTGAAAATATTATTACAGACTTTTTTTTTTCCATCTTTGCATCAGCGAGGTTTTTTTTTTTTTTTTTTTCTGACAGTTCAGCAGGGAGGGTTATTGCCTTGCACACAGTACGCTCCAGTTTGATCCCTGGCACCCCAGGGAGTCAGTCCCCAGAGCCTGCCAGGAGTGATCTCTGAGCTCAGAGCCAGGAGTACCCCAGAGCACTGCCGGGTGTGCTGCGCCCCACCTGCCCAAAAAAGATAAGACAGCCACAGCCATGGACTGTCACTGTCACTGTCCTCCCATTATTCATCGATTTGCTCGAGCGGGCCCAGTAACGTCTCCATTGTGAGATTTCTTGTTACTGTCTCTGGCATCTCGAATACGTCACAGGGAGCTTGCCAGGCTCTGCCGTGGGGGCGAGATACTCTCTGTAGCTTGCCGGGCTCTCCGAGAGGGGCAGAGGAATCGAACTCGAGTTGGCCATGTTGGCTGCATGCAAGGCAAACGCCCTACCACTGTGCTATAACCAATAATCAGCGTGGATGGAGGGAGTATCTATGGGATCTGCCGCCTTGTAGTGGGCATGCGGCCTCCAAGTGGACACTGCCAAGTTTGAGTTGACCTCCCCCCAGCTGGAAATGTAAGGAGCTCCTTTCCCTAAACCATAATGGTAATGACAGGGGCTGCGTCCAGAAGGTGGCGCTGTAGTACTGGGAACTGGCCCTCCAAGGACTGCTCAGCGCCTCTATTCTAGGCACCTTTGTTTCCTAACCACGCTACAATTGTTGGACGAGAGGGAGGCTCCCCCTGAGTGAAAGGGAGGAACAGGAAAATCTAACTATCTCTTCACTATTGAAAGCCACAACCATTTCACCACCATGTTGAGTTGATCCAAAAGTTGTATCCCACAAGGTGACTTCAACGTTCTTGCTCCTGTGAGCCTCAGCAGCTGGTTGAATTCAGGTACGCTCTTCCCTCGAGTAGCATAGTAGGAGCCGGTCAGGAGCCGCAGTATCTGCTTCCGTGAAATTTCCACCATCTCCAAGTTCCACAAAAACACCCCTGGTCGTGGGGCTGGAGTGACAGCAAAGCGGGTAGGACGTTTGCCTTGCACGCAACCGACCCAGGTTCGATTCCCAGCATCCCATATGATCCCCTGAGCACTGCCAGGAGTAATTCCTGAGTGCAGAGCCAGGAGTAACCCCTGTCCATCGCCGGGTGTGACCCCAAAAACCAAAAACAAAACAAAAACACCCCTGGTCGTGTGACGGCGGAAATGGCCCATTTGTGGGTCCCTTCAGAGATTGGTGCTCACTTACCAAATTAGCATGGCAAACGCCTGGTGTCCCAGTCAGCCCCATTCTTTTTATTTCACAGCTCTTTATTTCACCTCCTGTGTAGGTCTGTCTCTGCAGGCTGCAATAACTGCAGAAATAGGAACCTCAAAGTCCAAGATGGCTACCCCCATCTTCCTGCTACTTTCCTCTCGATGCTCCCTAGTTCTCACCGCTCTAATGCTGTCACGTTCTTTTCCTTACATCTTGTCTGGCATTGCCTATCCAACGACCTTGTTACAGTATATTGCCCAGCCCTGCCCTTAGGTGTTTCTGCTATCTGATTGGGCACTCTCCAAGAAAGGAGGTTTAAAATGACCAATGGCAGGATTGGAGCTATAGTACAGCGGGTAGGGCACTTGCCTTGCACACAGTTGACTCCGGTTTAATCCCAAACACCCCATGTGGTCCCCTGAGCCTGGTAGGAGTGCAGAGCCAGGGGTACACTGAGCATCGCTGGATATAGATTCCCCACACAAAAGAAAATTTAATGATTCCATCCAAAAATGAACAAAGATGGCCAGCAAGTGTGCAAGTGTGTGTATGTGTGTGTGGGGGGGGTATTGTCACATCTACAATGAGACCTCAGAGTCACCAAGATATCGACAACTTGAAAGAAAGGAAAAGTGTTGATGTGGATTTGAAGAAATAGGAATCTGTAGATATTGCTGAGCGGGGTGTGAAATGTATTAAACAGCAGGGCAGGTTTCAGACCTACGAATTCACCGATGAGGCCCCACGATTGGGATCTCATCCTCAGATGATCCTCAGATCTCACTTGGAAGCTGTTGCATCTTGAGGAATCTCAGCTCAGAGCCATTATCTACTAATACCTCAAAGGAATCCTAGTCCTTCAGCAGAAAGGTCTCACTGGGAAAGGATTGAGGGCAGATTCATAAAATAATAATGATTTTTCTTTTAAAGCAGATCAAGGGAGGAGGGTGGAGAAATAGTTCAGGGATTAAGGTGCTGGCTTTGCATGCAGCCGTCCCAGTTCAAATCCTGGCTTCTCATATGATCCACTGACCATGAACAGGAGTAGTGCCCCCTCCACCCCCCTCCAAAAAAAAAGAAAAAGAAAAAAGTGTAGATGTATTTTAGGGCAATTCCTCAGTACTATCCATTCGCTTGTTCCATTAGGGGCATTAGGTCTCCAAACTGGCTTACGTGGAGAAATGAAGTAAATTCTCCATCTGGATGACTCCTGTAAGATTTCTACTCACCAGATCTGGAGTTTTCTTGTTAGATATTTCCAACAGGAAATAATATAGATAGAAATTAGTACAAGGGTTTTAGGTAAATGTATTTTGCAAAACTGAGGAGGCAACAGAAACACCCTGTGAGCACAGACACAGCTGCCTGACCAGAAATCAATCCCAGAAGTGGGGAAGATGAAAGAGAATTGAGTTCAAGTTTTGGAGAAATGGGGCTGGAGCGATAGCACAGCGGATAGGGCATTTGCCTTGCACACTGCTGACCCGAGTTGATTCCAGCATCCCATATGGTCCCCGAGCATTGCCAGGAGTAATTCCTGAGTGCAGAGCCAGGAGTAAACCCTGTGCATCGCTGGATGTGATCCAAAAAGGAAAAAAAAAAAAGATTTGGAGAAATGCCTCCCTCTCCCTGCTGGAGCTGAAACCCAAACTAGGAAGGGTTTGAAAGAACTGTGGCACGACCGAGAGTAGGGAAGGAAACCACTGGTGCCATCAGACGTCCAGAAAAGAGCAGTGTCAGTACCTTCCTCTTCCAGTCGCTGGTACCTCTCTCGTGCCCTGTAAGAGCAGAGTGGCAAAGCCAAGGTCCCAGCTCCACAGAACTAGTGGAAGGGCTCATTCAGAGCTGAGAGAGGAAACTTAATAAACCAGGGTAATCGTTTGAGTTCTCAGGGATTTGTGGCATTGGATCATTCTAAATACAGATGAACACTCAGCAACCCATCCAGGTCACCTCACTTTTCGATATGTATTTTCTTATCCATAAAACATAAGGAATATTGGGCTTGAACCATAGTATAGTGGATAGGGCATTTGCCTTGCAAGAGGCAGACTTAGGTTCAATCCTCAGGATTCCATATGGTGCCCTGAGCATTACAGGGAATAATTCCTGAGTGCAGACCTGGAAATAACCCCTGCACATCGCCAGATGTGACAGCCTCCCCCCCCCCAAAAAAAAAGCAGTATTAGTAGCTACCTTCAATTGTTATTATGAAGATTCATAGTTTATGAGAAGCACTTTGCCCAATACCAGACCCAGCACACTCTGTCTGTGTTAGCTGTTGGGATGATTTGGGGGAAATCACAGCTGCGCTCAGGGATTACTCCTGACTCCGTGCTCAGAGTTCACTTGTGGTGGTGCTGAGGATTGGACCAGGGTTAGCTAATTGCCAAGCAAGTACTTCCTCTGCTCCACTCTCTCTCCCCATCTAGTTATTGATCTTCTTATTACTGCCCTTATCAGGACAACTTGGGCTAGTGAGAATGGTCTGATTCAGCACATTCCAGAGCAATCTGATTGCCACGCAACACTTGGCAAAGTTCCAAGTCTACTCCGCACCCAGATTAGAGATGATTGGAGTTGCTCCAATTTGGAAGAAGCCTGTTTGGGTTTTAATGTTTGGATGTGTTGGTTGTTGGTGCTTTTCTTGCAATTTAACTAATAATTGCTGTCAGTACTGCCTTGTCATTACCAGTTTAGTTTGTTATGGGTTGTTTAGTTAAACCGCACGTATAATGATGCATCTCTGCTTCAATTCCATGTGCACGGCCTGCAATTTCCCGCTAATTAGACTCCTTCAAGGCACATATGTAGTTATCGCCTCAAATCTGCAACAACTGTTTCCCTACTGCCAAAGCAGATGTAGACAGTGCCCACCACCCCCTACTCCACAAATAATTTGCTTTTTATCACTGACTTATTTTTCCATTGGAAAATAAAAACTGGGGGGTGGAACAGAGCAGATATTTAGGGTTACTTTTTTAATAAGGGGGGCCACACCCTGCCATGCTCAGAACTTACTCATGACTCTGCATTGAGAGATCACTCCTGGTGGGGCATAGGGGCCCATATGGGCTGCTGGGAATGGACCCAGGACACCCTGCCTACCCTAACCACTGTACTACCGCTCCAGCCCCAGGGTTATTTTCTTGTTCCATTAAAGTGAAGCCATCAACAGAGAGACAGAACAGGCTGTTGAGGTGCTTATCTTGCCTTGACCCCAGTTTGATCTCTGGCACCACATATGGTTCCCTGAGAACCAGTTAGCATGATCCCTGAGCACAGAGTCAGAAATAGCACCTGAGCACCACCTGGTGTGGCCCCAGACTGACCCCCTATACACATACACACACACACACAATTACAGACATCAAACTAAGGAAGATCAGAGGGCCTGGACTTGAATCAGATAGAAATAATGGATTGAGGGCTGGCACAATATTACAGAGGGGAAGGTGTTTGTCTTGCATGCAGCTGACCTGGGTTCAATCCCTGGCACCCCATGTTGTCCCCCAAGCACTGCAGAAGTGGTTCCTGAGTGCGGAGCCAGGAGTAACCCCTAAGTATCGCCAGACATTGCCCAAAAAAGTCAAAAAGTAATAATAATAATAGATTGAGGGCTGGAGCAATAGCACAGTGGGTAGTGTTTGCATTTCATGCAGCTGTCCCAGGTTCAATCCCCAGCATCCCATATAATCCTCTGAACCATGCCAGGAGTGATGTCTGAATGCAGAACCAGAAGTAAACCCTGAGCATTGCTGGGTGTGACCCAAACCGTTTCCCACAAAAAAGAAATAATGGATCAAAAGGAAGACATGGACCCCAATATGGCTCCAAGGCACCAGTAAATCAAACAAGAACCCCAAGAACACTCCCAGCTCCAGCCCCCCTCTCCAAAGTATCAACATACCCCAAGAACCAAAATCCAGACCCGAGTCCTCTCAAATGACTTTATTTCCCCAGTATGGGGAGCTGTGAGTGGGTCTGTGGTTCCTGCACCCCAGACCCCTTATCCCGCCCAGCGGGCTGTTGCAAGGCCTTCAGAGCTGCCATGTGTGGGCTCCAGTGGCTGCTGCTCCCCGCGAGGCTGGTTTGGGGGAGCTTCCTCTCGCACAAGCACAGGGGCACAGAGCCCACCTCCAGGATGAGGCTGCACAGTGCAGGGGTGGAGAACTGGCTGGGCTTGGTCTGGGAGTCAAACCACATTAGATGGAGACAACTCCTGAAGTCCATCAGCAGGGCTCAGTCTGCGGGAGAGAACAGGTGATGGAGGCAGGAAGGGGAAACAGGAAAAAAACGGGGAAGAGACAGAAAGAGGAAAACACCTAAGTCCTGAAGGAAATGAAGACAGAACAGTGGCCAGAGGGAGGGCCAGGAATAGAAACCAGTAACGGCCAGATACAGCCTCGGGTGGGAACAGACACCGCAGATGACCCCTGCATACTGACCTCTGTGCTTCGGAGGGGAAGGGGGAGGCGGCCCCCCTGGGGGCAGCAACGCGGAGCGGCTCAGGGCCTCAGCCACCCAGCCCAAGACACGGCTACAGTGCTGGACCTGCAGACCAAGCGCAGCATCAGGTCACCAGACTGCACCCCCCATGGCTCTACCTCCTCCTTGCGCTCCCTCACTCCCGCTGGGGTGATCACCTCTTGTTCGAGCCCTTTCAGACGCTGCTCATACTCGCGAATTTGTTTCAAATGTTTCAACGCTGTGTCTACCCTAGAAGCCAAAGGCATCAATCAGGCCCGGGTAGGCCATGCACCAGCCTCACCTCCTCCACCTTGCAAGTCCCGCGCTCAGAGCTACGCTGTCCTCCCCCGAGCCTCGAGGGGTGCAGACCCCCCGGCCCTGGATTTTGCAAACCCCGCCCTTTGGACAAACCCTGCACTCACTTCTGCGACGTGCGCTTCAGACGCTCAGAGTCGCTTTCCCGCTTGTCCCGCGCCCGGGCCAGCAGGAAATTCTCCTTCTGCACCGACTCCCAAGTTAACAGCCTCCGCTCAGCTTCCTTGGTAAGGAGGACCCCTGGGGGCGGGGCCGGGAAGTCGGGAACACGCCCCCGAATTGACCACGCCCCCGGCGGCCCAGCCTCTCCACTGACACGCCCTAGGCCCCGCCCTAAGGGCAGTCCCCGCCCACAGCCAGGACAGGCCCCACCCATTAGTGCCCCGACTTTGCTTCGCCCCAGCAGCCCAGCTCTCACGGAAATGGTGGAAGTCGGGGGAGGAAGGCATGTTGGTCCGCCGCCTGCACAAGCGTCGGAAGAGAAGGCGCACATGGGAGATGACGATGAGGGGCGGGGCCAGTGCGGGCCGAGAGTGAAATTCCCGGATGAGGCTGTAGCGCTGCGTCTTCCAGTAGAGATCGCTGTTTCCCTGTACCTTGCCGAAGGTGTGGCTGCGAGAACAGAAGGCAAAAGTCAAGGGTGGTCCCTGTAGAGTAGGTGGGTTTTAAGTAAGTTGGGGGCAAGAAGCCAAGGGCAGGTGTCAGGTGATACCGATTGGGCCTCTAAGGCAGCAGGTTATAATACAGAATAGATATAAAGTGAATAAGAAGTTCAGAGGGTCAAACGTTGGGTGTTGGAAGTCATGTAAGTCAAGTGGGGCTGTGTTGTACTCATTAGAAGAAAGGTTAAATTCTGGCCCAAAAGTCAGCCAGTACACGAGGAGAATTCGAAATTGAAATCGAGACATTGCCACAGCACTGACCTTACAGAGAGAAAATTATAAGCAAAGAGTATCAACAACTGGTTATATTCTACCAATTGAGATAACCCAGATGAGATGTAAAAATTCCTGGCTAAATGTAAATGCCCTGAACTGACACAGGAAGAAATAGAAAACCTCAAAAGACCTACAACAAGAGATTGAGTCATTAAAAAAAACTAAATAAAATTCAGGGCCAGATAACTTCACTACCAATATCAAGCAATTAAAGAAAACTAGTATTTCTCAAATTCTTCTTAAATTTGATTACTTCTTGACCATTTGATTAAGCCAACATCACCCTATCAGAGACAAAGATATCACGTGAAAAGAAAGTGGCATATCTATACCTGTATGCAACTCCATAACAAAATACTAGGAACTTTTAAGATTTATTCCAGGACCTCAATAGTTCAACATAAAAAAAAGTCAGTGTAATACATGATATTAACAGCAAGAACAAAAAAAGTGGCTCCTCTCCCAGGGATTGGCTGTTGGTGGCCTTGCGGCTCTTAGCTCAATGGTGGAGATGTGGGCAGTGGTTTCATTGAAAGAGTTTGGTGCCATGTCTCATACCATTTTACTAGTACAGCTCATCAAGAGGCCAAAAGGCAAAACTTATGCTGACTATAAATATGTAAATGAATGTATAGAAGGTGTTTGCAAAATGTACAAAGAACATCTGAAGAGAATAAACCTCAACAGTCCCTACATCACATATGATATCAGTTGTCTGATTTTATTGATGATCTGGCAGACCTTAGCTGCCTTGTTTATGGAGCTGATATCCAAACATACCAGTCTTACAACAAAGACTGGATTAAAGAGAAGATCTATGTGCTTCTTCATAGGCAGAGCGGGCCAGAAAATAATTGAGCTGGAAGCATTCGGGGGATGGAGGTAGACTTGGAATATATGTGTGTACAGCAAACTCTAGTGGATGTTTTGTATTCTAATAAGCCTGTTTCCATTTGGTGCACTCTAGCCAGGGTTGAATGTATTAAATGAAATACGACAATCTTGTTCAATCTGAAAATCCCCATTGCCTCCTTCCCTCTCCCTACCTCCTGTTTTTTTTTTTACTTAAAATATTTTCATTATGTTTTTGATGGAGGTTATTCTTTGTCAGTTATTGGTTTCAGCCCTTCAAACTATTCGTTTCCACTTTTTTTTTCCTTTCCACTTTAATAGTACTCACTATACTAACCATTCTTCAGGATCAGATGCGGGGTAGGTGATGACACAAGATAAAATCTTAGTGAAAGACAAATAAATATTCTTTAGTTATATTTTTTAGAAAAGACAATCTCTGGCCAGAGTAATAGTATAGCAGGTAGGGCATTTGCCTTAAATGCAGCTTACCCAAGTTTGATCCCTGGCAGCCCATTGGTCCCGCTGTGCCCAGGAGTAATTCCTGAGTGCAGAGCCAGGAGTAAGCCCAGAGCACTGCCAGTTGTCTCACACACACACACACACACACACACACACACACACACACACACACAGATCATCTAATCTCAACTGACATAGAGGCACAGAAAACTTACTTGAAAAATATCAACACCCTTTCATGCTTAAAAACCGAAAAATACTCAAGGACTAAGGATGCATGTCTTAGCTTAAACAGCAAACTACATGTCCTGCATGTGTGAGATCTGCATTAAATCTCTGACACCAGCATGAAAGAGAGCCAGAAAGACAAAAACCTCAGGAAATAGAAATAGAAGAATATTCAATCAAAATGATACAGAGTACTTATGAAGAAAGTCCACAGGCAACAACATACCTAGGGATGAAAAGCTGAAAGCTTCCTCCTAAAATAAGGAATGAGACATAAATGGCCACTTTCACCACTGCTATTGTCATTGTATCAGATTTCTAGATGGAGGGAGGAAAGGAAAAGAGAAGGAGGGAGTAAGGGGCATTCAAATTGGAAAAGATGACGTGATCTGACATGGAACCCAGAGAAGGCAGTGATCATAAATGAATCCTGCAGATTGCAGGGTACAAGATCAAGAAGTGCATGATCCCCCAAGCACTCCCGGTAGCAAGCCCCAACCACTCCTGGGAGTAGTGTCAGAGTACTACCAAACTACAAAAACTGTGAAGCCCAAACTACAAGAATATTTAAATAAATGCAAACATGAGTATGAAGATTTAAAATTGTTGAGACAAAAATGCCACCCAGAAACTATCTACAAATCTAACGCGCTGTCTATCAACTTCCCACCGACCTTTTGCAGAGTGAAAAAGCTGATCCTTAAATTCAAATGGAATTGCATGAGATCCTAAACAACAAAAGCAATCTTGAAAAACAACAATGGGGAACTGAAGCTATAGTAACAGTGGGTAGGGCTTTTGCCTTGCATGTGGCCAACCCAGGTTCAATCCATGGCATCCCATATGATCTCCTGAGCACCCAGGCGCCAGGGATTGAACAAAACAAACAAAACTGAAAAAGAACAATGGTGAAGGATAAACACTTTCCGATTTCAAATTTTGTTCTAAAGTCAAGCACTGCCGGTATAGCCCACAAAGAAAACAAATACTACAAGCAAATAAATAAAAGAAAGGTAAACTGAACTTGAACAAAATTTAAAACGTTGGTGCATAAAAGGAATTTTTGTTTTATTCAATCAGCTTAATTGCGGAATAAATAGCAGTATTCCTACATTTTAAAAAAGTGATTTTTTTGTTTTTAGGAGCACCCCTGGCAATGCTCAGGGTTTACTCCTGGCTCTGGGACTCACGGATCACTCCTGACAGTGCTCAGGGGACCCTATGGAGTCTTGGAGATGGAACCAGAGTTGGCTATTCACAAGACAAGCACTCTATCTGCTGTACTATCCACTTCAGTTCCACCAAGGATATTATTAAGAAAAAGAAAAGAAAACCCACAGAATGAGAGAAAATCATCTACCATCAGAAGTTGGTATTGAGAATATACATAAAGATGCTATGGGGAAGAGGAGGTGGTGGAAATAGTTAAAAGGTGGAATCCCTGGAACCACATGGTACCTTAGAAGGAACAAAAGCAACCCCTGGGCACCCAAAACCAACAACCAAACCAACAAATTAGAATTTCAATCATTCAACAACAAAGTGACAAAGAATTCAATATGAAAATGGGCAGTGGAAGGGCCAGAGAGATAGTAGAGGGGATAAGAAGCTTACCTGGGGTTCTATTCCTGGCACCACACCTGGTCCCCCAAGTGCCACCAGGAGTGACCCCTGAGCACTGCCAGGTATATCCTCCACTCCCCAAAAAATAGAAGATTAAATAAAATGGACAGTGGATTTTAACAGACATCTCTCCAAAGAAGATGCACAAATAGTCAACAAGTACATAGAAAGATGCTAAGCATTATTAGTCGTTAGGGAAATTCAAATAAAAACCACAATGAAATACCAATTCATACCCACTAGACTGGAGATAATATTTGATTAAGGAAAATTAAAAACTATTGGCAAGGATGTGGAGAAATTGGAACTCCCATATATTGCTTGTGGAAACATAAAAGCAGGCAGAAAACACTTTGGCAGCTCCTCAAAAACCTGACATTGCATCTCTGTGTGACCCAGAATGTGCACTTTTGGGATAGAAACATATCCCAAAGAAATAAAAACAGACAAAACCAGGAGCCAGAGCAAGAGTATAGCAGGTACAGTGCCTGCCTTGTATATGGTCAATCAGGTTTGATTCCCAGCACTCCATATGATCCCCTGAACCCACCAGGAGTAATTTCTGAGTGTAGAGCTAGGAATAACCCTTGAGCATCTCTGGCTATAGCAAAAAAAAAAAAAAAATATGCATAGCCATACTAGAGCTTATTGGTTGATCCCCGTTCTATGCCTGGCACCACTTATGGACACCCAAACACCATCAGGAGTGACCTCTGAGCCACACCAGGTAAGATCCCAAAACAACAACAGGCTGGAGAGATAGCACACTACCAACCTGGGTTGAATCCTGGGCATACCATATAGTCTCCCGAGTTCACCAGGAGTGATTCCTTAATGCAGAGCCAGGAATAACCCCTGAGCACTGCTGGGTGAGCTCTCCCCCTCCCCCAAACAACAACAAAGAATCTTGTGCGGGAGAAGGGTCAGGACGGGATCAAGAGTCATACGAACGTCAAAAGTCACGCCGAACAGAATTGATCTCAGAATCTTAAGGCCTCACCTGAACATGGCAATGAGTAAATTGAGCAGCAGGATGTTGGCCACGAGCAGGAAGACGATGAGGAGGAGCACTACTAGCCAGTTGGCATAAGAGGAGACACAGGAGCCTGCCTGGACCCCCTTTGGGAGTGCCCAAAATCCTGGGTCTGAGGAGCAGTTGACATGGTCCATTAAGGCCGCTGTGAACGGAGACAGGGATTCAGCAGAGATCCAGAGAGGGGCAGAGACGCAATAAGGCAGGTTCAGGGACTCAGAACAAGAGGTGCAGAGACCCAGGGACAGGGTCAGAGGGGCTCATCCTCCTCACCGTCCATCTCCTCCTGGGGGATCTGCCCAAAGATTTGTAGGTACGGTCGATAGAAGACGCGGCGCAGGATGCTGGGGAGATCACGGTCCCGAGGCCGAAGGAGCCCCTCCGTGGCTACCCCGTAAGCAACTAGCCACACGCCCAGGAAGAAGAGGAAGAAGAAGACATCCTTCATCTGCAGGAGACATCCTTCGTCTTCATCTGCGTGAGAACCCTCCTGGCCCCTCCCTTCCCTGGCTTGTTCCAACCCCTCTCGCTAAGCCCCGCCCTCCCCGCCTGACCACGCCCTTTCCCGACTTGTTCCCACCCTTCCTGCTAAGCCCCGCCCTTCCCTGGCCTGGCCCCACCCCGCTCCGCCCCTCACCATCTTGTTCACAATGACGATCTTGGGTCCCAGTTGCTTGTTGACTGTAAAGATGTGCAGCAGTCGCAGTGTGAAGACCATGAAGTCCAGGCAGAGGACAGTACGACCCAGGTCATACAGACCCGGGGTTAGCCTGGGATGCGAACACGCAAAGGGGTCATAGGTCACGGAATGCCAAGGGAAACGGGTTCTCCCAGCATCAGATGTCCGGGTTCGCTCAGTGCCAAACCGACACCCGTTAGCTCCTGCTTGGATAGACGATGATCGGAGCACAAGGCTACCAGGTGCTCACATTCTCAAGTTGAAAAACCTGCTGGAATATTCCAACAGCCTGTAGTACTGCACTGTCCTCCCGTTGTTCATCGATTTGCTCCAGCGGGCCCAGTAACGTCTCCATTGTGAGACTTGTTGTTACTGTGTTTGGCATATCGAATACATCATGGGGAGCTTGCCAGGCTTTGCCGTGCAGGCGAGATACTCTCGGTAGCTTGCCGGGTTCGGAGGAATCAAACACCGGTTGGCCCGACAGACCACGCGCCTGCAAGGAAAACGCCCTTCCGCTGTGCTATCGCTCCACCCCTGTGCTATCACTCTACCCTCTAACAGCCTATGAAAGGTAAAATACAGAGTTCCAGCAAAGCTAATGGGCAGAAGAAAATACGACCTAACTAGGAAAACAGAATATGCTCCTCAATTCACGGAAAAAGAGACAGAGAGGAGCCCACGATATAGCAATATAGCAACCCATATGATGGAAATAAAATTTCTCCCTGGGGCCAGGGAGAGTACAGTGGGTAGAGCAATTGCCTTACACGGGACTGACCAGGGTCCCCAGCACCCAAGATGGGCCCCTGAGCCCTACCAGGGCTGATCCCTGAGTGCAGAGCCAAGAAAAAGCCCTGAGCACTGCTAAGCCAAAAAAAAAAAAAAGAAAAAGAAAAAAATTCTGTTTTTGTTTCATCATGAATTCTTTGTTTTTTCATCTTGAGGTGCTACCAGAGATGGGACCATGCATGCACTCCGGTCTATTTATGAATGTTTTAACTCTAGATAAGGTAAAAATAGAGACCAGAAGCTGGAGAGCTAGTGCTGGGGGGAAGACACTTTGGGGACTGTGGGGCTCTCATCTGAACCCTAATGTGGATATCCGTTTGGGAAGACACTGGACACTGCCCCAGTTCTGCACCATGGGGACATGGTGCTTTCTATCAGTGTTGCTGTCTGAAGAGTAGGGACAGAACCCTCTGCCCACCAGAAAGGCCCAAAATAGAGGTTCCCCCCACAGCCATTCCCAAGGGCTGGAGGGGTTAAAAGTCACCAAGATGGGGGATCAGGTATCAGGGGTTACTCACCGGCAGCCTACGCCCAGGAGGAAGCAGGTGAGGGCCACCAAGTCACACTGGTTCCACGTGTCACTGAGGTAGAGATGTAGGCGGTGGCGTAGTGGGGCCCGGCCGGGACTGTGGCCCGGCCCACGGGAGGCCAGGTTGCCCCAGCCACCCCCCAGCCCCTGGCGGAACTCCTCACAGAGCAGTGTGAAGGCCCAGAAGTAGAGCAGCAGCTCCAGGGCCCCTGGGGGCTCAGGCCCAAAGTCTATGAGCAGCACCCGGGCGAAGAGCAGCAGGAAGAGGAGGTAGCTGACCACGTTGCCCATGAAGGCCGTCACGGGGGCCCCCCAGAACTGGGACCAGCAGCGCAGGCGTGGGGAGTAGCCTCTGCGTCTGGATGGCTGTAACACCCCCAAAGTCGTCTTCTCTGGGGCGTCAGGCGGCCTAGGGGAAAAGAGGGAGAGGGGAGGGCTCAGCCTGACCTCTAAGCCTGGCTCTCAGCCTGATTATGACATTAGTGCTGTCTGCCTCCTTCATCCCCCTGATTCTGCTTCGTTCGGGGCCACACCTGGCAGTGCAGATGGGGCCATTTTGCTCTGTACTCAGGTATGACCCTTGGTGGTGTTGGGGACCCTCTACAGTGTTGGGGATGAACCAAGATCTACTGTATGCAAGACAAGTGCCTTCTCTCCCCGTAATCTGACCCCGATCTCTCCACACCATCTCCTGACTTTATTTTGGGGTTCCAGGTTCAGGGTTTACTACTGGCTCTGTGCTCAAGGATCACTCCTGGTGGTTATGGGAAACATGCAGTGCTGGGGATCGAACCTGAATTGGCTATATTCAAGAAAGCATTTTACTCACTGTAAAATTTTGCTCGCTCTCTCTGGCCATCTCTTTGACTTTTGATCCCCTGTTCTTTTTTTTTTTTTTTTTTTTGGCTTCTGGGTCAAGTAATAGCACAGCGGTAGGGCGTTTGCTTTGCGCGCAGCCAGCCCGACCGAGCCAGGTTCGATTCCTCCGTCCCTCTCAGAGAGCCTGGCAAGCTACCGAAAGTATTTAATATGCCAAACACAGTAACAAGAAGTCTCACAATGGAGATGTTACTGGGCCCGCTCGAGCAAATCGATGAACAATGGGAGGACAGTGTTTGTTTGTTTTGTTGGGTGACACCCGACGATGCACAGGGTTTACTCCTGGCTCTGCACTCAGGAATTACTCCTGGTGGTGCTCAGGGGACCCTATGGGGTGCTGGGAATAGAACCTGGGTTGGCCAAGTGCAAGGCAAATGCCCTACCTGCTGTGCTATCGCTCCAGTCCCCTGATCCCGTTTCTAACCTCAGAAATCCCTTCCCCTTAGGACTACTGACCTGAGAAAAGGGGTCCCTCATGCGCTGTTATTGGGAGAATAAATTGGTGCAGCTGCTTCAGGGGAGCCAGTGTGAAATTGTCTTGGGGAGCTTAGCACAGAACTCCCATAGAATCCAGGAAGCCCACCTCTGGACTTGGATCCGAAGAACAAGAAAACTCCCAGGGAGAGTGCCCCAGGTCTCCGATGTTGAATGCAGCACCACTCCCTGCAGCTAAGATATGAAAACAGCCCCAGTGCCTGCTGAGAGACCCCAGTTAAGGAATAGGCAATTTATGGGCAATGTGGAATTTAGCTCTAAAAAGGAAGAGATAGGGCACAGCAGATAGGGCCTTGCACGAGGCTGACCCAGGTTTGAATCCCAGCATCCCATATGGTCCCCTGAGCACCGCCAAGAGTAATTCCTGAGTGCAGAGCCAGGAGTAATCCCTGAGCATCGCCGGGAGTGACCCAAAAACAAAACATAACAAACAAAAAATAATAAAAAATAAAATAAAAAAGGAAGAGATGAAAGTGTGCCATTTTTAGCCAAATGGAAGGAACTCAAAGAGACTGTATGAAACAAAATAAATCAGAAGAAAAAAAGAGAAGTAGTGGATGATTCCACCCCAGTGGGCAACATAAGAAAATGAAGCAGACGGAGCAGACAAAATAACAGCAAATAAACCAGTGGAAGAGGAGAGAGAGCTCCACTGGCTGGGGCACAGGCTCTGAATGTGGGAGTCGAACGAAGATTCCAGAAAGCACTTGATCCCAGCACTGCCTGGAGTAACCCCAAGCACAGCATTCTGAATAGCTTAAAAAAGAAAGGAGGGAGGGAAGGGGGAGAGAGGGAGGGAGGGAGGGAGGAGGAAGGAATCTCTAACGCTTTTTTCTCCAATCCCTCTTCTTCACAACCTCTCAGCCTCTGGCTCCCTGACTTCCATTTTTCCACCATGACCTCTGACCCCCTCACATTCCTGTACTTGACTCCTGAGGTAATCACGCAGTCCCTGAATATGAAGCTTAGACCCACACACTCAGGGATCTGATTATCCGGCCTAATTTTCTCAGATACCAGTACCTGCTCTCTGGCCAGGCAGTCATATTTGGTGTCAGAAATTTTGCCTGTGGTGGGCAAAAAAACAATGCAGCTCCCCAACTGGAATCTGACATCTTGAATCTGCGCACAGGATTCCTGGCATTGCCCCCATGACCACCAGCCTCCCAGGTGGCTCTCCATAACAGTCACAAGAACAAACTGAAGACCAAGAATATCTGGGGTTCACCCAAGTCGCCGCCCACGAGTGGCCTCTCTGGCTCCTCATCAAGCTGCTTAACTGCCATGAGTCCCAGAGACTCAGAAACAAATCTTTGAACCCAGCAGCTTCTGGCAGAAATGCGTCCAGTCCCCACAGTAGGTTAGAGGCTCCAGGCCACCCCAGGTGGGAATAGGTTTCGTGCCTTGGCATGTTCCTCCTGGCGGCTCGCTGGCCGCCATCCTCCAGAGGCCATTGGACAGTCAGGTTTCGGCCCACAGTGATGAGACACGCGGGGCTTCACGGGATGGGGGTGGAGTCAGCCCTTTCCTCCTCCCCCACCAACGAGACCCCCAAGTCACCGCCCACGAACGGCCTCTCTGGCTCCTGATCAAGCTGCTTAATGGCCATGATCCCACTCAGGAACAAATCTCGGAACCCAGCAGGTTTTGGCAGAAATCCCTCCAGATTTAATTGCTAAAATTTCAGAATTCCAAAATTGCACGACCACTACTGCGGCTGCGCAACATCATATGTTGTTCATAATCAGCAATAGAGAACAAATTGTCTATTGTTGCCTTTTCGGCAGATCTGAGTGTTGGAGTAAAATCACAAATAACAATGGTGGGTCTGGGGTCAAAATATTGAATGAAATCAAAGTAGACAGAGAGTAATGTGGAAATCATCTGCCCCACAGGTAGGGGGAGGGTGTGGGATGGGGCGTATACTGGGGTTTTTGGTGGTGGAAAATGGGCACTGCTGAAGGGACAGGTGTTTCATCATTGTATGACTGAGATTTAAACCCAAAAGCTTTTTAACTGTTCTCACGGTGATTCAATAAATAAATTTATTAAAAAAAAAAAAAGAATGTCTGGGATTCAAATCCCAGCCTGACCACTTACCAAGTTCCGAATCTGAGGCCAAGGAGGTAACGCCTCAGTTATTTCATCTGTAAAATGGGGATAATCATGGACTCTCTTGCCAAGCATTGTTAAGAGAATTAAATGAAAAGTGGAAAACTGGAAAGTGTCAATTTTCCAGTACCTCAATTACCATCTTGGTCTCACATATTTGAGAAATCATGAAATGAGGGCACCACATGAAGCCTAACACTGGAACCTCCTTTCATCGGTCCAAGTTTTAGTCTTTGTTTTCTCCTATCTTGATAAATATTTTGTATTTTCTGTGTGCTGTCTCCAAGAAATTATGTTGACATACATATTTAAGTTTGACTGGTCTTATGCGGTATGCAAGTTTTACAGACTTCTGAAACTGGAAGTTCGTACTTGTAACAGTCACCATAAAAAAATTTTTTTTCTCCTTAGAGAATGAGGGTAAACACCCCTACTTTATCTCATAATGAGAGATAAATAAAAGGCCCCAGACAGCTCTATAGGGATTAAGGAACATCTGCCGGCCTGGGTTTCAAGTCTCCGGCACCACATGTGGTCCCCCAAGCACGGAGCCAGCCCCTGAGCACCACCTGGTGTGGCCCCAAGCCCACCCACACCCCAAAAAGAGAAGCAAATGGATTCCCAAGGAGGCCCTCCTTAGTGGCAAAACCAAGAGTTGAGCATTTTGGAAACGTCTTCGGTTTTCAGAAACCATGTTTATTGAGGCCCACTGGACCTGCAGCTGGCTCCCAACTTCTCGTGCTCTCGAGTCACCCAGGGACCTTCCATAGACTCACCCCACAGGCCCTTCCCCGTTGATGCCCTTGTCCACGTCAAACTCCAGGTCCTTCTGTGTGGACTCCTCTTCTGACTTCCTGTACGTTGGGATCAGAGTGAGAAACAGAATGAACTCTCTCTCTCTCTCTCTCTCTCTCTCTCTCTCGCACACACACACACACACACACACACACACACACACACACACGCACGCACACACACACACACACAGGGTCTGGCAATGGTCCAGTGACTTGGTGCCCTCCTTGCCAACATGAGACCATGAGTCCAATCCAGGATACAAGAGGATGTGCTGAGCTTGATCCTGGCGGCTCTGCTCTCTGTGCTCCGCAAACCACAAGTGATGTCTAGTCATGCCACGGCTAGGTGTATCAGCACAAAGTGCAGTCTCCAACAAGCACCCCCAAGAAAACATGGACAAAGGACCACAGCCGGGAAGTAGGACTCCCTCCCCTCCAAAAGCATGCACGTGAGCACCAAAAACACCCTAGGTGAGCTATACCAGAATGTGCGAAAGTGCCCCTAGCCAGAGTGTACCACAGCAAACACCATAGCTGAGAATGCAAACACCACACCCTGCTGTGAGATCCCCAGCAGGCAACACCAAAGCATGACAGGGACCAAGTGTGCAGACTCAGGCATCACAAGAAGGAAAGGGAGGGGGGCTCTTCCCCCAGAGTCATGGCCAATAGGTAGCAGAATCAGGAGATCCCCAGAGAACACCCCAAAAAGCTCACCCCAAGAACGTGCAGGAGCAACACCAAGTAGAAAGAGCCAAAAGGAGAAGCTGAGCACCCGCTCCTGACCAAGCTAACTCCCAGGGGACTGACCTGAAGGTGATGAGGTTGGTGTAGATGAGTGGGGGACAAAAGAAGGCGAGAACCAGGGCCCAGATGGGGGTGCTGCTGTCCATCTCCCCCCACCACTTCTGTGTCAGCAGAGACTGTGGGGTGCAGGGATAATTAGGAGCCTGAGTCTCCCCAGGGACCCTTTCCGAAGACCCCAGACAAGGATTCAAGTCCCACTGCAGAGCACAGAGCAAGTGCTCAATGTTAGGGTGGGGATTAGGCCCAACAGCTGAGCACACCCGGTGTGGACAAGGAGAGTTCCACAGTCAACATTACTAAGAGAAAGAGTGGGAACTCTGTGGAGTATTTCCACAGATTAGTTCTACCTCCCACTATACCTCCAGGGACACAGATTTCAGTCTTTTCTCCTCTTCCACCAATGATACACTCAGGGAGGTTAAAGAAGGAGCCCAGTTTGGAATCCATGAGTTTTTGCCACTGGGTCATCATTTGACATATCAACCCCACAGGTGAGGGTGGACTTCCTGGTGTGGTAAACTGGACTTCCTTCTGGGTGGATGGAACTTCTTATTAGGCAGATGGGACTTTCTGTCCTGCCAGGTATGAGAATGCAGTGAGGAGGCACGTGGGGCCTCATGGGATGGGGTGGTGGAACCAGTCCTGCTCCCCGCCCTGACAAGGCCCTGAGTTGCCGCCCACGAATGCATCCTCCGGCTCCTGAACGACCATGATCCCAGAGGCACGCAAACCAATCTCAGAACCCAGCAGTTTTTGGCAGTAATCTCTCCAGACTTATTACTAAAATATCAGAAATCCAAAATCACGTGGCCATGATACGACATCATATGCTCTTCATAATCAGCAACAGAAAACAAATTATCTAATGATGTCTTTTTGGCAGGTCTGATTGTTGGGGAGAATTTCAAATAATAACGGTGGGTCTTCTGTCGTAATATTGAATGTGATCAACGTAGAGAGAGAGTAAAGTAGAAATCTGCCACACGGGCAGAGGGAGGGGTGGGAGGGGGGCTATACTGGGGTTCTTGGTGGTGGAAAATGTGCACTGGTGAAGGGATGGATGTTTGATCATTGTATGACCAACTGAGACTTAAACTGAAAGGCTTTGTGGCTGTTCTCACAGTGATTCAATAAATAAATTTTTTTTAAAAAATGGGACTTCCTGTCCTGAAGGAGCCACTCAGAGCCTCTATCAGGGTGCTGGGAAAGTTTACAAATGCTCAGGAGGCAGGAGAGTTTCTGGGGAACGAGCAGGAAATAATTTCCTGTAGGAAGGGAGGGGTTTCCTAAGCCAGAGTCCTAATAGAGCGAAGGGAATGATTCGATGACGTCATTCGAATTGTGCAATGAGGGACCTGGGAAGGAAATGGGGAGGGATATGGTCCAGACCTCTTAAGGAAGAGACACTTGGCAGTGATGAGTTGGGGAGACATCTTCTGGAAGTACAGCCTTACTGAGAGAAGCAGGGGCTCAAAGCAGGGATGCTTCTCAAGACCCAAAACCCTTGCCAACACACACACACTAGCCAGGGCTGGTTCTCCAGGGTCCCCAGGGCTCAACCCGGGGTTCTTCCAATGCTCACCTGGACCCCATCCTGGGCAAAGAAGGCCCGGGAGTCAGCCTGCATGGCCAGCTGGAGGCAAGTGGCGTTGCCCCAGAGTGGGCAGCGGCGCAGAAGGAGGCGGGCGGCCCGGGCCTCACTGCTACGATAGCACTCACCGAAGAGATCTAGGGGCAAGGCAGGACATGAGCGGAGGCCAGTGACACGGGAGAGACGGGATATCATACCCTTTGCCCCCGGGGACCCAGGCCCCACGCACCCACACCCAGCCCTTCAAACTTGACTGCCAGGTCCTTCCTGCGCGCTGCCTCCTCAGCCTCGGCCTCCAGGCGCGCCAGTACTCGCAGCAGCAAGCAGGCCCCGAGAGCTGAGGCCACGGCATTAGAGCCCTGGAGGGGGAGAGACTGGAGTGAGGCTCAGACCAGGGCCCAGGGTGGGGTTCCCAGGAAAGGGGGGACAGGAAGGGGAAGGCCCGGATCAGGTGAAGGGATGGAGCCAGTCAGAGGTGAACCAGGGTGATAAGCAGCTGAAGGTGCAGTTAGGTGGGGGGAGAATCTAAGAGGCACTGGACACCTGGTGCCAACGAGGGGCCGTGAGAGGGCTCAGGGAACAGAGTTAGACCCAGAGCTGCGGTTAGAACAACAGCAAGAGTGACAGATCAGGAGCGAGGCAGATGTCACCTAATCAGGCGGAGAGTGGAGAAGCCCCAACTCCATCCTGCAGAAAAGCCTAAGGAAGTTGGCAAAAGCTGGCAGAATGGAGGCTTGCAGAGCTCTGGAATTTACTACCAAACAACGCTGCCTGGAGAAAGAAAGGGCAAAGTTGGAGCAAAGGGAGCATGGAGAGTTGCTAAGAAATCTCTGGCCATCGCCAAAGGTTCAACCCCCAGTCCTGGGATGGTGGGGCAGCTGGCTGGTGGGACCGGCCCTCAACTCCCCAGAGGAATAGCTCCTGGCTTCAGCAGGGACAGATGTGCCTTCCAAGTAGGTGAAAGCATTTCTAGAACAGGAAGGAACCAACAGAGGCAAAGAATAACAGTTACAGAAAACAAGGACTCTGCTAGGCAATTAGATCAGGAATTATTTGGGTGGTGCATGGGCATATGGAAAAAGATGGGTGTGAGGGGTGGGAACAGGGAAGCCAAGCAAAAGTGCTAGTTTGGGGTTTTGGTTTTGGGGCCACATCCGGTGATGCTCAGGGCTTACTCCTGGCTCTGCACTCAGGAATCACATCTGGCGGTGCTCAGGGACTCTCCCAGGGTTCTGGGGATCAGACCCAGGTTGGCAATGTGAAGGCAAGACCCTCCCCTCTATTACTATCACCCCATTCCTGGAGCCCTAACTTCAAGGCTAATGTTCAAACCTAACTTCCAACAGAGTCAAAGCCAAATGGATCGTGAGAAAAAATCTCATCCAGTTACAAGAAAAATCTCACCCAAGAAAATTCACTCTGTAGGCTCTTGACCTTTGATAAACCCACAGGGGCATTGGCAGGGGTGGGGGGGAGAAGAGTGGGCCCACACTGTCTTAACTCTCCATCTCTCCAGACCATCCTCTACTTCTGAGAGTAAATGCTCACTCTACTAGTTCATGCTCAGCATGAAGTCCTTTTAGGAAAGATAGAATCAGCACTAGGACCAAGAGAGAGTACTGGGGTGAGGCATTTGCCATCCACGCTGCCAACCCGGATTCAATCCCCAGCACCACATAGGGTGCCCAAACCCCATAGGAGTGATCCCTGAGCACAGAGCCAGTAGTCAGCGCTGAACACAAGATGGTGTGCCCCCCAAAAGAAAACAAAAGGATAAAAGACTGATGCGAAGCCCATCTAAACAGTGAGAGTTTGGGGTTCTTCCTCCCCTATCCCAAACATTTCAGGAAATCTCTTTGAAGTCACTAGCTGATGGCTAAATAAACAATACAAATCGCGGCCACACACAATTGTGGATACCAGCCAGACAGCCTGGTGGAAGCTAAGCTGGTTTCTAGAATGGCTATCACAGAATATTCAAGGTGTCCAGGTTTCAGTTCCAAATTCAGAAGTTTGCCCAAACCTTCCAAAGCTGTATATTTACTAGAGATGCGATTAACTGGCTCAAAACAAAGCCTGGACAAAGAACTACACAGGAATCCAGGAGAATGAGATCTCACACACAGAGAAAGTGAAGAAAGAGAAATCCTGGACCTGGGGACGGGACAGTCACCCAAATGAAAAATGTCCTCAAAGGGGCTGGGATATTGCTCAGAGTGTGTGCAACTCGAAAGATCAAGAGGTCCTTGGTTCAAGTCCTGGCAGAAGAGACAGTGAGAAAGAGATGTACCAGTGGGGTCTCAGAGTGGTTAGAAGCCATTCAACCTTTATGTGTTTGGTCTTATTGTTTTTGTTTGGGGGCCTCACCCTGCCATGCTCAGGGCTTACTCCTGACTCCATGTTCAGGAATCACTCCTGCTGGTGCTTGGGGGACTATGTGGGGTGTCGGGGATTGAACCAGGTCAGCCACGTGCAAGGAAGGTGCCCTGCTTGCTGTGCTCTCATCTGACCAAAGAATGATTGTATTTTGTCAGAGATCTGCCGTTTGTCAGAGATCTGCCGTTAAGGGACAGGTGGGTTACCCGAGTGCATAACATGACAGAAAGGCTGCAGCCGCGGTTGGAGTCCCTTCGGGAAGGTAGGATGGGTCAGGAGTCGGGGTGACCAGAGGGTTCAGAGTTACTTTCCTTTGGGTTTTGTTTACTTTTCTTTGGGGGCCACACCCAACAGTGCTCAGAGGTTACTCCTGGCTCTGCACTCAGGACTCACTCCCGGCAGTACTTGGGGAACTATGTGGGGTGTCAGGAATCAAACCCGGGTCTGCTGCGTGCAAGGCTAGCGCCTTACCCGCCGGACTATGTCTCTGAAGGATCCATTCCTTTGGAGGCTGGTGGACAATAAGGAGGCGATGCAGGCGGGAGTAGATCAGACCTAAAGTCAGCACTCACCATCTCCCAGAAGTACACGGCCATCTGAGCCCTGTTCAGTAGCAGAGCCCAGAGGAGCAGGTCACTCCAGGGTGCCTGCCCGAGCACAGCGTCCAACCCGAGTTCCAGCGGAGCAGTGTTGGAGAGCAGCAGGCAGGTCTGTGGGCGGGAGGCATGGTGAGAGTTGGCCCGGCCCAACACTGGCCCGGCCCTGTGTGACCACGCCCAGGACACGCCCCTCCGCGCGAGGACACGCCCCAAGTCCTCACACTCTCCCTGCAGCCGTGGTCCAGGTGGGGATCCGCGGCGTCAGCCACGCGGTATTTGGGCGCACAAGTCTCCCCCAGCAGCAGCCGCAGCAACTGCCCCACGTCTGGGGGTTGAGGCTCCACTGACGGTTTAACAACTTGGGTTTTGTTGCCCGCGCTGTGGGACACCTGGTCCAGGAGACTGCGGATGAGTGAGTTAGGGGGCGCCGCACTGTAGAGCTGGGCCAGGCGCGCTTTGGTCAGGAAATGGCCTAGGCTGAGTCCATGCGAGATGAGCAAGCGCACGAAGTCCGGTCGGTCGTTGAGCAGGGCGTCCATGAGGGAGGCCTCCAGATGGAAGGACTGGATGGGGCGGTGGCAGGATGCATGGTGGGGAGAGAAGAGAGACAGGTTAAGGACAAGAGATGGGGGGTGATGGATAGATAGATGGGAGATGAAAGGGTGGATGGATGGTTAGGGAGGGAGGGCTAGGTGAGGGACAGAGGGAAGGGTAGAAGGGCATGGAGGGATGAGTGGAGGGGTGGGTGGATGAGTAGGAGGGAATGGGCTGGGGTGCTGAATGGATGAATGGGGGATGAAGGAGTGAATGGATGAATGGAATGGCAGAATGGGATGGATTGCGTGGGTGGGTGGGTGGATTTATAGATGGATGAATGGATGGATGATGGATGGATTTATAGATGGATGGGTGAAGGAGTGGATAGAGGGATGAAAGATGAAGGATGAATGCATGGATTTATAGATGTTTGGAGGGAAGGAAGAATGGATAGATGGATGGGGTGGAGTGAATGGATGGGAGATAGAGGATAGGATAGGTGGGGATGGCAGGAGGGGATTCAGGGATGGATCCATGAATGGATGGGAATGGATGAGGAAAGAGAACACAGGATGCAGTGGACAGATGGACTGTCAGTTAAGGCATAACTGCCAAGGCCATAATGAAAGACAGGACCAGATGCTGAGGTCAGGGCAGGAAGAGAGTGTGTCTCCTTGCCAGGAGCCCCAGCTCCTAGGCCCCAGGCCCTTACCCGCCACTGGATGTCACCCCGAAAGAGTTCACTCTGAGCAATGTCCACGCGATTCCAGGCCACAGCCAGACGCAGCTCATCCAGGTAAGCTGTAGCCTCAGAGGTACCGCAAGCTGCAGGGGAGTGGAGGGAGAGTTAGAATCAGGGGAGGGTGGAGACATGATCTGTTTTGCTTGCATTTGGATGCCTGACAGTAAACCTTGTACCAGCCAGAGGAGGGGGATCAGGAGAAGCATCTGGAAGTTGGGTTTTTTTTTTTAATTTTTTGAGAGGGGGGTTGGGTCATATCCAGCAATACTCGGGGCTTACTCCTGATTCTGTGCTCAGGAGTCACTTATGTCAGTATTTGGAGGATTCTTCATGGATCAAAGCAGAGTCAGCAAAGCCGGCACCATCCCTTCATGCACTCCGGAGTCCACTTTTCTTTTGGTCTCCACATCCTCTACATCTGGCACCAAAGTGCAAAAGGGACTTTTGCCTTTTTTTTTTTTGCCTCCTTTTAAGCATCCCTAGAATGGAACTCACAGAAGTAGGGAGTACCCAGCGGGCACAGGGTCTCTGGGGAAAGCAGCGTAGTGTCCCCTTGTCAGATCCCTACCAATCAGGAGTGCTTTCAGAAACTGCACAGAACATCTGTAGCCTCACTTTCTTATCTGCAAGATGGGAATCATGAGGGACTGACAACCTGGTGCCCAACAGTAGCGGAAGGAGTGGCTGGAGATCAAGGACAGGAGATGAGGCACTTGCCCTCAATATAACCCCAGATCCAACCCCAGTGCTTCATTGTCATTTCAGCACTGCTGGGAGCAGCCCCTGCACAGAGCAGGAGTAACCCACTACCACTTCAGCAACACTGCCTACAAGAGACACAGTCAAAATCCAGAAGTAGGGTCAGAGTGACAGTACAGCAAGGAGGGTGTTTGCTTTGCATACGGCTGACGCAGGTTCGATCCTGGCATCCCATATGGACCCCCAGCACTTCCAGGAGTAACTCCTGAGTGCAGAGCTGGAAGTAATCTCAGAGCATTGCCAAGTGTGCCCCCCACCAAAAAAAAATTCTAGAAGCAAGGGCCAAGAGTGCTAGTAGAGCGGGGAAGGTACTTCTTTTGCATGTAGCTGACCTGGGTTCAGTCGCTGGTACCTCATAGAGTCCCTAAGCCCATCAGGAGAAAGTTCTGAGCATTACTGGATGTGGCCCAAAACAATACCACAAAAATTGTTAATAAAAGGTAAAGGTAAAAGGTAAAGGCCCTCCCGTTGATCGTCGATTTGCTCGAGCGGGCCCAGTAACGTCTCCATTGGAGACTTTGTTGTTACTGTGTTTGGCATATCGAATACTCTCGGTAGCTTGCCGGGCTCTCCAAGAGGGGCAAATTTAAAAGACTTGAAAGAATGAATTCACTGCCAGCCTCGGAAAGACTTCAAAATTGAGGTGAAATATGGGTCAGAGTGATGGCACAGTGGGGATGGCCTTTGCCATGTGGCCAACCTAGATTTGATCCCAGGTACCCCATTTGGCTCTTGGAGCCAGAAATAAACTATGAGCACCATCAGGTGTGGCCCCCAAACCAAAACAAACAAAAAGAAACATTGAGCTGGGATAGGAGGAGAATTTGAGGGTCCAATTTCTTACCCTTCACAAGGGCCTTTAAGACAATGGTCTCAAATTCTTCAGGGCCATCCTCAGACGAATAGACGGTCAGCAGCTCCTTCCGGGTCATGATCCTTTCCACCTAGAGAGTATGATGCTCAGGAGTGCAGCTTGTTCCTGACCCTGTCAGAGCTAGGAGACCACACCCTACCCTGCAACTCCATAACATAGGTATCTGTCTGGGTGCTCAGCGCCCTCCCCTCAGAAGCTGGGTGCCCTGAACCAGCCTCCTGGGCACTGTGAAACCTCTTCCCGCCACTCCAGGCCTCCGTGTCCCCCACACCATGTCCCCTGCTCCTTCCCATCGCAGGATGCAGAGTTGGGATCTCCCCTTGCCCCCAGCGTCGTACCTGAGCCAGAAGGACTTCAGGGTCCCCTTTGGGGAAAAAACGTTTAATCCGATCACGGACATCGCTGTGTCTGCCACCTCCGCCTCCCGGAGCCAGGGTGTCTTCCAGGATCTCAGCCAGGCAGTCAGCAGCGCCCCCAGATCCGGCCACCAGGAGGCAGGGGAGCTGGGCCTGGGTGGCGTCCTCTACTCGCTACCAGAGAAAGAAGGGCTCAGGCCGGGAAGGAGAGCATGCACCCACCACAGTCCAGATGGCCCAGATCCCTCCTCCCCCCCAAGACTCAGAACCCCGAGTCTGCCCCCCTTCCATCCCTCCCCACTCGGACAAAGGTCTGGAGACCCCATACCTTCAGCATCTTCTCATCGCCATCGATCAGGAGCAGGAGGACAGGGATGTCAATTCCAGTCCCTGGGACAAGAAAAGTCACAGGCTCGACCCCTCATTCGAGCCTTTGCCTGGACTACCTTTCCCAGAGGCCCCCGGGGCAGGCAGTGACTCTTTCCCATCTTGCTGGGAACCGCCTGGTTTGGAGCACGGGAATGTTGATTCCCAGGGAAGAAGGTGACCAGGGATGGATTCCCGGATTCCTGAGTGGAGCAGATGCTGGTGGAGTGAGTCAAACTTATCAGTGATTAGCTACTCCGAAGCCAGGAGCCGGGGAAAGTCCAAATAGCAACTTGGACCAACAGCCATGTCATAAAACAGACTATATATACTTCCCCCATTAAACTGGAATCCTGGTTGGAGTGATAGTACATCCGGTAAGGCGTTTGCTCTGCACGAGGCTGACCCAGGTTCAAGCTCCAGCATCCCATATGGCCCCCACGCCTGCCAGGACTAAACCCTGAGTATTGCTGGGTGTGGCCCCAAAAAAAATTAAAAAGAAAAAAAAAGCACCTGAAATTTTAAAAAGCACAAAAATTGAGATTAAGGGCCGAAGCGATTGCATAGCGAATAAGGCATTTTCCTTGTACACAGCCAACCCAGGTTCAATCCCTAGCATCCCAATGGTCTCTCCCCATCCCCCGCCCAGCACCACAAGGAGTGATTCCTGAGTGCAGAGTGAGGGTCGCAGGGTGTGGCCCCAAAACCAAACATAAAATAAATTGCTATCACAATCACATTGTCACACTGTATACACATCCATGAGTTTGGAGCTAATGCATTCGTTTAAGAAAAATAATAAAATGAAAATGAAAAATAATAAAATAAAAATAATAAAATGAAAAAAGCCTAAAGAATCAAAGTTATTTATTTCAAGAAAACATGATTTATTGCCTCTGAACATCAGAAAGACTTCACTCTAAATAAACAAATATTCACAAGAATATTTGGTAAAGGGTGCCAGAGCGATTAACGGGTAGGGCATTTGCCTTGCATGCGGCTAACCCGGGTTCAATCCCCGGCATCCCATATGGTCCCCCAGCACTGCCAGGAGTAATTCCTGAGTGCAGAGCCAGGAGGAACCCCTGAGTATCACCGGGTGTGACCCAAAAAGAAAAGAAAAGAATATTTGGTAAGAAAATTGAGATAAAAAATATATATAGAAGTCAAAAACTTCCTTAAACTCACAATAATACGTTTCTTACTCCTAGTGTTTTTGTGAAAAAAAAAATGTAGACCACACCCAGCTGTGCTCAGGGGTTACTCCTGCCTATGCTTGGGAGACTATATGTGATGCTGGGGACTGAACCCAGGTCAGCCTTGTAAGCACCCTGCCCACTATACTACCATTCTGGCCTGCTTATTCATGTTTTGATCAAACATCTAAGATACCTGGAAATTAATTCATCCAGAAAAATACATGAGGGACAGAAGACATAATATAGCAGGCAGGGCACGTGGCTTACATGCAGTCCACCTGATTTCTATCCCCACTACTACACATAGCCCCCTAACGAGTGATCCCTGAGCACTGAGCCAGGAATAAGTCCTGAACACCACTGGGAGTGGTGCAAAAGACAAAGAGCAAAAACGTGGGGCGTGGGGACTCGAAAAATGCTCCGTGGGCCAGAGTCCATGTTTTGCCTGCAAAGGGCTGGGTTTAAGCCCATCTTGCCGGGTCCCCTGAGCATCAGGAGTGACCCCTGAGTATAGATTCAGGACTAGCTACTGAGCACTTTGCATGGTCCCAAAATAAATAAATCCAGGGGCTGGATCGATAGCACAGGGGGCAGGGCATTTGCCTTGCATGCAGCCGACCCGAGTTCGATTCCAAGCATCCCATATGGTCCCCTGAGCACCGCCAGGGGTAATTCCTGAGTGCAGACCCAGGAGTAACCCTTGTGCATCGCCGGCTGTGACCCAAAAAGCAAAAAATAAATTAATAAATAAAAATAAATAAATTCAAAACCAAAAACCCAAACCTCTCCAAGACCTCTTTTTTCAAACTGTACTGCATTCATACATAGCTTTCTAACAAACTGACATAATATTAAGTCTCCTACTTATTTGTTTTTCCACTTATTTGTTGAAATTAACCAAACCATTGACACAATACAACTTTTTTTTTTCTTTTTGGGTCACACCCAGCAATGCTCAGGGGTTACTCCTGGCTCTGCACTCAGGAATTATTCCTGGTGGTGCTCAGGGAACCATATGGGATGCTGGGAATCAAACCCAGGTCGGCTGCATGCCAGGCAAATGCCTTACCCACTCCAGCCCCGACACAATACAACTTTAAACTGTAGTAAAAAATTAAATTTTAAATAAGGTAAAGGTAAGGTAAAGGCCCTCCCGTTGATCGTCGATTTGCTCGAGCGGGCCCAGTAATGTCTCCATTGGAGACTCTGTTGTTACTGTGTTTGGCATATCGAATACGTCACGGGGAGCTTGCCAGGCTCTGCCGTGCGGGCGAGATACTCTCGGTAGCTTGCCGGGCTCTCCGAGAGGGGCGGAGGAATCGAACTCGGGTCGGCCATGTTGGCCGCTTGTAAGGCAAACGCCCTACCCGCTGTGCTATCGCTCCTTGCAACTAATTTAGGAGCTGTTTGGAAGTGCTTTCACTTTTATTTTTCTTTAATGTAACGAAACAATTTTTTTAAATTTGTCTTTGGGCCAGAACCAGCAGAGTTCAAGGACCTCACAGTGCTGGGGTGAATGCAGTGCTCCAGGGCTCCCTAATACAGAACCTGCAGTACAGCCCTGTAGGCCACTGCCCAGCCCAAAAACAAAATAATTTAAAAAGTGAGGACTGGAGCAATAGCACAGCGGGTAGGGCATTTGCCTTGCACGCAGCCGACCCAGGTGTTATTCCCAGTATCCCGTATGGTCCCCCAAGCACTTCCAGGAGTAATTTCTGAGTGCAGAGCCAGGAGTAACTCCTGTGCAACGCTGGGTGTGACCCAAAAAGAAAAATAAAAAGTGAGTGCTAGGTATGTAGCTCAGTGGCAGCATACATACACACATGCCTTGCAGGTGCAAAGCTATGGTTCAAATCTCAAGTAAAATTAAATGGGCTGGAGAGATGGGACGGGGTCCTGCCTGGGATTCTGCACAGGGCTGAGTCTGGGGGCACCTATAGATGCTGAGATATTTGGAACTGGGGAGTGAGGGGAATAGATTTTGGATCAGAGGGGTCTCCTCCTAGCTGGGTCACTCACCCCGAACCCCTGTCCTCTGCTGTGCCACGAAGGACTCAAAACTCAGTCGGAAGCCGGTCTCGCCCCCCATGTGGCCATGGGTGCCGTCATCCACCAGGAGGAAGGCCGAGTAGTTGTAGTCCAGGTGGAACTGCTGCCCATCCTCGGGGTCCCCACGCCACCGGTACCTCGCAGGGAAGGAACCCTAAAGGACAAGGGCCCAGACCCTGGCGCTTTCACTCAGACCTCCAGTGTCCAGCCCAGCCTCCTCCCTCATCCCAGGAGTCCCCACCACAGTCTCTTTCCTCAGACTAGGAGATCCCACCCTCAGACCCAGGATTCCCCAGCGAGCCCCCCGCCCCAGGAGTCCTGGCCCATTCCCGGCTCTTAAGGTCTCACCTTGGTGTTGATAAGGGTGTCTCTGTTCCGAACCACTCCCCAAGGGGCCACTCCCATGGCCACGACCTTGGCGCCCCCAGTGCTGGCCATCTGGTGGTCCCGCACGGCCACGCCCACATGGCGGCCGATGCCGGTGTGCAGACCCCCGGTGACGACCCAGGCCCCTGGAGGGACACAGGGCGTGGTCAGAGTCAGGAGGGAGGGACAGACACAGGCAAAACAGAAGCGTCAAGAGCGGGCTCAGTGCTCCAGAGAAGGGCAGGCAGGTGCCCACCCAAGCCCCTGGTCACCTGTGCTCTGGGCGGCCCGCACCAGCCCGCGACGCAGCAGGTCCTGAAGCCAGGTCTGGAGCGTGGGGCCCCCTGACCCCCCCAGCACGGAAACCACCAGGTTTGGGGCCCGGAAGCCCCATGAGCGCGTCACCAGATTGTAAACTGTGGCTGGATCCGTGCGGTCAGAGAGCCGGAGGAACTGTGGACACACAGGAGACACGGGGACAGGGACAGGGCAGGGGGGGACACAGACCAGAGAGAAAAGAGCAGAGACCAGAGAGACGGGAGCAGAGACCAGAGGGATGAGGCAGAGACCAGAGAGACGGGGGCAGAGACAGACGAAGACAGAGACAGGGAGGGACACAGTGCAGAGCGAGCATTGGGTGAGGGATGGGGGGCGGGCATTGAGCAATGCAGGCACAGGCTGGGGCCCCGCCGCCCACCCTGCCCGCCGCTCACATTGCTGGGCTTGCGGCTGGCGCCCATGAAGTCCACCTCCCCGTAGGCATCGGTGGGCTTCTCGGTGGTGTGCACGGCGCTGTCCCACACGGTCACCACGGCTGCTCCGAACGCATCCTCCACTGCCACGGCCAGGTGGTCACCCCGGGGGCATCCACACTGGCACAAGGTCCCTCTGGACAGGAGAGGAGAAGCATGACCCCCAGGGACGTGGCCCACCTCGTGTGTGAGCGCCACAGGGGGCACTCATGTGCCCTGCTGGTCCCCAGGGAATTCGGTGTCCATCCCCTTCCCACTGGAAGGAATGGCTTGAGCAGCCCCTAAGCCTGCAATGGGGAGGCTCAAGCCTACCCTCCCCATGTCTGGGGGTGCAGACACATGCGGTTTGCATTGAAGAGGAAACTTGAAAGTGTTTCTGAGCAGGAGCATGCTTGAAGCTGGGACAGCTGTGTGACTTCAGAAAAGTGGCTTCATCTCTCTGAGTCTGCGTCCTCCTGGACTCACAAGCCCATCATAACTCAGCTGACTGAGTCACCAGAGAAACTGGGCAAGGCTTCCTAAAAGGAGGGGTGCATACCAGGACCTCAGGAGAAAAGGCTCACAGGGCTTTAAATAACTCAGAATAACACAGTGCTGGAGTCATTCTCCTTTCAGTCCCAGGTATGGTCAAAGAGACACTCAGTGCGGTGCTGGAATATCTGTAATTCTTTCATGCCGAACCCTTCATAACACTCTTTTAAAAAACATGTTCGTTGTGGGTCTGGAACGATAGCACAGCGGGTACGGCATTTACCTTGCACGTGGCCGACCCGGGTTCGATTCCCAGCATCCCATATGGTCCCCTGAGCACTGCCAGGAGTAACCCCTGTGCATCACCAGTTGTGACCCAAAAAGCAAAAAAAAAAAGGTCGTTGGAGCGATAGCACAGTGGGTAGGGCACTGACCTGGCACAGAGTCGACAGGTTCAAACTCCAGGATCTCATAGGGACTCCAGGATCTCATAGGGAACCTGGAACCCTCCAGGAATAATCCCTGAGCACTGCCAGGAGTTGCTCTCAATGACTGGAGTTGTTTGGGGCCCCTGTTTGTTGGGGATCATGGAACCCAGACCTGGAGCACATCTGTTTCAACTCTTTTCAACACCAGCAGCAGCTTCTGGCTCCCTCCCAAGAAGGGCTGGAGTCATAGCACAGTGGAGGAGGTGTTTGCCTTGTACACGCCTGACCCAAGTTCGATCCCCAGCTTCCCATATGGTCCCTCAGGCAGAGTGAGGAGTAATTTCTGAGTGCAGAGCCAGGAGTAACTCCTGAGCATCGCTGGGTGCGAGTCCTTCCTCCCCCCATAAAAAAAAAAAAAAAAAAAAAAACAGAAAAAAAGGCACTGTTGTTTGTTTTTCCTAGTGTTTGCCTTGTTTGGTTTGGTTTGGTGGACACAGCAGGGGTGCTAAGGGCTGACTCCTGGTTCTGTGCTCAGGAATCAAGAGCCACTCCTGGCAGGACTCAGGGAATACTGTGTGATATTGGGTTACCTCTATGCAAGGCAAATGTGTTACCCCTAGACTATCTGATCCTGTATTTGTCTTTGAGGGCTGCTTTCTTGTGGCAAATAGTGACCAGCTAGTCCCTATTCTTTTCTGTTTGTTTTTTTTGGGGGGACCCATACCCAGTGATGCTCAGGGGTTACTCTTAGCTCTGTGCTCAGGAATTACTCCTGATGGTGCTCAGGGATGCCAGGATCAAATCCACATCAGCTGTGTGCAAGGCAAGCGCTTTTCCCACTGTACCATTGCTCTGGCCCCCAGATAGACTTATTTTCTGCCTAAATAAAGATCAAACATCCCTTGCAGTCTCAATGCCATATGCAGTGAGTCGCAAAGATCCCAGCATCTCATAGAGATAGAAAAAGCATTTCTTGGAGAAAGGATCTAACCCTCTGCAGTGCCTTAGTCCAGAACGATTTCAGGGAGCAGGAGAGGTGAAAGTTTCTGCAACTGAGTTAGGTACAAAATAAGAAGCCACTTGGGGGCTGGAGCGAGAGCACAGCGGGTAGGGCATTTGCCTTGCATGCGCCCGATCGGGGTTCGATTTCCAGCATCCCATATGGTCCCCTGAGCACTGCCAGGAGTAATTCCTGAGTGAGGAGCCAGGAGTAACCCCTGTGCTTCACCAAGTGTGACCCAAAAAGCAAAAAAAAAAAAAAGAAGCCACTTGATGGAAAGGCTCTGGCTGGAGCTGAGAAAACAAGGCGCCACCACAGGGTCTGTGCGTGTGTGAAGTCCTAGATTTGATCCCAGTACTGCCTACCTGCCCCTACCTGAATCCTGGCTCTGCTTGGGGTCTTGGTGGCCTCCAATATTGCCTGTGTAGCCTTACAACAATGACAAAGTAGTGTCCCTTTGACTCCCCAAAAACAAAACCAAAAAAATGATGAAATAAAGAGCGTGGGGCGATAGCCCAAAGGCCCAGAACACAAAGATCCCCTGAGCACCACCCGGAGGGAGTCCCAGGCATTGAGCCAGAAGTAGCCCCCAAATACCACTGGGGGGTGTCCCCCATAAAAAGAACAGGAAAGAAAAAAATGGACGTTGATCCTCAAATCGGGTAAACAGACTAGCCTGATCCCTGGCAGGCACCTGAAGTAAGGTTCAAACCTCTCCTTTCCAAGTCTACCTCCAGAGCCCTGGTGTGCCTCAGTTTACCCGGTTCATCTTTTCTTGGCCTCTTTCCCATCTCTGGATGCCTCTCTTTCCCTTCCATTCACTTCCCTCTAGACCTCCCTGGCAAAACTTTTTGAATTATTCTAGAACCTGTGCTATCCAGTACAGAAGCACCTAGTTATATAGGTGCCTTGTTCTAGTCAAACACATTACAATGAGGGGCTGGAGCAATAGCACAATGGGTAGGGCGTTTGCCTTGCACGCCGCCAACCCAGGTTCGATTCCTAGCATCCTATGAGCACCGCCAGGAGTAATTCCTGAGTGCATGAGCCAGTAGTAACCTCTGTGCATCACTGGGTGTGACCCAAAAAGCAAGCAAACAAACAAACAAACAACACATTACGATGAAACACAAATCAAAAATCAGCTCCTGGGGCTGGCACCATAGTACAGCAGGGAGGAGGACACTTGCCTGGCACGCGGCCCACCCAGGTTCCATCCCTCAGTACCACATAGGGTGCCCAGAGCCCTCTAGGAGTGACCCCTGAGCACAGCTGGGTCACTGTCACTGTCATCCTGTTGTTCATTGATTGCCTCGAGCAGGCCCCAGTAACATCTCCTTCATCCTAGCCCAGAGATTTTAAAAAGTGCCACATTCGAGGCTTTTTCAGGGTCAGGAGGATGAGACCCATCATTGTTACTGGTTTTTGGCATATTGAATATGCCACAGGGAGTTTGCCAGACTCTGCCGTGTGGGCAGGATACTTCTGGTAGCCTGCCAGGTTCTCCAGAGTAAGAACTAGATAATAAGATGTTGCGCAGCCGCAAATGCGGCCGTGCACTTCCGGGAGCAAGGTTTTATAGTCTCTGGATCTTGGCCATTGATGGGATTACACAGCGCCGCTGGGGCAGTTGATGGGTGTAACGCCTACATACTGGAAGATGGGAGATCTGGGTAGAGGAGGCCCCAGTCCCAATCCGAGCAGGCTTGGAGATCTATGCCACGGGTCCCACACACCTGGGTTCCTCTTCCAGCTCCTTCATGCGTGAGGCTCAGCTGGGTATGGCCCAAAAACCAAAATATAAATTAAAATAAAATGTCAGTTCCTCAGAGTGCTCAGTGACCACCTGTGGCAGCATGTTGGTTGCAGATATGGAATATTCTGGTGAGCAGTGACTAGAAATATCTCCATCCCCCACTCACCATGGCCCCCAAAACTGAAATTCCTAATCAAAGCAGCCATTTTCTGCACACGCCCACACACAATGCACTCTATTCAAGGCTCACCTGACTGTAAGTGGCACCGGTCACAGGGTGAGGCTCCGATTCTAGAAACTGTCCTTGGCTCAATTCTAGAAACTGCCCTTGGCTCAGCACACCTGCCCTGGCCTCCCTCCGGCCCAGCTACCTGATCGCTGCCTAAGTGCAATGACCCAGAAGGAGGACCCACAGGGTCCCAAACTCAATGCACCAGGCAGGAAACTAAAGGAAAAGACACTTTAGTGGGGGGATTTGGTAATTTCTTAAGTCTGTTCTGACCTGATGTGTCTGTGTCTTTCTGAAGCATTCATAAATGGCTTTAAAAATGTTTTTTTGGGGGGTTGGAGTGATAGCACAGCAAATAGGGCGTTTGCCCTGCACGTGGCCGACCCAGGTTCAATTCCCAGCATTCCATATGGTTTCCTGAGCACTGCCAGGCATAATTCCTGAGTGCAGAGCCAGGAGTAACCCCTGTGCATTACCGGGTGTGACCCAAAAAAGTGATCTTCGGGGGCCTGAGCAATAATACAGCAGGGAGGGCGTTCGCCTTGCACATGGGCAACCCAGGCTGGATCCCTGGCATTCCATATGGTCCCCCAAGCAGCACCAGATTTAATTTCTGAGTGCTGAGCCAGAAGTAACCCTGAGTACCACTGAGTGTAGCCAAAAATAACACTGTAGCACTGTCTTCCCATTGTCCATCAATTTGCTCGAGCAGGCACCAGTAACATCTCCACTGTGAGATTTGGTACTGTTTTTGGCATATCTAATACGCCACAGGGAGCTTGCGGGAGGGATACTCTTGGTAGCTTATTGGGCTCTCCGAGAGGGATGGAGCAATCGAACCCGGGTCGGCCATGTGCAAGGCAAACACCCTAGCCACTCTGCTATCGCTCCAGCCCCACCTCTAAAGTAGACGCTTTACTCTTCTTAGGCCCTGTGCTTTGCAATAGTTCTAGCATTGTCATAGTGTCCCTTCTCTGTCCATCTACCATCCTTCCCTCTTCTTTTTTCTCTCTCTTTTTTTTTTTTTTGGTGTTTGGGCCACATTTGGCATTATAAGTTAGTGGCATGCTCGGGGCATGGTTAGGAAGACCAGGTAAAAATGGCATGGGGTGTGTGTCTGTGTATGTGTGTGCATGTGCGTATATGTGGGTGTGGGTATGTGTGCAAACAATTGACATTATAAGCTAGAATGGGGCATGGTTAGAAAGACCAGGTAAATTGGCATAGTGTGTGTGTGTGTGTGTGTGTGTGTGTGTGTGTGTGTGTGTGTGTTATTTCAGATAGGCTGGTGGGACTGGCCCTTTGAGAGGGAGGGGACTGTAGCAAGGAAGGGAGGTGGCCTTGACTTGTAAGTGGGTCCAAGCCCCCAGGTGTTGCAGGCCAGCTCTGAGGCCAATGGGGCTGCTGTAGAGGTGGGGCTGGGGAGAGGAGGGTGCAAGCTAGTTAGCATGTGACTTGGAAGAGGTATCTAGGGGGCTGGAGCAATAGTAAGGTGACTAGGATGCTCGTCATGCATGCAGCCAGTTGACCTGGGTTCGCACCCAACATAGTCCCCTAAGGCTTGAGCCAAAAATAAGTAAGAAAAATAAATAAATGAAATAAAAAATTATTTAAGTGTGGGGGGAAAAAAGAAAATCCAAACAGAAAAACTCTTCCATGCAAGGGGCCAGGGAGAGGCTAAGTGGTTAGTGCAAAGACCAAATTTAACCCCAACACCCCTTGGCCTTCCAGCCCAGCCAAGTGTAGCCCTGGAATACCCAGGCACCCCCCCGCCAGATCATCACCATGTATTGAACCGCTTGGCCCTGTTGGCTGAATATCACCAAGAGTGGTCCTGGGGCTCCTAAACATCACACAATTTTCAAGAATTGCTGCATTTGGGGTCAATTCGAACCTGTACCTGCTTGCTGCAGGAAAAATTTCTCCCTATTTTGGCGGTAGGGAGGGTTGCGGGGGGCATGCAATGGCCACATCTGCAGTGCTCAGGGCTTACTACTATCTCTGTACTCAGGCCATTCCTGGTAGGGAAACACATGCAGTGTCAGGGATCAAATCAGGGTTAGACACATACAAGGTAAATGCTTCCCCTACTACCTCTAGGTCCCAATTCCTCACCCTTCTCTCTCACATCTGCCTTCAGCTGTCACTTCCAGACCCTTCCTCCTCCAGAACTCAAAGGTCATGCAGTATCCCAGTTAGCTCCCAAGCATCCCTCCCCCTTTCCCCTTCCACTGTCCTTGTCAACTCCCAGCTCTGTGATAATGATTCCCATAAGGAAGAAAGTCTGGAGGGGCTGGGAAAGGGGCTAAGGGTGCAGTGCAGGCCTGAGACCCTGAATTTATCCCACATGAATTCCTAGCACTGTTGGGTGTGGTCCCCACAGCAATAAACACTCCCCAAAGAAGTTTTAAGTGCTGCTGAGATAGCACAGTGGGTAGGGCACTTGCTTTGCAAGTGGCCAGCCAGGGTTCAATCCCCAGCATCCCCTACGGTGCCCCAAGCCCTGCCAGGAGTGATCTCCAAGCACAGAGCCAGGAGTAAGCCCTGAGCATCGCTGGGTGTGACCTAAAACCAAAATTAAAAAGTTTTGAAGTGTTGAGCACTCACCCCAACAAATGTTTATTTACAAAGGTTGATTTACATACCATTGCTGGCACATACTAACTCTGGAGGTACCCTTCTCCCCAAAAGAGAAAAAGGTGTCTGGAAGTCAGAGCCCTCTGGAAAGAGCAGCCCTGAGGCTGGAAGCTGCCCAAGGTGGTACCCCACTATCTGGCTCCCAGACAGTGACCAGCGCCTGCCTTTGGGCAGGAGCTGCAGAAAAATCTCCAGGTCCTGCTTGGTCACACATTAACTTGTTTAATTACAGGAACAGAAAACTGGCTCAAAGGGCTGGGCACAGGTGTTGCACGCAATATCCAGGGGGGCTTGACCCCCTGTAACCACAGGATCGGCCCCAAGCATATAGCTGGGAGTCTGAGCAGACAGGTTTTCAGAAACAAAGGAATAATCAAACAATTCTCAGGGTCACCCCAGGAGGCAGAATGATTTGCCCTTAGCCACACAGCCAAGTTCCAGGTGAACCTCAGCCCCGGGTGTGGCCTGGCACCTCCCAAATGCGTTCCCCCCCCCTTCAAGGTGGCGGTTTCTCGGATGAATGAGGCACAACCTGAACGGGAAATGGGGAGACAAAGACACTCGGGGTGCGGCACGCACAGAACCGAGCCTGTCAACACTGATCCTGGGAAGGCAGCGGGGAGATGGGGCGCTGGAATGCTCCGCAAAGACCCTCACGGCGCGGCAGCTGCCACCCCCCAGCCCCTGCGCGCCCCCGGAACGCCCTTGGGCGATCCTGCGGTGGGGGCGGAGCGGCGCGGGTCGGGGGCGGGTCGGGGGGCGGGGCCTGGGCGGGCGGGGCGGGGCGGGGCCGGCGGCCGCGGACTCGGGGTCGGTTCGCGGGTGGGTGCTGGGCTCACCGCGAATCGCTGGGGTCCACGATGAATGTCGTGCATGTCTTCTTCTTGAAGATCTTGGGGATCCAGCTCTGGGGACGGGAACAGGGTCGGGGGTCAGTTCCGTCACTGAGGAGCGCCTCGCCCTACCCCGGGACCCCGTTCTCAGGACCCCGCCCTCTTCCACATGCTCCAACAGCCCCGATCTCCTGCGGATGCCCAAGGACCCAGGATTCAGGCCGGCCCCACCAGCCCCTCGGTCCTCAGAGTCCGGATCTGGCGTCCAGCCGAGCGCTCTCTGCGAAGTGAGACCCGCCCGCTCCCTGCACCCAGAGCCGCGCGGCTCACCTGCTCCTTCTCCGCGCCCACCATGCTGGCGCGGCCTCCGCACCCCGATTCCCTCCAGCACCCGGTTCACGGCCGCCAGGGACAAACCGGATCCGCCACTTCCAGCCCAGTCTGGGGCGGGGCAAGTTCTTGGGGGGCGGGGGCGGGGAGACTTGAGACTCATAGCAGGAGGCGGGTCCTAGGACCGGGACAGGCCAAGCCTCAGAGAGGGACTGAGACCCAGAGAGAGGAGGGACAGAGACTCAGATAGAAAGACAGAGACCCAAAGAGGGAGGGAGAGATACACAGAGAGAGGGGGACAGAGTCCCAGAGAGAAGGAGCAGGGAAAATCAGAGTTGAGAGAGGAGTCAGAGAATCTGGGGGCGGGGGTGGGGTGCGCAGCGAGGGCCACAAACACTTAAGTTGAGGGTGGAGAGATGGGCACCTGTGAGATCACTCAAAGGGCTGGAGTGGAGGCTGGCATGTTTTTGATCCCCACCACCCCGGTACCCTTGGCTCCCTCAAGCACCAACCTTCAAGCCTACACACTGGACCAAAACTGCAGGATTTTGGGGCCCTACCAGGCTGTGCTCAGGATCTATTCTGTCTCTGCATTCAGGAATCACTCCTGGAGGGCTCAGGGGACTATATGTGGTGCTAGGACTCGGACCCGGGTTGACCATGGGCAAAGCAAGCACACTACCCATTGTACTATCTCTTTGGCCCCCTATATATTTTAAGGACTTTGAGTCACACTCGGCAGTGCTCAGCAACTACCCCCAGCTCTGTGCTAAGGGGCCATGTGGTGTGGGGAATGAAACTGGGGTCAGTTGCCCTCAAGTGCCTATCTCTGCTGGACTATGTCTCCAGCCCACCCCAAATATTTTTAAATCAAATCTAAATGAATTAACTAAGCCTCAGCCAATCTGAACTTCGTCCCTAACACAACACAGAATCCCCAGAGCACTGCCAGGAGTCATCCCTGAGCACCACTGGGTATGGCCAATGGCAAAAACTCAAAAGGAAAAAAGAGAAGGCAAGGAGGCCAGAGAGCAGGACAAAGGGGCACGCTGATCTGAGACAAAGACACGGGACACCGGGAGAATGCACCAGGGAGGAGGACAGAGACAGGAAGTGGCACATGGAGACTGAGCAATAACACAACGGGGAGGGCTTTTGCCTGGCATGCGGCCAAACCGAGTTCAATCCCCAGCATCCCACAGTGTCCCCCCAGCACTTTCAGGAGTGATTTCTTGAGTGCAGAGCCAGGAGTAACCCCTGAGCATCACTGGGTGTTACCCAAAAAGCCAAAAAAAAAGAAAAAAGAAAAAGGAAAAGAAAAGAAAGTGGCATATTGGGGACCCAGAGTGACCGCCACGGGGACACTGACACCCACATGCAGGTCACATGTCTCCTGCGCACACTTTGGAACAGGGACAGGGAAAGGAACAGCTGCACTCTGTGGAACCTGAGCTCCAGTACCCCTCCCCACCCCCCGCTTTATTTATAGCCCTGGCTGGCCTGTTCCTTGCACCCAGATCTGAATCCCAGGGACAGGTCACTGGGGGCATGCTGGGAGCAGCTCCCCACAGCCCTCTCCAGGGACCCCACTATCTCTGCCAAGTCCCCACTGCAGCTTTATCGGATCTTACTCCTGCCCCCTTCTTCCACGACGGCCAGCTCTTCCCTCGGCAGCGTCCCTCTTGGCCCCGCCACATATCCCCCAACACACTCAGCTTGCCCCACTGAAAGTCTAGTTCTTGTCTGAGCAGCTGTCTGTGAAGACATAAATTTCCATGAGCCAATGTCAAGTGCCTTGACATGGTCCCGTGGCCCAGGGGAGACCCTGCAGGCACCCCTGCCCTCAGAGGGAGGGAGGGGCCTGGCCACCCCAGAATAGCTCAAGCTGGACTAAATTTAGCTCCGAGAGGGGAGGGGTGAGGCCCTATTGGCTGGGAAGTGGGGAGGGAGGGCCTGATAGGGAGGTCAGGGGGCTCCTGAAGGCCTCAGAGGGGTGTCCAGGCTGGTCCACGGAGGCCAGAGGAAAGCGGGGACAGGACCTGCAGTGAAGGCCCAGGAGGCAAGAAAAAAGAGCAAAGGCGCAAGGACTCCAAGCTTCGTTCCCAGATCATCAAGGCAGACAGAATCCGTTCGTCCCCATGGGCCACCAGGCGCCATGGTCACACACTTGTCTCCTCTGGACAGCTGTGGCCATCCTGCTCCTCCCCCCAGCCATGACCCAGCAGCTGAGGGGGCCTGGCCCGAGCCCCAGCCCCTGGAACCATAATGCGGGGCTACCGGGGCCCTCCGAGGACACATCAGCCGAACTGGGCCACCCGAGTCACGGAGGTGAGAAGGAAGGGCCCCCCCGGGTGAGTGGACGTCACGTCCTGAGCTATGGGGAAGAGGACAGAGACGTCTCCCAGGAGTATAGTGACCGGCTCCAAGGTATAAACAGCGAGGAGGGGACTCAGCAGGAAGGTGGAGATTTGGTGGGACACGGGCTCCGTGGCCACCACCACCGGGAGGAGGAGGAGGAGGAAGAGGAGGAGGAGGAGGTTGTGTCCAGTGAGCATCACCATTACAGCACCAGGCACGCACACCGAAGCCATGGGGAGGAAGATGAACATGAGAAAGGTGGAGATGCCTCCAGCGAGTATGGACTCCAGGTCCGCGGACACCGAAGCCACAAAGATGAGGATGAAGATGATGGCGATAATGACGAGGCCTCCAGCGAATATGGACTCCAGGTCCATGGACACAGAGGCCACAAAAATGAGGATGAAGATGATGACGATAATGATGCCTCCAATGAATATGGACTCCAGGTCCATGGACACCGAGGCCACAAAGATGAGGATGAAGATGATGATGATAATGATGCCTCCAATGAGTATGGACTCCAGGTCCACGGACACCGAGGCCACAAAGATGAGGATGAAGATGATGATGATGATGATGCCTCCAGTGAGTATGGACTCCAGATTCACAGACACCGAGGCCACCGGGAGGAAGAGGATGAAGATATGTCAGAGGAACACCATCCTCATGCCCCCAGCCATGGACATCAAGGTCACAGAGATGAGGAAGATGAGGATGAGGATGTGTCCACTGAGCAGTGGCACCCAGTTCACAGACATCCCCAAGGTCAGGAGGAAGATGAGGAGGAGGAGGGGCTCTCAGTCAGGTTCAGCCACCCTGTTGCAAGCCACCAGCCCCAAGGCCACGAGAGCCCTGAGCATGAGGTGTTCCCAGGTGAGCATAAGGAAGTAGTTTCTGGGCACCAGCATCAAAGAGTGGCTGAGGAAGACGATGGGGACCTCTCTGGAATGCCCAGTCAACAGGCTCCCAGTTCCAGAGATGAAGGAACAGGTGACAAAGCATCCATCAAGGAGGAGATGAGCCCCCGGTCACAGAGACATGCAGAGGGTGAGGAGATCAGTCACTGGAAGGCTAGAGAGTCAACAGAGGAAGAAGACAAGAAGGGAGAAGAAGAGGAAGAAGAGGAGGAAGACTCACAGCAGAGGGAAGAATCCCACCAGGACCGCCCAGAGCAAGAGGATGAGGAAGATGAGGACGATGGAGGCCACGGTGTCAGCTTGAGCCAGGAGGAAGAGGAGGAGGAAGAGCTGGGGGAGAGGAAGCAAGAGAGGGCAGAGGTTGTGGCCCCCCTTAGCTCTTCCCATCAGGAGGAGGAAGATGAAGAGGGGCTAGAGGAAGACCAGTTCCCATTCACTATCATCCCCAACCCACTAAGTGCTCGGGAGGTGGCTGGAGAGAGTGCCAGTGAGGAGGACGATGGTGAAGACACAGGTAAGTGGACCTGCAGGCTGGAGAGGGCTGAGTCCAGCCAGCTTGGTCACCGCTGCCCTTCTGTCCCCACAGATTCACAGGATGCCCAGGATTATGGGAACTACCAGCCAGGGTCCCTGTGTGGCTATTGCTCCTTCTGCAATGTACGTAACATGGGAGCCCCCCAACTCAGCTGTGCCTGGAATTCGCCCTGGGGTTCCTGGGAAGCCTCAGGAGTTCCCTGAATAAAGGAAGGGCAGAAGCACGATCTGAGAAAGACACTTCTGGGGCCACATGGGGGGTACACAGGAGGTTGAGACAATGCTGCAGACAAGTGATGGAGTCTGAGGTGTTTGGAAGGAAATGGATAGACAGTGGGGTGAGTTGGGGGAGGGTAACAGCAGGGTCAAGACCAAAGCAGAGTAAGGGAGAGAGAACTACAAGGAATCTCTCAGAAATGGGTTTGGGGGCTGAGGAGTTGGGGAAATGTCCAAGGACAAAGAGGATGGATGGGCTGGGGGGGAGGTCTGCATTTCATCTGACCAAGCCCCTCTGGTCCCCAGCGATGCACAGAATGTGAGAACTGCCACTGCGACGAGGAGAACATGGGTGAGCACTGCGACCAGTGCCAGGTGAGGCCCCCCCACACACACACCTTCGACTGCATCAAGGCCCCAGGGACCCCAAGATGGCACAAGACCATCCGCGTGCCACAGCCCCTAGACTAGCCCTGCTTTCAGGGAGCTGCCGTGTCCCCGCCCCCATCTTGACCCCGTCCTATCGCCCCCTCTTGCCTTCCAGCACTGCCAATTTTGCTATCTCTGCCCGCTGGTCTGTGAAACCGTCTGCACTCCAGGTGAGCAAGAGCTGCGCCCCGCAAACCCTACTAAGGGCCGGGGATTAGCAAGGCGAACCCCGAGGGGCGGGGCCAATTAGGAAAGGCTTGAGGGGCGGGGCCTTAAAGGGGCGGAGCCGAAGCTGCTGCTGCGGCGGCGAAAATGGGCGGAGAACTGAAGGGAGAACCTGGAACCGCGCGTGGCCCCAGTAAGGGTGAGTTCCTGGAGTGCGGGGACCCGGAGAAGCAAGAGAAATTCTCGTTTGGAAACTCAGAAAAAGTGTTTTTTTCTCCCCCCATTTCGCCCAAAGGGATACCCCCTCAAGTCTCTTCTCTCCCACAGGAAGCTACGTCGATTATTTCTCCTCGTCCCTGTACCAGTAAGTGTGTGGGGGGGGTGCTGGCTTCGGGGTCCCGTCCCGTTTGGAGTGTCCCCTCCCCACCGCCCGGCAACTGGAGGAGCCCGAGTGTGCGCTTGGGAAACCCCTAACCTCCTCTTCCTGCTCCCCAGGGCTGTGGCGGATATGCTGGAACCCCGGGAACCCTGAGCCGGCTGCGCATCCGCAGCGCACGTCCCTTCCCACGGACCCTATTTATTTTTCGGAATAAACGAGCTCCCCGGAAGCGTTACGGGCCTGGGGTTTGCATTCTCCGGGCCGTCGGGCACGTGGGTAGCCACTGAGAGAACTCGGAGTCCGAGGGAAGAGAGACCTCGGCTCGTGGATCCTGGAGGTGCTGGGTTTTGCTCTTTCGACGAAGAAAACAGTGGAGTCGGGGCCTTTCTGAAACAGTTCTCTTTACCCGTGATCACTGAGTGACGCCCGGGGCAGGGAGGCCGAGCCCTCCGTCCTCCCCCTCCCTAAGCCACGTCGCCCAGTGGCATCGTGGAAAGAGGATTCTCCCATGCAAACCCCGGGGCCGGAGGGGGCCGGGGAGCGCACTTCTGCGCCCCCTACCCCCGGGGCACGGACACGGCCACAGCACGGGGGGGCGGAGGGGCCCCGGGGCCACGAGACACTGGGAAGGGAGAGGGGACCCCGCCCACCGCCCACCCCGGGCACCAATGACCAGACGCGGCAGGGCGGGCTCGGGTGGCCCAGGAGGCGAGGCGAGGCTTGTAGCAGCGAGTCCCCCCCAATCCCCCGCTCCTCCTTGCGGACGGAGAAGGAAGACTTGGGCCTCGCGACTGGGGAGGACAGAGTGGAGGGACGGCCTCTCCACGCATGCGGCCCGGGAGGGAAGCCCCGCTCCTCCCCGCGGGGGAAGGACCCCCCGCTCCGATCGGAAACGGATCAATAAATTACAAAGTAGAGAACGGGGGAGGTGGGCGCGGGGGCGGGAGGGCTTCCGGTCTTCTCGGTCCACCCGCTCAGTCCAGTTTGGTCCAGTCCGTTGGCGAGGCGGGGCCGCGCTCTCCCCGCGCGTCTGTACAGATGGTCCAGTCCGCGGCGCCCGCTCTCCGCGCGGGGGGGTGGGTGGGGGCTCAGCCCCGCCTCTGGAAGGAGCTTCCGAGTGAGGTCACCTGCGGGGACGCCAGGAGGGACGCGGGGCGTGAGGAGCCGCCGCGCCGCCGCATCACCCCCCCTCCTGTGCCCGCGGCCGTGCTCACCTGCAGGTCTACACTAGCAGGAATATGTCCGCACCGACACGCCGTCTGCCCGGGAACTCCCCGAACTCTGGCCTGGAGGGAGAGCGGGCAGTGGGTCCGCGGGGGCGTCCCCACTGCCCACCCCCACCATCCTTCCCGCGGATGTCCCCTCCACGCCGGTTTCACTCCCAGTCTCGGTTTCATCCAAAGCGCCCCCAGTGCCTCCCTAGGAGGGAGCTGGCCTTTTCTCATGATTGGGGAAGAATGAAAGGACCAGGTCCCTTCATCCCCTGGGTAAGGAGGCTTCTAGAACGTGTGGGGGTGCACAGGGGTTACTCCTGGCTCATGCACTCAGGAATTACCCCGAACACAGCCAGGAGTAATCCTGGACCGCCTCAGAGCCAGGAATAAGCCCGGAGCACAGCTGGGTGTGGCCCCCCAAACAAACAAAAGCCCGACCGCGCCGATCCCCGACCCATCCCAGGATGCAGGCAGGAGGGGCTGTGGGGCCTTGGGCGCCGCCCACCTTCCGGTTGCAACTTGCGGAGAGGAAGCCCAGGCGAGCCCAGGGCTCCTGCTGCGGCCGAACGAAAGTTGGGGGGCAACATCTCAGCTGAGTCGGGAGTGACGCCTCGGAGGTCCTTCTCTCGGAACATCTTCCTCCAGGATGGGGAGCGGCTAAAGGACTTGGCGCTGTCCTATGTAGAGGGGCGAGGCGGCGAGCGAATGAGGGAACCAGGGTCGGGTCGTGGCTACACCCTCCTGCCCCGCCCCGATATGATCACGGCCCTGCCCCCTTGGGGGCCATAGAAATGACATTTGCATCCTGATCAGCTTCCCACCTCGTCCAGCCGCCGGTCTGTGCCCAAGGAGATGAGGTTGCTGAATTCTTTCTCCAGGAGTTGCCGGGCCTGCAGAGAGGCAGAAGGGCTACTGCGTGCAGTCTGGGGCTCGGGGAGGGGGTCCGCGGCGCCCCCTCACGCCGAAGCGGGCCTGAGCCGCAGCTCACCTGGGCGTTCTGCGTGGGGATCTGCAGGAGCAAAGCCAGGTCCGAGTAGTCGAAGGTCTCGTCCAGGGCCAGCAGCGCCCCGTGCACCCCGCTCTCCGTGAGGTTCGTGGCGAATTCCTTCAGACCGAGGCCGGATACCCAACCCATGACCCGCTCATTGGACCACACCATCACATCTGGGAATGGAAGGAATCCTTTGCAGGACCTTCCCAGAACAAGTCTGTCCAGTTGGGCCCAGTCCCTTCCCCCTGCCATCTCCCCACCTGGCCATGCCTTCATGTTGGCTGGACCCTCTCATTGGTTTACAGTGGGGGTGTTGCTCCCTAGTCTCCCTGAATCCCCCTCCTCCAGCCCTGGCTCAACGCCAGCACTTTGGCTCCCAGGAGACTCCCTCCTCTTACCTCTGATCTGGGTCTGGCTTTCTTCCCGCCGCCGCTCTAAGTCTTTCCGGTCATAGTTGAGCCGTTTCAGACACATGATTCCATAATGCAAACTCACTCTGAGAGGCAGGAAGTGGGGTCACCCAGGGGCCTCAGAACTCCCAGTGTCTGCCACTTCTACCGGGATCACTCCCTTGGCTGTGGTCATCTGGGACAGCTTGGGTTTTGTGTGGTTGTTACTTTGGAGCCACACCCAGCGGTGCTCGGGGCTGACTCCTGGTTCTGTGCTCAGGGGACCCTACGGGATGCCAGGAGTCCAACCCAGGTGGGCTGTGTGCAAGGCTAGTGCCCTTCTTGCTGTACTATCTCTCCAGCCCAAGCTCAGGGAGATGTTCCACCAGGTCAGTTCTAGACTGTTCCATGAGCTGTGGGCATCTTCAATGAGTTTTTTTTTTCTTTTTGAGTCACACCCGGCGATGCACAGGGGTTACTCCTGGCTCATGCACTCAGGAATTACTCTTGGCAGTGCTTGGGGGACCATATGGAATGCTGGGAATCGAACCCGGGTCGGCCGCGTGCAAGGCAAATGCCCTACCCACTGTGCTATGGCTCCAGCCCCCAATGAGCAGTTCTTTTAGGCCAAATTGGCTAAGGTGGTGCATCGTGCAGTCATTTAGCCAGGTCGTTTCTGGACTTTTCCTAATGGGTCATTATACTGGCAGAAGGAGCTAAGTAGTCAGGGTTTCCTCGGAATCAAGGCTCAAGGAACTCCCCATTACTGCTCTCAGAGGCCCAAGGCTAGGGGCGGGGCTTCCCGGGACTGTCCCCCATGGCCAGGCAGCTCCCACCTGTGGAAGCTGTCCACCATCTTGAGTTGGCCCCGGAGCTCCTTCTTGTTCAGATGGTCTAACATGCGCGCATCCACCAGCGATTCCATGAAGTAGCTGCGGTACTGGGGCAGCCCCAGGCTGGGCAGCCAGTCATTTCCCACCCACTCGTGGTTCATGTCGCCGTATGCCAGGATCTGGGGCCATGGGCAGGTGAGGGAGGGGTCAGGCCCTCTGACCACTTCCCATGTATGTAGAAGAGGGGTCCAGCCCAGCCCTCACCAACCCCCACTCCCAAACTTCTCTTCCCCCTCAGTGTGAGTCAATGGCAAATCTCTGCTCTGGACTACAGATCAATCCAAGGTGGTCCCCTCGCCCTGGTCATGAGACTATGGTGTCATCAGCTTCGAGCGTGGCCCTCAGACCTGCCGTGTTGCCATCCTCTGTGCACTGGCTGGCATCCAAGGGTCTCAGGCCTACCCGGGGCTACTGACTCAGAATCTGCATCCTCACAAGTTCCTTTAGTGAATTGTGCGCGAACCCTTCAGACCTGCCAGTTCGACACTCCCCGCCCCCCCCTCCCAGCACCATCGCTGTTCCCCCCAACTAAGGAAAAAAGGCTCTTTCAGCATTGCTCTCCCCTTTCCCCCAGCAGAGCCCACCCATCACTCCCTCACGGCCCTCAAAAGGCCAATGTAATGTGGCACATGGTCCGGGGCTAGATTCGCGATGAATCCAGAGTCCTGTCCCATTATCAGAAGCCAACAACCCATAACTCCTCCAGTCTGGACACCAAGATCACAGCCCAACGTGCCTCCGATTTCTTGAGAGTCCAGCGCCCCAACCTCCTGGCGGACTCTGCTGCCCACTCCCCGCCACCAAAACCGTTCCTAAAAGTGGAATTTCGCCCTCAACCCTCGGAGCAACAGGCTGCAACGGTCGGCCCCTAGAGCCAGGCTGCCCGCAGTGATGGGATGGCCCTGCACGACGCTGACCCCCGCCCGGCCATCGGGAGTGAAGAGCCGAGCTGCGCGCAGCGCCCCCGCGTGGCGATGATGGGAGGGAAGGGGCGGGCTCAGAGGGGGCGTCCATGCAGCGTGCACAGCCTGGTCATGCGCCCATTGCCCGCCCCGCGCCCCCTACCTGCTCCCAGCTGATCTCCTTGGTCTCCTGACCCGTTAGTGGGAAGAGGGGAGAGAAGGGATGGGTTAAGGGGAGAGCGGAGGCGGGCGAGCGGACAGGAGGAACAAGGAGCAGGGTCGCCGGGCCGGCTCGCCCCGCTTCCCTCCCGAGGGCGTTAGCGCCACCCCAGGGCTGCCGACAGAGGGCACTCACGGGCTTGGTCGTGGCGGTGAGGGATTCCATCTCCTCGTGGGTCATCCACACGTTTCCTGTGGACTGAGTAGGGGGGCGCGGAGGGTTGAGAAATGGCTTCCGGGATTCGGAGGGGAAGAGGGGGAAGGGGGCCTGCTTCGGAGGACCTCAGATCATGAATATCTTCTTTATTTTAAAAAATATTATTTGAGGCTGGAGCAATAGCCCAGTGGGTAGGGCATTTGCCATGCAAGCAGCCAGCCTGGGTTCTTCAATTCCCACATCCCATATGGTCCCCCAACCACCACCAGGAGCAATTACTGAGTGCAGAGCCAGGAGTAACCCCTGTGCATTGCCAGGTGTGACCCAAAAAGCAGAAAAAAAATTTTTTTTAATATTATTTAATTACTATTATTTTGGTTTTGGGTCATACCTGTCGGTGCTCAGGACTTACTCCTGGCTCTGTATTCAGTGATCAATCCTGGTGGGTTCAGGGGGCCATATGGGATGCCAGTGTTCAAACCCAGGTTGGCAGCATGAAAAGCAAGAGCCTTATGCGCTGTACCGTCACTCTGGCCCTTGGGACCATGGTTATCTGCGTACTACACCCAGATTTCCAGACCATCTCAAAAGAGGGAGCACGTGCTTCATTTGTGAAGGGCCTGTGACTTGCGATTGGGCAAACTGAAGTTTGAACTGGGCCAGGAGTATTGCCGGTGGCCTGGGCAGCTGGTGTCACCTGTCACCTCCCTTACAGTTTGAGAACTCAAAATGAGAACACAGACACAGAGCAATAGAACAAATGTCTGTGTGTGTGATACATTTTCACAGTCACCTAGTTTTTGGTTTTGCCCTGGGTGCCACACTGTGTGATGCTCGGGAGCTACTTCAGCCTTTTTGCTCAGGGATCACTCCTGGTGGGTCTTAGGACACCATTTGTGGTGTTGGGGTCAAACCTAAGTTGACCACAAGTGTCTGAAACTGTCCTATCTTTCCGAGCCTCATTGATTTGGAGGGGATTTCTACACCCCATAGTGCCCAAGGACTCCTGAGCCAATGCTTAGGGGTTGCTCCTGGTGGTACTGGGGGTGGAGGGTGACAAGGTATCAGGATTGGGCCTGGACCACCTGAATGCACAGGGTGAAGAATGTACTGTCCCTTCAGTGCCCCAACCCTTCTCCCAGCAGCCTCCAGGTTTAGGAGTCAGATATTGATTCCAATATTTATGAAGCTCTCCCAGGATGTCAGATACCATCAAAACACAGGACCTGAGGGTCAGGCGGAAAATGTGGATCGAAATCAGATCGGAGGTAAAACTGGGAATACAAGTCATGTTCCTCAGTGTGCTGAGTGTGTAGTGGCCAAGGATGAGGGAGAATGCTTTTTTTTGCTTTCTCTTTGGTTTGGGGGCCACACCCAGCTTACTCCAAGCTCAGAGATCACTCCTGGGGGTACTCTGGGATCCCCATATAATCTCCGTTGGCCATGTGCAAGGCCAATATCCTACCTGCCATGCTCTTCAGGCCCCAGATGTGGGAGTTCTGTTTACTTGTGTTTGTTAACACAGGTTCTAGGAGACAAACCCAGGCCTCCCATGAGCCAGCTGTGTACTCAGCCCACTGAGCTCTCTTTCTGGCCCTGTCCTCCTTTGGGGGGCATTGGCGCACACCCAGAGGGCTCTTCCTAAAGTATGTGCTCCAGCCCACTGAGAGATATCTCTCTGATAGTACCAGCGGGCTAGCCCATCCAACCAGAAACAGCTCTGGGGCCAAACTGAGGCCCTTAAGAGACGAGACAGGGCCTGGAGCCATAGTACAGCGGGTAAGAAGTTTGACTTGCACATGGCCTACCCGGGTTCGATTTCTAACATCCCATATGGTCCCCAAGCACTGCCAGGAGAGATTTCTGAGTACAGAGTCAGGAGTAAACCATGGCCGGGTGTGGCTCAAAAAAAACAAAATTAGCAAAGGACTGGTGAGTCAGGGGAGGAGGCAGGCTGGGGTCTCCCAAGGGAGAGCCTCACAGGAAACTAATGTGCAGTGCTCTGGTTCCCTGGGGTGGGGGCTCAGGGTTCCCTATGGTTTGAAGTTAGGGAGGTGGAGAGGCTGGTGGAGCCCACACGTGCTATCCCAGCAGAGCTAAAGACAAGGCCTAGGGGGTAGGAGCAGACAAGCCGAGGATTGGCTGCCCAGAGGGCGGGGGACGGAGCCCGCAGGCAGCTAGGGCTGTGATTGGTCACTGGACACTCACCGTGCGGGACGAGGCTGGAGCCGAAGGAGAGGTGAGCGAAACCATCTCCTGGATGGCGAGGCGTAGCTTGAGCCGGTGCAGGGGGTTGCTGATTCCGATCTCGCGCTGGATCTCCGTATCGGACAGGTTGGCCATGATGGCCCCACTCTTGACGTTGGCGCGGCAGGCAGCCACGTACCACGCGGGCATGCCTACCCACAGCTGTGCCGGAGGGCAGGCGAGACCGAGGAGAGGCAGACAGGGGAGGGAGGATGCATCTGGCCCCTCCCAGGGCCCCCACACCCGGCTTCTGGACTACGAGGAGGGGGCTGGGCAGACCGAAACGGCCCCTAATGGTGGGGTGTCCAGTACCTCCAGCCAGGAGACCACGGTGGGACCATCCCAGGCAGCAAAAGGCAGGCCCTGGCGACAGGCTTCTTCCAGGAGCTCGTGCCTGGGGAGAGGGTGAACGCAGGAGCATTTAGCGGGGGTAGACACCCCAGCACCCATGGCTCCTTTTGCCAGAATTACCACATAGTCAACCACCACCAACATGCATTTTGGGGAGATGATAGCAGGTTAAAAAAAAAAAACACATTTGTGCCTGGGGATGGGATTCAGAGGAAGAGCTTATGCCTGGCATGTATGAAGCTCCAAATTTGATTCCTGGCACCGTCAAAACTGAACCCTGACACAGATTTTTCTGGTATTCTACCTCCAGTCCCACCGAGAGAAGATTTTAGAAGGAAGGAAGCAAAACTCAGAGACTTCCCAAGGATCAACAAGGCAAAGTCAGGATCTGAAATATCTCCTTCTAGCATTTTCTTCTCAGGATGCCAACCAGCCCTCCTCCCTGTTGCCCCCACACTCACTTCCTCTTGTTTCTTCTGTCCTTGTCTCCTGGGCCTGTCAGCTTGGATAGCCCCAGGGGGTCAGTGGCCAGAGTCTCATCGGAGGGAGTTCCCGCTGGAGAGGGAGGGGGCCGACATTTGCAGATGTTCAAAGCAGGTGGGGGGGGGGGGCGCAGAATGGTTTATGGGGATTGGGGGTGCCAGCAAGACAGGGCCCCCTCAAGGGAATAGGAAAAATGAGGTGACATAAAAGGAGTGATGAAACCAGACAAGGATCAATGTCACCCCCACCCCCCAAAGGCAATGAAATGGAGACACCCCCCAAATCAGGTTGGACTTGATAAGAGGAAGTGATGTGTTTCCGCATTTAAAGCCTTGGCCAGTTCCCCTGGGCATAAATAAATCCACCAGTTCAATTTCCAACACTTTTTTTTTTTTGGCTTTTTGGACCACACCCAACAATACTCAGGGGTTACTCCTGGCTCTGCAATCAGTAATATCTCCTGGCCGTGCTCCGGAGACCACATGGGATTGCCGAGGATTGAATCCGGGTCGGCCACGTGCAAGACAAACGCCCTACGTGCTGTACTATCACTCCAGCCCCCAATTTCCAACTCCTGAATGTGATGTCAAGCAACTCATGAAATTCCTGAAAAATTGTCAATTATAATGAGAACAAGCAGGACTCAGCTCTCCTGAGGGGGGGGAAGTGCCTCCCATAAGGCTTCTCCCCAACCCACCCCAACTTTTCTTTTTTGGGGGGAGAGGTTGGTTCATATCCAGCAGTGCTCAGGACTTAACTCCTGGCTCTGCACTCAGGATCACTCCTGATGGGGCTGGGGAACCCTATGGGGTGCCAGGGATCCAACCCCAGTCGGCTGCAAGGTAGGTGTCCTCCCCACTTGGTATTGCTCTGTTCCCCTGCCCCTCTTCTCCTTCCCCCTTTCTCAACTAAAAAAAAAAAAAAAGTAAACGAGGTACCAAAGACAATATGGAGCTAAGGAACTTGTTTTGTATGGGGTCTACTTGGTCCTACTCCTGGTCCTCTAAGCATCAGGGGTGACCCTGGATACCCCTGAGCACTGTTGGGGTGACTCAGGGAACTCTTGACACTACCACAAACTTGAACCCTCATATGGACCCACCCATCAGATTGGCCAAGAACTGCTGAGATTGGAAAGGGGAGACCTGGTCTTCTGCTTGGGAAGAGCCCAAATTTTTTAAAAAATTTAAAATTAGGAGTTAAGGGGCCAGAGTGATAGTACAGTGGATAGGGTGTTTTCCTTGTGTTAGCAAGGCCATGCACACAGTCAACCTGGGTTCAATCTGTGACATCCCATATGACATGCCCCCGAGCACTGCCAGAAGTTATTCCTGAGTGCAGAGCTAGGAGTATCTGAGTATTCCCAGGTGAGGCCCCCAAACAAACAAACAAAACGTTAGGAGTTGGAGCAATAGTACAGTGAGCAGGGTGCTTTCCTTGCATGTTACAGGGTTCAATCCCAAGCACCCCCAGCCGTACCAGGAGTGACCCTGCATGTAGGGCCAGAAGTTAAGTACTGAGAACCATCAGATGAGGCCCCAAAAACGGGGGGGTGGGGGAAATAAATAAAATGACCAATGAATTTGCCCACCTAGTCACTTGGGTAGGCCTACAGCCAGCCCGGGTTCGATTCCCAGCATCGCATATGGTCCCCCAAGCACCGCCAGTAGTAATTCCTGAGTGCATGAGCCAGGAGTAACCACTGTGCAATGCCGGGTGTGACCCAAAATGCAAAAAAAAAATCCCCAAAAAACAAACAAAAAAAACCCTGTCCCACTCTAAAGAAGAATTACCAGACAAAAGCCGACAGATGAACATCTCATGACAGGAGAAAGGGTGAGATGGTGGGAGAGGAGTTAGAATCGGTTCTCACCCAGAGAGGGGCTGTCCCGGCCAGGTGCCACCATCCGTCCCTTCTCCTTTTTGCCGAAGAGACGCCCAATGGATGACTTAATGCTCTTCTTCTTTGGGGCTTTGTGCAGGGAATCTGGAGCCCCCTCACTGGATGAACATGACAGAGTGACAGACCCCATTCAGGGTACCTGCTCTCCCTTGTTCCTGTCCACTCCATCGCCTCCTCCCACACAAGTGCCTCCCTATCCCATCCATGTCCCGCTGACCTGCCCCGGGATGGTCCCCCATCTTCCAAGGATCCTGCCTGCAGTGCCAAGGCCTGGGTCATTCTCTCAAGGCGGGCAGAGCGGGGAGTAGGAGGTGGGGTGTCTCCTGGAATGGCTGGTCCCTCCCCTCGGGGAGCCCCAGTATCTTCCTTGGGGACATGATTCTGGGGACAAACAGGCAGAGACACTGGGTTGAGCTGGAATTGTGTTGGTTGGGGGAGGCTTCCCAGGAGGTAGAATGCCTACAAAGGAGTGTTTGTATTGCTCCAGGTTTGGGGGACCATTTCTGAAGCTGGCCTAGAAAGCCGGGTGAGGGGATTTCCGGGAACATAGGCCATGAAGGAGTTGGGGGGTCCTTAAAAATAACAAGCTATATTTAGTCTCACGTTCTGTGAGATTTTCCCAGCCTCAAAAGGAAGCTACTGAAGGGCTGGAGCAATAATACAGCCTGGAGAGCATTTGTCTTGCAGCAGTAGACCGGTTTCGATCCCAAACGTCCCATATGTTCCCCCCAAACCCCACCAGGAGTGATCCCTGAGCGCAGAGCCAGGAGTAAGCCCTGAGCGTGGTGGGGTTCCCCCACCAAAAGTAGATTAGACCTGGGGCTGGAGAGAAAACTCAGATGGGTAGCGCACCCTACAGGCAGGAGACCCCAACACCCAACTTCTACCTGTGGAAGCACACAAATCCCCGTGAATAGCCTTGATGGCACCAGAGCCACTGCTATCATGGGGAGTAGCTCCAGGTTCATGAGGAACTGCCAGGGTGACCCCTGTCTAAGACACTAGCTCTGACTCACCTATTATTCAGGGTGCAGGACTCAGTGTCCCAGGCTCCCTCCACCCTTTGGGCTGAAGTTGGTAGGGAAAGTGGGGTCCGCATAGGAAACCACTGGCTGACTGTTGTTGGGAGTTCCTGTTCCCGCCCCCCGCAGCTCTGTGAAGACTTCAAAATACTCACAGTTTTGTCAGTGCCCTCCCGGGCAGGGCTTGGGGGCGCCAGACGGGGTGTTGAGTGCCCTGAGCTAGGAGGGGAGGGGCTAGCCAGGGTGGAGGTGGTGAGGGAGGGGGGCAGTGAGCAGCTGCTGCGGTAGCGGCCCAGGGAGTCCAGGCCAGACCCCGACACCCGACTCTCCAGCTCCTCTGCCCTTTGCTCTGTGGTTTCCTTCTCCTCCTGGATTAGCCTGAGCAGGGGAAGAGGGAGCATGCGTGAGGAGGGTGTCAGAACAGGGAATCTGGGGGTCCTCATAGGCCAGAAGGCCTGGTAGGGGGCAAAAAGAATTCTGGGGGCACCTGGAGCAATAGTTCAGCAGGTAGGCTGCTTGCCTTGCATGCGGCTTACCCAGGTGTTTTAATTTTTGTTTATTTGGGTTTTTTTTTTTTTTTTTGCTTTTTGGGTCACACCCGGCGATGCACAGGGGTTACTCCTGGCTGATGCAGTCAGGAATTACTCCTGGCAGTGCTCAAGGGACCATTTGGGATGCTGGGAATCGAACCTGGGTCGGCCACATGCAAGGCGAACGCCCTACCTGCTGTGCTATGGCTCCAGCCACAGCTGACCCACGTTTGATCCCCAACACCCTATATGGTCCCCTGAGCCCATCCAGAAAAGTGATCTCTGAGCTCAGAGGCAGAAGTTAAGTAATGAGCACCACCCAGGTATGAGCCAAAGTAAAAAAAAATAAAAGAAATTTAAAAAAGAAATTTCTTTCAAATTCTGGGAAGACCCCAGGAGGCTGGTGGGTCTTGGTGGATTGTGATGACTTCACAGGCTTCAGGGAAGTTGTGATAAGCAGAGGTGGTGGACTATTGGGGCAACAAAATGATCAGGGTCTGCATGATATGCCTCATGATAACCAAGTGGCTCTGGAAAATTCCAAAGGAAGGAGTCACTGTGGACAGGAGGTCAAAGTTTAAGGATGATGGTCAGAGAAAAGCTCAGAGTGAAATCAGGGCCTGGGAGATTAAGGAGTCCTTTAGTATGAGAGTAGATGCCTCCAGGAAGACCAAGTTTGAATGAAAGGAGGGTGATGGTCATGTGTGATGGTGGCCTGCTAGGGGACCACGGTGAGTGTGTTGAGAGAGAACTGGCTGAACTGGGCAGCTGCCGGGCAGCAAGGGACCCTTGATGTCAACAGAAAAGTCTGAATGACTTGAGGCTTCTTGTTATACCAGGTGGAAATTCTCCATGTGTATAGCCAGGGTTCTTCATGTGTTTGGGTAGGGGTGTTTGGAATTGGGGGTCTGGGGGCCTTGTGTGGAGATTCATGGGGAACCGAGAAATTTGGGTACTGATGATATAAATCCTGAATTATTCGGCATACTGAAGTTTGTTTTTGTTTTGTTTTGTTTGGGGTTTGGGATCACACCTGGCAGTGCCTGGGCTCTTCTTGGCTCAGTGCTCAGGAGTTGCTGCCAGAAGTGCTTAGGGGACCATGCGGTGCTGGATACTGAAGCTGGACCCCCCACATGCAAAGCATCTGCTCAGCCCTTTGAGCTGCACTGCAGCCCTAAAGGATTCCTGAGGTGCTGGACTGAGAAATTTGGGCCCATGAGGGTGAAGCCTTCAATGGTTTGTAAAATTAGGAATCCCGGTTCACTGCTGCATATATATCACAGTGGGGAGGTTTCTGGATCTATCCTGAGATCCTGGGGAATGGTGGGCTAGGAAAATAGCTGGAGGAAGGACAATAGGAAGAGGGGGGCTGGCCTGAGGCTCACTTGATCTCCTTGTTGATGGCCTCCAGCTGCTCCTGGAGCATGATGGCCAGAGTCTGCACATCCGCCTGCCCGCTGGGCGAGAGCAGCTCTGCCCCGAACACGCCCTCTGCCTCCTCCTCATCTGAGCCGTCCAGCTCCCCAGGGAAGGGGGGCGGAATGGACCCTTCAGGCGCGGCCCGTTCCCAATCCTGGCCCTGTGGGGGGACAGAGGGAGCCCAAGTGGGTGAGGGCTGAGGTAGGCACCGCCCTGCCAAGCACGGATCGCTCTCATCATAGCATTTGCGACCACCCCGTCCCTCTAAATGTTCTCTCCATGGTCTTCTCCCTGGACAAGCCCCTTTAACTTGACTACCTGCAGCCCGGTCTGTCCGCACCACATGCCCACCCAGAACCTTCTCCCCAGTCCAGGGTTCGCCTGCACCAAGCCCAGTTTCCGGCTTGTCGTGTCCCCGCCCACTAAGCCCCGCCCCTTCCGCTGTCCTTGCGCCCCCACCCCAATATCTCTGAGACTCTCACCAGGCAGCGGGCGATACAGGCACAAGAAGAGACATCAAGGCAAACGGGGATGCAGAGGAAGGAGAGGACACCGGTTAGGGGTCCTGCCTCCCCGCTCCCTAGCCTCCAGTAACAGGGCTCCTCCTCCCACTGCCACCCACCATGCGTCCCACTTCCCCCTGTCCAGCGTTTGCTGACCTTGGATGCCTCGTCTTTGACTCCTGACCAGCGACCTCTCTTGCCTGCCCTGCCACTTCCAGCCCCATAGGGGTCCAGGTGGGCACCAGAAGGTAATGTGGGTGCCTGGGAGTAACGGAGCTCCAGGGCACTGCCCGGGAGAGACCTGTATTCATGAAGGGGGCAGCGAGGCCAAGGGGTCAGGGCTAAGGGACAGACAGGCTCTGGGCACGGACCTGGCAGTAGGATCAGAGGTTAGAGGTCAGGAGAGAGGGTCAGGGGTCAGGGAAGGGGCCAATGGAACAAGTCCATGGAAGTCTCCAGAGGTCAGAGAGTGGGGGTGGCTAGGGGACTGGAAGGGTTGGGTGTGATCAGGGGTTCCCCTGTAGAAAGCTCCTGTCACCTGGAGTAGGAGGGCGGCCTGCCGCGCAGCTGGTCGATCTCCATCTGCATCCGCTCCATCTCAGCCAGGAGCTGTTCCTGGAGGCCGGGTTGGAGGTGTTAACACCAAGCCTAGGGCTGCTGCTGCCCCCCCCCGCCCCTCCCAGCACCCCGGGCCCCACCTGTCTTTACCTTGTTGAGCAGCAGCTCATCCTGAAGCTTCTTCATGTTGGCAATCTCCTCACTCAGGGAGTTCTGAGAGGGACAGGGGTGCAGTGAGGGGACAGCGCCTGAAAGGGACCTCCTGGGGATAGGGGCTGGCAGCGGCCTGCTGTGTCCAGGGATAGGAGTGAGGGATGTGCTGGACTAGATGGGGGTTGGGAGGTTCCTTTCACGAGTCCCAGAGCAGTGTCTGGTGTCATCTCAGGAGATCAGGATTTGAGGGTATGGGAAAATCAAGAGCTCTAGGTAGAGATGCCTCAGAATCAGGTCGTGGGGTGCATAAAGACTCCTACAAAGGAGGAGACAGGAGATGGGGAGCACCTTCTCCTCCAGCGCCCCCATGCGCTCCTTGAGGTGAAGCTGTAACCGTTCGTTGGACTCGCTCAGCAGTTTGTCCACTGTCTCAGACAGCCGCTTGTTGTGGTCATCGTTCATCTTCTCTCGCTGCCGGGCCTGCCTCAGGAGAGGTAACAGGGTCCCTGTTCAAGAGTCCATCTAGCCCACAGCCCCGCCCCCAACCTCTAGCCCTGGCTCCAACATCAGAACCTACCCACCCCCATCTCAGGGCCCCGCCCCCACCTCAGAGCTCCGCCCCCAACCCCAGAGCCCCTCCCTAACCACGAGTCCCGCGCCCAACCCGAGCCCCGCCTCCAACCTCCCGCCCTCTCACCCGCTGCAGCTCCTGGTTCTTCTCCTCCAACTGGGCCTCCAGTTGCCGGAGTCTTTCCTCGAAATTCCCATGACGTTCCTCAGCCTGAGGTGGGGAGCAGAAGGGGAGAGCCATAACCTCTGTCTTTGCTCCCATCAGTCCCACGCAGCGTTCCGGCCTGCACCCGCACCCCACTTCTTCCTCCGGCAGGTGGCTGGCCCCAGCTCCAGAGTCCCCCAAGCTCCTCAGGACTCGCCACCATTGAAACTGTCACTGAATCCTGACCCTTTCAGGACATCCTTTCCATCCAGGCTAGAGAACACTCTGTTCAAGCCCTGCACCCTACCTCATCCCAAGATTCATTCTGTTTTTTTTTTTTTTTGGTTTTTGTTTTGGGGTCACACCCAGTGGTTCTCAGAACTTACTACCGGTTCTTTGCTCAGGGATCACTCTTGGCAGTGCTCGGGGGACCATATGGGGTGCCAGGAATCGAACCGGGGGCAGCCACATGCAAGACAAACCCTACCTGTTATATTATCGCTTGGGCCCCTCCAGTTTTGTTTTGTTCTTTTTTTTTTTTTTTTTTTTTTTTTGCGGAGTGTGGTCTTTGTATCTTGAACCTCTCCAGACCTCAGTCCCTCCTAGAGACTCAAGGCCCCAAACCTCTCCCCACCTCCCACAGACCCGCCCCAGAGGGCCTTGCTGCAGAAACTCCGGGTGAGTCCCGGGCTTGCCCTCACCTTGTTGAGGGCTGCCACACGCTGGGCCAGCTGTGCCTCTATCTCAGGCAAGGTCTCCGCCTTCTGCAATGTTTGCTGCAGCTTCTGTTTGGCATCATCCAGCCACTCGGCCAGCTGACGGCTCTTCTCTTCACTCTGTGGAGAGAACAGCAGGGGGAGTCCCGGGGTCACCCAAGCCCTCACACACACCCCCATAAACCCACCCTGGCCATGCCCCCACCTGTCGGTACAGTGATTCTTTACTGGCCAACTCGTTCTCCAACTTGTCATTGGCGTCATGCAGAGATGTGGCCTCACGCTGGGCGCTCAGGTAACGCTTCTCCAACGTTGTGATTCGCTCCTCCATATCTTCCCGCTGTGCCAGTGCCTATAGAGGTGGCAGAGGATGGCATGGACTACACCTCTCTGAAGGTGCCAGGGTGGGCTCAGGGAAGAGCAGTCACAACCCTAAGAGCTGTTAGAATTGGCTTTGCACGTGCCAACCTGAGTTGGATCCCCAGAACTCGCCTGAGGTAACCCTTGAGTGCAGAGCCAGGACTAAGCCCTGAGCATGGCCTGATGTGGCCCAAAACAAACAAACAAACAAAAAGTAGGCACTGGGGTAGCTTAGTTCAGCCTCCAGATCAGATGCCCAAGTAGACCCTGGCAAATAAAGTTCCTGCCCTCTGGCCATGACATAATGGGACCATTCCTGCCAGGAGCACCCAGTAAGGGGAGGAGGTAACTCAAAGAGCTAGAGTGTATGATTTGTGTGCAAGAGCCCCACGTTTGATCCCCAGCACCCATGGTCCCCTGAGTACTAAGAAAAAAACTAAACCAGAGGCTGGAGCTATAGGACTGCAGATAGCGCCTTGTACAAAGCTGACCCAGGTTCGATCCCTGGCACCCCATATGGTCCCTCGAGCACAAGAGTGACTCCAGAGTTCAGAGCCAGAAATTAGCCCTGAGCATCACAGGATATAACCAAAACACAAAAAAGAACTACTGAACAAAAAGAAAAAAAAAATCCAGAGTTTCCAAAAATAACCAAACTTGGGTCTTCAGGCCACCTGCAAGTTTAAATGGTGGTACGACTCTTCCCATAAACTCCCAAGGCTTAAACCCTCCCCATGTGGACCTGTAAGGCGTATAGCCCAATCCCTCGGCTTTGGATTCTCAACAGCTCTGGGCTTTCAGTCATGGAGCTAATGCCTGAGGGTCTCCTAGGACACAATGTGCTCTTCCATCCCGGAGACACTACCTCCCAGGAGCCACCAGGGGAGGTGGAAACCTGGAGCCCAGGAGGAATAGTTCTGGGGTTTCATGGGAGATGCACAGCCAGGTGTGGCCCCCAAAATAATAAAAAACAAAAAAGAAGATTTAAAAAAAGCTTCCCGGGGCTGGAGCGATAGCACAGCGGGTAGGGCGTTTGCCTTGCATACGGCCAACCCGGGTTCAATTCCCATCATCCCATATGGTCCCCTGAGCACTGCCAGGAGTAATTCCTGAGTGCAGAGCCAAGAGTAACCCCTGAGCATCACCGGGTGTGACTCAAAAAGCAAAATAATAATAATAAAAAAAAAAGCAAAAAAAGCTTCCCAACAAAAAAAACAGAATTACTAGGATCATTTACTGAGCATCTATCACATGGATGTACCATGTACCAATACTCTGGGGGGGTCATAAACCCCATTTAACAGTATGTGGGGAGCAAAAGTGAGGCTTGGAATGATGAGAGCACATGCTGACAGTGGATTTATTCAGGTGCCCTAATTCAGGAGCTCCATAACTACGCCAACAGGGGTGTGGGGGGAGGGATGGGAGTGCCCACCTGGGCCTCTGGTCTCACCTCCTTGAGATCTCGCTGGAGCTTAGAGTTGGCTTCTTCGGCTTTCCCCAGCTCGCGGTGGGCAGTACCCAGCTCCTCCTCCAGCTGGCTCATCTGGCGACACAGTACCGCCAGGCGCTCCCGCAGCTGGCAAACCTCTGCCCGCTGCCGTTCCATTGTCTCCTCCAGTTCTGCTGTACGCCGGCTGGAATCCCCACTGGGGCCCAGGCCATTGGCAAGGGACTAGACGGCGACAAGGAGGGAGGAAGAGACAGACCCTGGAGTTGGGTCACAGAGATGGAGAGAGAATGCCAAGGGGAGCGGGAGATCAAAGATCAGGAAGGGGCATAGGATTCACAGGTGTGAATGGCTGCAATCAGAGGTCAAAGGTCAGTAAAGGATCTTGGGGATTCTAAATTCTGACATCAGTAAGGATCATGCCCAGCATTAAAGGGATCTTCACACAGTCAGGAATTGAGTGACATTTACAGAACCAAGAGGGAGGGCAAGGCAGGTTTCCTGCCTCTTACCTGCCCGTCCCCCTCCTTGCCAGGCTCCTCCAATCCCGACCGTCGCCTCGACAGCTGCTCTCGAAGGTTCAGAGTCTGGCAGTGGAAAATAAGGTCAGGCCTAGAACTCTCACTATACTTTTCACTGTACACCACCACCCCACAATCTAACCTTAGGCCTGAGTCTGTATAAATCTCTGTGTCTTCATAAATCTCTAAAGCCCACCCTTTGTCTTTCTTTGGGGGAACTGGAGGGCACACCTGACTGTGCTCAGAAGTACCTGACTGTGCTCAGGGATCACTAATGGTGACATGTGATATAAGGGATCAAACCTGGATTGGCTTCGTGCAAAGCAAACATCTTACTGTCTATTTTATCTCTAATAATATCTATATTATATCCTCACTCTTCTGTTTTCTTTTTTGGGGACGGAGTTCCCACCCAGTGATGCTCAGAGGGTACTCCCGGAGGTGCTCGAGCAACCTATATGGAATGCCAGGGTCGGGCGCGTGCAAGGCAAGACCTAACTTGTTGTACTGTCTCTCCAAACCCCTTCCCCACCACCGGCCCTGCCTTTATTCATATCCTTAGCCTCCTGTAGAGGTGTCCCTCTTTAAACTGACATTTCCCTAGGTACTTGACCCAGATGGTCTCTTCCACTCAGCCCCAGCTCCACTTCCTGCCTCAGTCTCATTCTCATTGGGTAGATCTTCCCTTAACCGGGCCCAGAAAGTTACTCCACTGTCCAATCCCATTGGTTCTTTGCCATAGCCCCGCCCCAGCAGAATCTGGTACCCAGAGCTAAGCCACCCCAATGGTGGACTCCCCCTTCTTGGCCTTGACCCCACCTCCTGGTTGCTCAGTTCCAGCTCTTCCTCCAGTACTGCCACCCGCTCCAGCGCCATCCGCAGCCGCTCCCGGACCTAGGAGCGGTGAGAGGATGTAGTGAGGTGGATTTCAGACCCCATCTAGATGGTCTGCCCCCTGGGACAGAACTGATAAGGCAACATTAGAATTCTTCTGTAATGGGCATACTGCCCCAGCCAGCTACCACTGGTAGCTACCAACTTCATTTTTCTAATAGCTATGAGTGAAATTCCTGATTGCATAGCAGATTCCAAATAATCACAGCCAACACTCTTTCTCTGTCAGACAGCCCCAGGGTAGTTTCAGCCATTCCATTCTGCGTTCAGACTCTCATGCTTCTTTTTGTTTGTTTGCTTTTTGGGTCACAGCCAGCGATGCTCAGGGGTTATTCCTGGCTCTGCACTCAGGAATTACTCCTGGCTGGGGGACCATTTGGGATGCCGAGAATCAAACCCGGGTCGGCCGCGTGACGCCCTACCCACTGTACTATCATTCTGGCCCTTTCCTGCTTCTTATACCTTCTCATCCAGGGCCTTGTGGTGCTCGAAGAGGGATTTTAGAGCCTTGAGCACCTCCACTTCAGAGGAAACCCCGCCCGGGGACTGCGCCTGGCGCTTCACCACAGTCATGCGTAGTGATCTCTCGTGTCTGGACACCAGGCACTCCAGATGTTCCAGGAGAAGCTGTAGGTACAGGATATTGGGCCAAGGGAAAGAGACGAGGAAGAAAGATGGGATCGGAAGAGAGAGGTTCAGGCAGGTGGGTCAGCACATGGGTAAGAAGAAAGGAACAGGTCAAGAAAAGAGGGATAGCAGGAAAGGTACAAGACACAAGAACAAGACAAAAAGGGTGCGGGGAGTAAAAGGGACAGGGACAGGTGTAGGATTAGGGATAATACAGGGGCAGAGTGGATGAGGTCACAATTCTGCAATTCTCTCGAGCCCCACATAGATTCCACCCCTCAGAGGCTTCTCCTCCAACTCTTACCCGCGTGTTATTCCGCTCCGCCTTCAACTCGGCAATCTCTTCCTCCCGCTCCAGTAACTGCTCCCGACATAAATTCAACTCTTTTGTCAGTGCCGCAAACTCCTGTCCAGAAGTGGACAAGATGGAAAAAAAAAAGTGGTCAAGATGAGGACAATCAGATCAATCCTAATCTCCACGTCCCGCCCCAGTGCTGGGATTTTGAAGTTACCGCCCCTCCGCAAGCCCCGCCCCATCCGGAGACTCGGGCCCGCCCATCAACATAAACCCCGCCCTTCTCTGACTCCTCCCTTCCAGACCACCCCCTCTGACCCGCCCCGCGGCCCCGCCCGGACCTGGGGCAGCGCGATGCTGAGCTGGCGCTGCAGCGAGTCCTTCTCGTGGCCCAGTTCGCGCAGCCGTAGCTGCGCCGTCGCCAGCCCGTCCTGCGCTTCGCGCAGCGTCTCCAGCAGGCGCTCGCGCTCTGTGAGCATCGTGACCATGAGGCGCTCCAGCTCGCCGCCCGCCTCGTCCGGGCCCAGCGCCGAGCCCCGCCGGCCATCCTCGCTGATGGTGGGCATCACCTCGCACATCATGGCGGCAGTGTGGGCCTGGGGTGCCGGAGAAGGAGCAAGAAACAGAGACCGGCTATTAAGGACACAGGCGGAGAAACTGAGGCAGGGTCGCTCGGATATCACAAAGCAGAAACTGAGGCCAGGCAATCTGGCATTGCACCGAAAGAACTGAGGGCTCCTCCCGTTGGGGTCATAAACTAAATAAAATCCACTATGTTCAGGATGCCCGACGGAGCGAACGGGGTGAGAACATTTGGGGAAATCAAGGCCAGACACCAATAGGCCTACGCAGCAAATCTCTGCCTGGCTTCTACAGAGAAACAAAAGCCAGGAAACCCAAATGGCCCGAACCACGTGGAAAATCAGATTCTAGTTCTTCCTGTTAAGAATCCCTCCACTACACTGAATGAGAAAATGGTGGCCCTGGGGCCAAGGGCAGGCTGCGGGACCGGCTGGCCAGTGTATTTTATTTTCCTGGTATAATGCCACAGGGCTGTACTGCACCTGTTGTTCAGCCCAAGATAGCCTCCAATTACCAGGCATCTGAACCCCACTTCCAGAAAGAAAGAGAAAAAACTCCATGCAGGGGACCAGGTTTGAGGTGGGGAAATATGTCAGGAGAGCATGTTAACCATCCCCCCTTCTCCCAGGAGTTCCAGTCTAGTTCTTTCCTCTCTGGGGACATAGGAACCCTAAGCCTCTAGCCCTGGGAGCCAATGGCCACATGCCTGTCCTCCCTCCAGATGTGACAGTGCAGGCTTCTGAGCTTCTGCTTTTAGATCTCCTGACTTTCTGATCCTTCCATCTTCAGAACCCAGGAGCACAGGCCCCCAGGACAGGAGTCTGGGTGCTGAACTGTGGGAGGAGAGGAAGTTGGATCTCCCCGACCGCTCCCTCCATGCACATCAGGTCCAACGGGTCGGGCTGGCCCAGCCGAAAGCAGGAGGGACTTTCACTCTATTCCCGCCTTTCCTTCTCTCCCTCTGGGCAGCGGGCAGTCGCATAACCGGTTCTGAGATGGGCTCATTCCCAGCCGCACCCAGTGCTTTGCAGTCCATCTGAGGCAGAGAGGAGCAGGACTGAGGGCCCCCCGGACGTGGGAAAGGGGGTGTCTGGGTGCTGGTCCCCTGGGGTCTTTGAAGAAATACATCTGAAAATCTGTACTGTTCAATCCCTGAGGTTGGAGAGGAAAATGTTTATAAGCGAGCAAGGCTGCCTTGTGCCCGGAATCATCATGGAACCAAACCCCAGAACCTGCTTTGGAAGTCTGCTTTAGATGCTCAAATTCACTGGGCAGGGGATAAAACATAGCAAAGCCAGAAGTCAGAGGAAGTAAGTAATTTTCCCAAAGCCACAATACAGTATGGAAAAGAGACACATATTTGCACGTTTACAATGTGCGTGGGGTAAGAGCCGCATGCTGGGCGAAGTTGGGGAAAGAGGGTATACATAAGAACTTAGGTCTAGAACCCTGAACCAGCCAAAAGCAATCTCTAACTTAGTACCTAGGTCACCCTAGAATCCCAGACACACAAACGACATCCAAAAAAAAGCCTGAGGCGGTACAACACAAACCAGACAGGAGACATAATCTAGAATTCAGATGACGGGATAAGGCAGAGAACATAGTAAGGTCATGTTCATGGTTCATCCTGGGTTTAGGTGAATGCCAGAAGTCAGAGAGGACAGGAGTTAGGAACCTGGAAGTCAGGGTCCTGCACGGGAGGGGACAAAAAACCTAGAAAGTCACAAGGTGTTTGCCTGGAACTTGGAAGGGGCAAGAGGCAGAAGGAGGCACGCTGGGAATTGAGAATTTCCTGGCATAAGGACTGAGCTGGCAAAGGGGGGGCGGGGATGTTCTGGAAATGAGGACATTTCTAGGCCGAAGACTCCAGAAGAGGAAAGAGCCTAGAATAGGCTGAGTAGGGAAGTGGCAGATGGAGGAGCAAGCCCACAATCTATCAGGGGAAAGTTCCACAAGAAGGCCATGCTGGAGGAGAGAGGAACAGAACAGGTGCAGATGGAAGGGCTGAAAAGCTGGAACCCCAGAAACGAAGAGGTCCCTCTAGCATGACTGAGCGAGGGGCATGAGTGTAGTAAGATGGGCTGGACTCCAGAATAGAGAAGTGTCTGGAGCACCATTCGAAAAAAGTCAAAAAAAAAGCTCACCATTGCCACTCATTCTAGAACACAAAATGCCTCTGGCAAGGGGCTGGACTCTAGAACCCTGCCAGTTCTAGGTGCAAACCTAGAACTCATACTGCCAAGGAAATAGCTGAGCATAAGGCCTGGTTTCTAAAACTTTGGAATGCATCTAAGGAGCCAGTGGAATTGGAACTGGGCCAGGAGGCCTGCAGGAAGTGTGTGACCATTCTCCCAGGCTAAGTTATACCCGAAATTTCACATGTAACCCCGAACTTAGAGATGGTGGTGGGGGTGGGGGGGCAGGTTGCTTGGGGTTTAGGAGGCATGTGGAGCGCTAGTGTGGCATGGGTTTAGCTATAGGCAGGAAAGCCTGTGGAGGCTGATACTTGATCAGCTAAAGAGGAAAACAGCCCTAGGACACAGCTGGAGGAACAGGAAAAAGTACTTCACTTCTTCACCTGAGTGTGGACTCAGGGTACAGGTCACCGGGATAGCCTCAGGAAGCTGCTCTCAGAGTAGAGGCAAGAAACCCACGAGAGCACAGCACCTGAGACGATGCAGTGATGAGGTAGGGATTTTTCATGGCCATCAGAGAGGTGAAATAATGGGGGCAGAGGGAACCTTTGTCCCTTTGAGTAAGGAGCTAGATACCCAGTGGGGGCAGGGGGAGGGGTGGGCAGCCAGAGCAGGAGTCTAAACTGGTGTTTGGGCCCCCCTCATCCCTCAGCTATGCTCAGGGATCACTCCTGGGGTGCTGGGGATCGAACCCTGGTCTCCTGAATGCAAAGCATGTGTTACGGTCCAGTGAGTTGTTTCTCTGGCGCTTGGGGGCTGGGCTCCAAAGATGGGGTAGCTGGGCACTGTGGGGGGCACCCTTGGGTCTTAGGGGACAAGGTTGCTGGGGTCTCTGGCAGAGGGTGGGCAGAAGCCAAAGGCCTGTGTTCTGAGTCCCTGCTGGCACCTGGATGAGTTAGGGGGCAGAGGTTAGGCCCTCCCTTTCCAAACTGAGGGGTCCGGGGGCTGTTGAACTGGGTTTCAGAGGGGTGCAAAGGCTGGATTCTTCCATCGTGAGAGCTCAGCCTGGGCCTTTACCAGAGGGAGTGAGCACAGGCAGGCCTCCAGAACGGGCATGGGAGCTGGACCTCTGATACCCTGGCTCTTAAAGTGCATCAGGCACGGACATGCAGAACCTGACTCCCCACGAAGACCTGGGGTCCCAGAAACCCCAGAGGCTGAGGACCTGGGCGTGAACTTGGCCAGTGGAACCTCGCGCTCCCCTGCTCTCCTCAGCCGCCCAGGTCGGGGAGGGCCCGGATATTCCCGGGCCAAAGGCGCGGCGGGGGTGAGGGATCCCCGCGCCGCCGGCGCCCACTCCCCGGCAAGGAGACGGCAGCAGGAGGTGGGGGAGGCGCGGCGGCAGAGAGAGCGCTGACCATGGACAGCTCCGGAACGGGCCTGTGTCCAAGGCTGCCGCCAAGCCGGCCCGGACTGAGCCGACCGGGCTGGCTGGTCCAGCCGGAGGGCTGGAGATGGGCAGACCGGGTGCGCGAATGGGGTGACTCTGCGGACGCGACGGGGGGCGGCCGGCCCTCCCAGGGAGAGTCTGACACAGCAGCGGCGGATGTCAGGGGCTCTCGGGATTGGGCCGAGAGGAGGCTTTAGGTCTGGTGAGGGTCCCCAGGGCTGAAAGGAGGAAGCCGGGCTCCTGGGCCCGAAGGCGGCGCGAGGCGGCAGTATGCCTGAGATTCTGGGGTTCAGCTGGAGACTCAGGGCGCCGGGAGGGGCACGCCTGGGGCTCGGGTTAGGCTCTAAAATCTGGGCTCAGGGATGCAGAAGGGAAGCAGGATATTGGGGCGGCGGGTGAAGCTAGGCGAGGGGTCCCCAGGGTGGGCGCTGCCTGGCGGCCCGGGTTGGGCTCTTACCTACCTGGTCCGCGGCGGCTGCGGGCGGAGCTGGGCTGCAGGAGGGACGTGGGGTGGGGTGGGGGGACCGGGCGGGGCCCCTGGCGGCGGCCGGGGCCCGGATCTGTGGCTCCGGAGCCCTGTCTCCGCCGCTCGCGCGGGCTCCGCGTCTCTTGCTCCGGCTTGGGCGCTGGGGACCCCCCTCCCCCTCACGGTCTCACAGCGCTCTACCCCTTAAAATAACCCCTTGCCCCTGTCACCGTTCAGCCTCCCCCCGCGAGGCCGCAGCCGCCAGATCCAGGGGTGCCCACCAGCGCCCCCCCAAATCCCACTTTCCCCCCCAAAAAAAATTCCTCCTCCCTCCCCCCTTCCAGCTCCAGGGCAGTCGTGGCCCCTTTAACAGAGGACTGACAGACGGCGCTTAGTGGCCAATGGGAGGAGGTGTCCGCGCCGGCCGGCGACTAAACCCCGCCCCCGCACAGGCGGGGAGGGGCCGCGCGGGCGGCGAGAGGGAGGCGGAGCTCAGGACGCCTGGACCAATTGGCGCGCGGCGAGCAGCGGCTGGGCGGGAGGCGGAGCCCGGCAGGGGAATGATGTCACCCGGAGCGAGGGGCGCGCGGCATGCAGCGCCGAGTCGCGACCCCGGATTCCCGCGGCGGCGCGCGGCGGCCCTCGTGCCGCCAGCTACTGGCGGGTTGGGCAGACGGCGGGGTGGTCGGAAAGGTTGCATTTGTAAATCTGTGGCGCCCCGGGACGGACGCACCCGGCGTGGACGGTGGGTGAGAGGTGGGCCGGTGAGTGCACCTTTTCCTGCACCCCCTGCGCCCGCCTCGGGAACTGCACGCGGCACCCTTGCCACCGCCTCCCACGCAGGAGTTAGTGCGGCCGACCGGGCGCCCCCGGCCGACGCGGCGGATGGTTCGCCCCGCCCCGCCCCCCGCGGCCGCCCACCGGCTCTCGCTAGGGGCTTGGAGTCCACTGACCCGCGACCATGGAGAAAGGGCCTTGACCTCTACCCCAGAACTCGCTTCATGGCCTCGGGTGTTATCTTCAGTGTTTTAGTTCGGTTGTTTTTGGTTTTTGGGGTCACTCCCGGTGATGCTTTGTGTTACTCCCAGCTCTGTGCTCAGGAATCACTCCTGGAGGTGTTCCGGGGACCATATGGGATGCAATGCCGGGGAAAGAACCCGGGTCGACCGCGTGCAAAGCAAATGCCTTCCCTACTTTATCTCACTGGCCCTATCCTCAGTTTTTACCCGTTGCGCAGATCCAGACCAGGTACCAGTCACAGACCTATCTCCACCTTCGGACCTAGCGAAAAGCCCGCCTCTACTGTCTCTACAAAGGGCCCCTTCTGGGCCTGGTCTCATCGAACCTCCGCTGCCCCCCCCCCACTCCCCTCCCCTTGTAAGCATAATCCCCAACCCCCATTTCAAGATGTGCCCCCCATCTTGCTGGGGAGTAAAACCGAAGTGAGGACAGAGACACAGAGGCGCTCAGTGATGGTTCAAAGATCTTTAAATAAGGAGCTGGTGGCAATAAATACTGTACAGGGAAGGACAGATGGGGTCTAGATCTGCGATGCTTTCAGCCTCGGGACTCCAGTGACCTGCAAGGAGGGTGAAGAGGGGCTCAGGGTATAATCTGGGCACTGTCAGGCCAAGGACCCTGGAAGTGAGCTGGGGAAGCCCAGGGAGGGAGTGAGAAGGTTCCAGATCTTTCTGGTAGGAGTGAACTAGGTGACCTGAGGGCTGGAGTTAGGGTCAGAGCCGGGGTGGAAGTCAGGGCTTGGGTAATCACTGGCCCAGTGTGAGGGACAGCTGGAGACAGGGGGTCCCCAGAGGGGAGGGCAAGAGTGCTCACGTGTAACTCTGGTGCTGCTGGCGTCTGCGGGCTGAGCGCATCTTCTCGAAGCGTGCCTCCATCTCCTCCAGCACGCGTGGTGTGTACCGCACCACCAGCTTCACGGAGCCCTGAGCTGCCTTGAGCAACTCTACCGCCTTCTCGTGCTGCTCACCCTCCACGCTCTGTGGGTGGGACAGAGTGCACGCAGCTGCTCCGGGACCCTCCTCCCGCCTCAGAGATGAGCCCACCACTGATGGGCCAGGTGCCAAGGCTCATGTCCTCATAAGGGAGTCACTGATTCCTGGCTCAGTGTCCTGGCCCCCAAACCTGCCAACTCCCCCATGTCAGGGAGAGCCCCTCGCAGGCCTCCAAATTCATTTCTGTCTCCTCCCTCCCCACAGACCAGAGATACCGTCCCACCCCTCCATCTAGGTTCTTCATCCTAGCTTGGGCCTGACTGTCTCCCCATTTTACTCACCTGAGCTTCCACACTGATCTGGCCTCCACTCTCCCCTCAGCCCATGCCTCAGCTCTTCACTCCATCCCCTACTCTCTGCTGTCCCATGTGCCCTCAGAATCCATGACACAAAGTTCAAACACCTCTGGCTGGCACTCAGTACCTACTTGGTAGCCTCAACCAACTGTGCTTCTATCTTAATCACAGGAATATGAATTACCTACAGACTCCAGACTACTAATAGCCCAAACATTTTCTCTTCAGCTCAGAGGAATGCAGAGTCACAAGCCCTTACCACCAATACTCCTGGACAGTAAAAACCTCTGCACTTAATTTTCCTGGAGAACTCCTATGTATCCTTCAAAACCCAACTCAAACAGTCTTTCCTTGCCAACAATTACCCTCATCAACACTCCTCTGCTACCCTATCTGGGCTCACAATGCCTGTGCTTCTTTTTCTTTTTTCCCCTATATTAAGACTACTTCAGGTAGTGCCTTTCACTCAGGAGGGAGTCTTTAAATACAGGAGCTGAGCAACCTGCTTGAATTGCATCACCAGTGACCAGCGCAAAGCTGGTTAGAGGCAGAGCTCTAGCAATAATGTCAAGGGAACGTCAAACCAAGACCCAGGCTTTGAGACTAGACTGAGCCCGGCGGCCCCTCCGGCTGCCACTTACCACACCATTCACGGACAGCAGCTGGTCACCGCGCTTCAGGCCTCCGTGGCGGTCAGCCACGCCTCCAGGGATAACACGGGAGATGTAGATGGGGGAGTTCTGCTCCTTTCCCCCCATAATGTTGAAGCCCAGGCCCTCATCTGTTTTGGGCAGCTCCACCACCCTGGGGTGTGCATGGCCCTCGCTTGCTGTGAAGGCTGCCACTGTCGCCTGAGAGAGAGAACATCCAAGGAGACAGGGCTGGGCAGAGGAGCGAGCATGACCAACTGGTGTGGCCTTAGCAGTATGTGGCCTGTGTGGCACGACATATTCTCGCCCCATGGTATTCTGCATGGCAGGGCAGAGAGCACTCAGAGACCACAGAAGTCAGAATGTCGCCCTCAGGTGTGTATCTTGAACACTTAAGACTTAAGCAGTTCACTTTTTCGTTTTTCTTTTGGTTTTGCCATACTCACTGGGGACTACTTGAGGGACGGGGCTAGAATCTGGAGCAAGTCTGGCTCTGTGTTTGGAGAGGCATATGCAGTGCTGGTGACCTAACTGCGATGTTCACATGCAAGGGCCTGCCCTTAACACCTGCACTACCTCTCCTGTCCCAACCTCACTTTAGGGTGGTTGTTGGATTTTTGTTTTTAGGGGTATTTTTTTTTTTTTTTGCTTTGTGGGTATGGCTAGAGCGATAGCACAGCGGTAGGGCGTTCGCCTTACAAGCGGCCAACATGGCCGACCCGAGTTCGATTCCTCCGCCCCTCTTGGAGAGCCCGGCAAGCTACCGAGAGTATTCGATATGCCAAACACAGTAACAACAAAGTCTCCAATGGAGACGTTACTGGGCCCGCTCGAGCAAATCGACGATCAACGGGAGGGCCTTTACCTTTACCTTTACCTTGTGGGTAACACCCAGCAATGCTCAGGGGTTACTCCTGGTTTTGCTTTCAGGAATTACTTCTGGCAGTGTTTGGGGGACCATATGGGATACTGGGGATCAAACCCAGGTTTGGGGCTGGAGTGATGGCACAGTGGGTAGGGCGTTTGCCTTGCATGCGGCCGACTCGGGTTCAATTCCCAGCATTCCATGTGGTCTCTTGAGCACCGCCAGGAGTAATTCCTGAGTGCAGAGCCAGGAGGAACCCCTGTACACTGCCAGGTGTGACCCAAAAAGAGAAAATAAAAACGGGTTGGTTGCATGCAAGGCAAGCACCCTCCCTGCTATACTATCTTCTCCTGCCCCAACTTAACTTTTGGGGCCACACCCTACAATGCTCAAAAGATATTGCTCTAGTCTCAGGGTGACCCCTGGTGGTGCTCAGAGAATCCTCTGTAGGGTCAGGATGAAACTGGGGTTAGCTGCATGCAAGGCAAGCGCCTTACCCCCTACGCTATGTCTCTGGGCTCCCCCTTACCCCATCTCACTTTTGTTTTGGGACCACACCTAGTGATGCTCAGGGCTTACTCCTGGCTCAGGAATCATACAGGTTGCCACGGATTGAATTTAGGTCAACCATGTACAAGGCAAGCACCCTACCCACTATACTATCTATCTCTATGGCCCTTTAATCCTGGCTTCGTGCTCAGAGATCACTCCTAGAGGGCTCAGGGGATCCTAAGTGGTACTGGGGACCAAACCTGAATCAGCTGCATGCAAGCAAGTTTCCTCTACCGCTGGACTATCTCTCTGGCCCTAAGATCTCTGGGTTGGGTTGTTTTTTTTTTCCCCTGTCCTATTTTGAGACCACACTGGACAGTTTTAAGGGGCTACTTCTGGCTGTGAACTTAGGAATCACTCCAGGCTGGGATCCATATAGGATGATGGGATCAAACCCGGCTGAGTGCAAGGCAACCCCTCCCTGCAGGACTCTCTCTCCACCTTCCCCGTCTCACTTTTAAATGACAAAGTCAGACCTGGTACTTGCTGAGCTTTGAGGGGCCTGGAAGAGCGCAGGTGAAGGCACCCCTGAGCTGGCACTGATGCTACTGAATGTGGGGGTATCTTCCTCTTCTACCTGGGTTTCTCCTTTCCCTTTGCAGTTGCTAAAAATGACTTGATGACATTCGGGATTGTCTAAAATAAGTAAGATGGAACATTAGGTTTGGCCAAAACCAGGGAGGGGAAAGCTCTGAGCAGACAAGAGGGCCGGGACAGCAGGTGCGACCGTGTGGCGCCTACCTTGGCTGTGGCGTGGGCCCGGATCTCAGCGCTGCCGGTGATGTCCAGGGTGTCATAGAGCTGTTCATACACCTGCGGGGACGCAGGGGCCTCAAGGAGCCGCCCCCGCCCTCTTCTCCGGACACGGAGACGAGGTGGGGGAGAAGGAGAGGGGCGGAGGGGGGGGGCAAGGAACCCTCAGATGCTCCCACCCCGGGTTAGTCCCACTCCCGTCCCTGAAGCCGGAGGTAACTACAACTCCCAAGGAACCTCGGAACCCCACAGCGGGCCGCCCCAGGCGCTGCTGGGAGGCGCAGTGATCGTGCTCCGGGAGCCCCGGCGGAGGAGACAGCGGCTGCCCGCCCCTGCCGCTCTCACCTCTCGGATGGCGGAGCAGAAACGGCTCTGCAGAACTCGCTGGAGGGCCTGCAGCTTCTGCGGGGGCAGCTCCCCGCTGCGCTGCAGCCGCTCGAGCAGCTCCACAGCCCGCGACACGTCTGCGGGCGGGGGCGGGGCGCGGAGAGACCCGAGTCAGAGACTCACGGACGCGGCGGACCCGGGGAAGGACAGCCCCGGTAACCCCGGACCAGGGAGAGCGGGCGTCCAGCATCCCCAGGACCCCCAGCCGCTGCCAGGCAGGCGCGAGCATGGGCGACCCCCTCCCCCACAGACCCTCCCACACCCCCAGATTGCTCGGTGCCCCGCCCCCACGAGGGATGCCACCTCCAGCCCAGGACCCGCCGGGGCTCGGGGTCCCGGCCGCCGGGCCCCCCCGGCGTGCTTACCCCTCTCCAGCCCCAGAGGCTCCACCAGCGCAGCCATGTCGGCGCCGCAGCTGCTAGCTGCCCGCCTGCCCGGTCGCCGGCGACGGGGGCGGTGCCGCACGAGGCCACGCCCCGGGCGCCGGGAGGCCCCTGCGGAGGCGCGGTGGGGCGTGCGGGGGCTCCTGGCTCTCTGCACCCCGCGGGCCAGCCCTCCACCTGCCCGCCCACATCCCCTGTGATCTCTGCCCAGGTATCGGGCATACGATGCATTTCCGGCGATGGCGAGCCGGACAGATCTAGGGGGCCCCCGGAGCTCCGTCTAGGGAGGAGAGGGTGGGGCGGCCCCCGAACTCGGGATGGGAGGCCCAGGGGAACGCCGTCTGGTCACTTGCCAGGCAGAGGCCACTTGGTGAAATGGTTGCCCTACCGCCAGCGCTGGCACACACGTGCCGGGCATCCTGACCTTCGAAGGGCTTGACCGTCCAACAAGTATTTTAAATCACTGCGACCAAACGTGGATGCGGGGAGCGAGAGTGGAAACGGGCCCAGTGAGGGGCAACCCCAGGCCACCCAGGTCGACCGCGGCTGGGATAGAAAAGGGAGAATCTGGGTGCGGAGCGGGTGTTATGATGCTCCAGGCTCCTCTTGGGCTTTGCTGAGGTAAGTTTGGAGGCTCCTCTGAATGCGGATCCGTGCAGCATACAGAAGAGAAGAGGCCCTAACTATGGCAGCTCCCAGAAACCCGCTACCGGTGCCGGAGAAGGATCTAGAACAGAGCTCCCAAATTGAAAATGACCACGAAGGTCAGAGAAAACCAGGTGGAAGAAACTAGGAGCATGTGGACTTAGCTGTTGGCCCAGGAGTTTTGCTTTAGGGGGTGGAGGTATGGGGTTCAGAAAAGTACCTCTTGGTTTTTGGGATGGAAGCCACAGGGGGCAGTACTGAGTTTACTCCTGGCTTTGCGCTCATGGATCACTCCTGACGGGGCTTGGGGGACCATGTGTGGTTAGGGGGATGAAACCCGAGGACCTCCTGCAAATTAAATGTCCTCTCTGTTGTACTATCGCTTGGGCCCCACGAAGGAACGTTCTCAAGTGGAAGGCCTAGAGCATGTTTGCCCAACCCCTTCCTCCATGGCATCTTTTAAAGTTTTTGCAGTACCAGGGATCAAACCCAGGGCCTGACCTGCGCAAGATAAGTGCTATACCACTGACCTACAGCCCAGATCCTGGCACCTTTTTTTATGACTTAGTAAACACCAGGGCTGGATCGTCCAAGGTAGACATTTCCCTTAGCATCAGCACCACCTCTGTTACCGAGTCCCCCCAGGTGGGACCCAAGCCTCCCCCTCTCTTCCTCCTTCAATCAAGTACCACTAGGAGTAACCTTCAGCAGAGTGGCCCCCCAAATACCACCAGATGCCGTCATGTTCTGCCCCCTTTATACACACCCTCTGCCAGAAAGCACCAGCCCCTCCATTCTCTCTACTGCAGGCAGTAATTTAACTGCCAGTTGTTCCTTTAACATGTGAAGGTGTGGAAATGGAGGTTTCAATACATTGTCAACTTGTTACTATTGTTTTCCAATTCTAACCTTTTTTCTCTCTTCATATTATAGTTTTCAGACAAATTTTTATTTCTACCTTCCCTCACCTCCACCCCAATTAGATCCATTGCCATGGTTTGCTCCTAGGTCCTTTAGACTAAGATGTTCAACCACTAGACCTTCCTTTCTTTTTTCCATCACACTCTCAAACAAGAGATAACGATCAATCACTGCAGCCTTTTAGTTTGAACTTTCCTTTGGAAACAATCCTTTGAGCTAATCTGGACCATGTCCCCACTAAAAACTTTTATCCTGGGATTTACCTCCCCAGTTCTGTTGAACCGGGGCAACCTCTCCCCTCCTGCATTCATGTTAATGAACTCTTTTCAGTGGTGCACCATCGCTTTCAAGAAAAAACTTTTTTCCCCTGCCACTAACAGGAAGGCTTGTCAAGTAATGAATCATAATTCTAAGGAATTCCATTTGGCTTCCTCTAAGGTATTCCAGCAGTTAAGATCCCATTTTCTGTATTCTGTGAGCATGCAGTTAGTAATTCAAGTCCTCCCTAGCAGTCTGGACTTTTGAGACACTACAGGGAGAGGTTCTGAGGTGTGCAGGGATGCCACTCTCAGGAAGGCAGGCTCCTGATGAGGTCTGGTTTTATTTTTTTTTTTAAACTTTTATTAGTGAAATGAATTAGTTCGGAGGAATCGAACCCAGCTTGGCCGGGCTGACTGCGTGCAAGGCAAAAGCCCTACTGCAGTGATATTGCTAAGCCCCGACCTGAGTTCGATTCCTCCGCCCCTCTTGGAGAGCCTGGCAAGCTACTAAGAGTATCTCGCCCGCACGGCAAAGCCTAGCAAGCTACCCGTGACGTATTCGATATGCCACAGTAACAATTGTCACAATGGAGACGTTACTGGGTCCACTCGAGCAAATCGATGAACAACAGGACGACAGTGACAGTGATTAGTGAAACACATGAGGTACAGTTGTAGACTTACACAAATTTTTGTGCTTGGCTTTCAGTTATACAATGAGTACCCATCCCTCCACCAGTGCCCATTCTCCACCACCAATGATCCCAGTATCCCTCCGCCTCCCCCCCACCCCCCCCCCACCCCCCCGCCTCTGTGGCTGGGCATTCCCTTTTGTTTTCTCCTTTTGGGTGCTGTGGTTTGCAAAAGAGGCATTGAGTAGCAATCATGTTCGGTCTCAAGTCTACTTTCTGCATGCATCTCCCATCCTGGGAGGATCCTCCCAACATCCTTTATTTGGTGCTCCCTTCTCTGAGCTGTGAGGTCTGGTTTTAGACTTCCTTAGGCCACCATCTCAGTATAGCTTGCTCCCCTACTGATATTCTGGGATCTCAAGAGCAGGCCCCTTAGTTCTTGACAGGTCTTTAGACTCTCAGGAGCACCTGGGTGCTGAGTATCTCTTCTCAATTCCCTCAGTCCCTGAGTTCTTACTCTTGAGTTTAGGAATTGTAAAGACCTGTAGGGAAAATTACCTGGAGATTTGCGGTGCTATGCCCCACCTGGAAAGGCCCACTTCATGACAATGCTGCTGGGGGTTTGACTCTGCCTAGATAATAACTGTTAAGTCTCTTCCCCCACACTGAATTGGCAAATGTCGAGGAGAAAATGAGGAAAACTCAAAAAGCTTGTGTCCTCAGGGGCAAGAGCCCAAAACTGGCCAACATAGATCTTGACGCCTTTCACAAGTTCATTTTGCACCGGTCTCTGTACCAGGTTAGAGAAAATCCCAGAGGTCTTGGCTGCACCACACCACAAGTAACGTATGGTCAGTGCCTGATGGCTTCTGCCAGCATCTGCCTATCCCTCGTGTTCTTTTTTTCAGGATTTGCTTCAATGCCGATGGTCCTGCTGCTCCACAGGGGAAGACCACAGAAGCTCTGAACACTTACTAGAATCTGAGCACATGTGTCAGGCTGCACTGACAGATGTAAGCCGTGGGTCCTGCACACCTGAAGTGCTCACAGGTGGTCCCACTCCTTAAGCTGATCCTCACTGGGGACTGCACCCTGGCTGCAGTGCTCACCGATCTTGCTGCAGGCCTCACACACTGACCGTATGCTGAGATCAGTTGGGCACCCATGGTCCGGGATGGCAGAGTTGCCAGTGTACTGAAGGGCAGTACCCAGCAGTGAGCTCATGGCCAGCAGCACGAAACGCCAGTGCTATTAGTCACTGGGGTTCAGTCTTGAGCCACTTAGGGTCTAACCAAGCTGGCTGCTTTCTTCTTACATGGGGGACACAGAAGTAAAGTATCTAGACCTTTTGTCTAATTTGTGGAAACTTCATCTGCAGATGGCCTTTCTGTGCCATTCCTCCTTGTACTGCCAGGTACAGTGAATTCTGCCCAGCTCTTCATCCACACACTTCTCTCACTTTTCATTTCCTCCGAACTCAGACAAGTTTGCCTCCTTCCTACAGTCCTGGCCTGAGTCAGCCTGAGCCTACACTCCCTAGGCCCCATGCCCACCACAACAGTGAACCAACAGCCTCAGAGATGCCCAGGACCCTGGGGGAAGCCTTTCTTACCCCATCTAAAACAGCTTTGGTTCACTGCTGTTAGCCTGAGTCTAGGAAGGCCATAGAAAACAAACCAGAGGGAAGAAAGTAGTAGATCCAGGGAATAAACAAACCAAAGGTCCATTATCAACAGGAAATTAATTTTATTTTTAAATTCAAGGAACCAGAACAGGTGAGGCTTCTACCCTTGGCTGGCAAACTTGGGTAGCCGAGATGGTTGGGGGGGGGGGGGGCGAAGGGGGTGAGGGAATGACAGTAAAAGGGGTGAGTGGGAACACGTCTAGCCCAAGCAAGCTGGAGGCTTCTTCACTCAGGCGCGGCCTCCATCAAATACCCGTTCTCGGGTGCCAAATACCCGTCACCGCCCTCTGACTCTATGTACACATCTCGGCCATCGTTGCCCAAACCCTCCAGCCCGTTGTCCTGGCCGCCACCGCCGCCCCCACCTCGGGCCTCATCCCTTCCCCTTTCACCACCCCGCTCCCCCCGCTTATGCTCGCGATCGCGGTCCCGATCGCGGTCTCGACGCCTGTCCCGCTCGCTACGGTGGCTCCGACGTCGATCGCGGTCCCGATCCCGGCCCTTCTCCTCTGGACCATCAGGGCCATCAGGACCCAGGTCTCCAGGAGGCCCATCATCAGGAGGCACATCACCGGCCTCGGAGGGCTCTGCCATATCACCCCCACCTCCACCACCTCGCAGCTCCTCCTTGCGCTCGCGTTCACGCCGTGCCCGCTCCCTGCTCCTGCTGCTTCGACGCTTGCGATCCCGGTCCTTGTCCTTGCTTCTCTCTCTGGAGCGTCGCCGTTCCTCCTTGTCACGACTCCGGGAACGTCGCCTCCGGTCCCGAGAGCGGGAGCGTCGCCGTTCTCGCTCCTTGTCTCGCTCACGACTCCGTTCTCTACGCTCCCGCTCGCGGTCGCGGTCCCGATCCCTGTGGGGAAGTGGGGACGGGCCCGGCCTGGATGAGGGGGGCAGCGGTGTGCGTCCGGGCTCCCTGTGAGACCACCCCGGGGCAGGACACCACAGCCCAATCTCACCTCTCATCATAGCGGGATGTATCATCCCGGCCAGAATGCCGAATGTTCACGTCTGCCCCACCTCGCCTGGTCCCACCGAGGCCACCTCCTGAGGTAGAACAGATGACAAACAGTGAGTCTGGGCAACGCAAACAAAGAGGGCACCCAGGGGGCATCCAAGAGCAAAGCCCACAGCACCTGGGGGGCATGTTTTTCTGAGGGCACCAAGTGCTATGAATGTCACCTCCCATTTTGGAAGTCAATGTGCCAGGAATTGAACCCAGGGCCTCCGACTTCCAAGCCCAGTGCTTTTAACTCTGACCTCCATTCCAGACCCTGTCTAAACAATCACAGCTCTATCACAAGGTACCAGCAGGTAGGGAACAGAAGGCACGCGTTCACACCACAGTCCCTCGGCCTTCATGCTGATGGCACTACTCGCTCTCTAGTGCTAACTAAACCAGCACTCCACTGCCTTGAGCCCAGATTCTGGGTCATAACTTGCAAGAGTTGGCCCAGTGCATCTTGCAAACCAAAGACCGTTACATTTCACATACCTTCCAATCTGCTTATCCTCCCCCACCTTCCCTGCAAGTTTGGGATTCACTCATCTTTCCCCCCAAAATCTCCAAAATCTCTTGTCTAGTTAACCCCTTTGTACCCTTCATTTCAGCCCTCACACCTCCTACTAGAGTGTGTTCCCTAACCTCCCACAGAAAATCATTCACCCTGGGCTCACAGACCTGCAGTCCCCAGCAGGAACCAATGGAGGTCCAGATCTTCTATATGAGCTAATGACCCCCTGCCTCTCCCACAGGCTATATTACCCTCCCAAATCAAAGCAGGGTTTGAGTCAACACAGATGAGGACCCCTACAGCAAAGGATGGGCTGCAGCGTCAGGTGCAGTGAGCAGTCAGTCAGCACTGCCTCTTCCTCCTCTTCCCCAGGCAACCAGTTCAGATCCAGTGTCTACCGCAGTGACTCAGCAAGGCATGGCAGAGCCTGACCTCCTGGGCGCTCTGAACTCTTCTGACTGGAAAAAGCCTCTGCAAGGCAGGCTCGAGTTCCACAAAACAAGGAGGGGAGAAAAGAAGGCTGCCAGGAAACCAGAGTGTCTGCCGGAGCTGCTCAGCAAGGGACAGGCACCTGGCACACCGCCCACAGAGCAGAAAGATGGATGGTTTTCGTTTTCGTACACCCAACAACGGGTACACCCCAACAACGGGTCACTCAGTGGCCCAGGGGTCTGCGGCCATACATCACAATGCACATTCAGCACGACTTCTGCTCCTCCGGCACGCAGTGAATGCCGCAGAAAAGGACTCCCTGAAACTGTCTAGGCTGCCGTAAGCCTCTCTAGCCATCCCTACACCCGAAGACCCCCAACAGAGGCCTGAAGCCACACAGTATTAAACTCTACATACACACTTTACAAGCACCTATCAGTTTAACTAACAAATCACATATAAAGACCAATAGTGATGAGCAACTGAAACATACATAAGCATTATCTTGTATAAGTTACGGGAGAAACTGTCTAGTGTCTAGGGTACTTTCTCTGCACACAGCGAACCCAGCTTCAATTCCCAGCATCCCAGTGAGTCTTCCAAGCCCATCAAGAAGTGATCCCTAAGCTTAGAGCCAGGAATAAGCCTGAGCATCACCCCCAAACAGTACACCACTCCCCAGTCATGTAAATGTGGTTTTTCTTAAAATCTCTTTGGAGCTGGGGCTGGAAATCAGGGCCTCACAGGTTAACCATGCTCCACAGCTCTACCATATGAGCTATACCATTTGCGCTACAGTCAAATGGGTGTATGCAGTATTTGCTGTCGTATGCAGTATTTTTTTGTTTTGTTTTTGGGCCACTCCAGGTGGTGCTTACTCCAGCTTTGCATTCAGGTGTAACTCCTGGCAGGTGGAGATTGGGGACCAAATGGGGTGAACTCAGATTGGCCACTTGCCAGGTAAACACCGTACCGACTGTGTTATCTCCAATCAAATGGTACATGTTTTTGTGTGTAAACTAGTTAAAAATGGCTCAAAGGACTAGAGCACAAGCTTTGCATAGAGGAGTCCTGGTTTGATCATCAGCACTCCATGTCCTGGCACCGCAAAAAATCCCCAATGGGAGTATAGTGCCACAGCAGGTCAACCCTGTACCTGCGCAGCAACTGTATCAGCAGCCTGATGATGCCTTCAGGCTTCCGGATACACCAAAATTGTGGCTATGCCTTTGGCCAGACCTCAACAATCTAGGACCAAGTTTACCAAAGAATTAAACAACCAAAAGTTAAGTATGTGAGAGCCACTCCCACAAACTACCTCCGGTTCAGATATAAAGCTCATTTACTGGCCTTATTTCAGAGACCCATAAATAAATCTCGAAAGAGATCAAAAGCCACACTTAATCTTGGATTGGATCTGCGCATGGCTGAACAAACTGGCATAAATCGGATGGGGGTGGGTCAGCCTGGAGCCTAAGCAGAGCCCCCAGCAGCTGCTTTTGCTTCCATAATCCAAAATTGCTACCATGCCCTTGGCCTGACCCCACGGTCTGAGGATGGACCTCACCAAGATAAAATCTGCTGAAAATCCGGGTATATGGGTTTTGTGGCTGAAATTTCCAGGCTTTCTCGGGATTGAGATAGGCTACCTCCCCCCACCTCCCTGTACTTCTGGAAGTCTTGGCAGTCACATTCATATACCAAAGCTGCCTCCCAATAAAAAACACCAAATGCCCTGAACAAATGCAATGACCTCTTAGCACCTATATTGCAAACCATAATGCGCAAAAGGAAAAGCAGAGAGAGAGCAAGAAAGAAAGTGACTCCCATAGAGGGAGGCTGGGGTGGGGGATGGGATGCTGAGATGGTGGTAGGGAACCAAGGGACACTGGTGGAGGAATGGGTACTGGATCATTGTATGACTAAAACCCAATTATGAACAGCTTTATAATGGTCTATCTCATGGATATTCAATTTTAAAAAGTAATGTGGAGTTCAGGACCAATTCAATCAGCTTAATCAATAGCTGAATAAATAGCAGTACTCCTACATTAAAACAAAAACAAGACACAATCTTAAAGCACTGAAAGGGGAACAGGCCCCTAGGATCACTGGGTGCAGTCCAAAATCAAATAACTGGGATTCACTAACAAAAACTTTAAATACCAATAAACATCCAAGATTCTCCCACAGCTGGAAGCAGCAATCTGAAGACCGCCACAGCCCTAGGAAGCCACAGGAGGTAAGGAGGTCAGCATGTGGTGTCTCCAGCAGACAGGTAAGAGAGAGCCCAGAGGGCTGGAAACAGGACTCAGAACAGACACACAGATGGACATACATGCCCGTTCAGGGAAACAATCTCTGAGAACCAAGAAGCTGGTCCTGAGTCCCAGGCCAGGGCCCAACGCTGAACCTAGATTCACCCAACTTCAAACAGAGAACAAACAAGGAGCTACAAAATGTCAGAGCAAGTCAGAGCATTCTCTGAAGAGACAGCAACGAAGACAGGAGCAATTTGCAGGGCCACCACAGGGGCTGCACAGCCCAGCAGCGCTCAGGATGCTCTTGCTCCAAAATACCACCAATTTCTAGTCTGTAAGGTCTCTTGGTACTTTTCACAACCACAATGCATTTGCCATCTGCAACAAAACTGCCCCCAAACAGGGAACTGAGTGCACTGAGGGCGGGAGGACTGGGAGGAGGCCACAGGCAGAGGCTGTTCCCATCTAACTGATTAGAGGCAGCGTGCAAAGCTAGTGATGAACCTCTGCTGAGTCAACAGATGAACTAAGTGTGGAACAAGACTGAGCAAAGAAGCAAGTAGAAGGAGGGAGGGAGAAGGTAGGAGGGAGGGAAGGAGGTAGGGAGGATGGGTCAAGGGCTGAGCTCTGTGAGGCCTGCAGGAGGTTGCTCCCCTGGCCCAGATGAAGAGACAGGCAGGAAAAGACACTGACGAGCAACTGCAGAGCCAGCAGGCATTCACTGCTCCTTGGCCTGTGCAGTGCAATGGGAAGCCGAGCTCACCTAGCCGTCGTGGCCTCCAGCCCTTCACAGTGCGGCCCCGCTCCACGTCCACGAGGACCCTCCTGCCATCAATCTTCTTGCCATCTGCGTGCTTGTAAGCAGCTGCAACAGATGTGGGGGGGGGTGGGGAAGGAGTCCCCAGGAGTATCCTAGTCAGGACAGGGTCCAGCTATGTGGTATCCCCACCCCAAGACCCCATCAACACACGCACACGCCCACCAGACAGCCAGGCACCTACCAGCCAGACCCACCCTCTCCCAGTCCTGGGAGGGGCCTGCTCCATCTTGACACCTGCTTCCTTTCTACCCTCCCAATCACCGTTGGGAGAGCCAATGGTGTACCTTCCCCACCACCCCCTCCTGCAACTCCCACCAGACAGAGCAGCCCCCTCCTGCCAAGGCGATCAAAGTTGCTGCAAAGAAACTGGAGGTTAACTGGAGGCTGGACTTTGCTGGGAGTGAGCTCCTCCACAACCCCAGGCATGCACCCGAAAACATCCTGTTGGGGGAGGAGGCCCAGGTGGGCTGCTCTGCATCCCAGTGAACACCATTTTAAAAAAAATTTTTCAAAATTTTTTGGGGGGAGGAGGACGTGAATGTAGGGGAACAGACATCAGAACAGAGAATGAATCGGAAGGGGTTGGGAGAAATCTGTAGGAGGTGGCAGGAGTAAGAAGTGGTATGGTATGGGGCCCCCAGAGGTCCAGTGAGGATGGGGGCACATGGAGCCAAGTGGTGCTGCAACCCCTGCCTTACCTGAGCCGACTGCCTGCCACTCCACCCAGGGCCAGGCCATCCCCTCTCCCACTCCACACCCCACACCGACAAGTTTTAGAGGTCAGGCACAGCCCAAGCCTCGTGGGAAAGGTGGGGAGCAGAGGGGAGATGTGGGGAGAGGGTTGTGGTTCTGCTGGGATGGGAACCACCACGGCAGGCTTGTGACTGGCCTGTCTCACTGGGGTCTGTCGAAAAGGCCCCTAAATGCTCCTACTTCCCACCCCCCAGCCCTGGCCTGGAGGATAGACTGTCCTTTGCCAACCCCAATACCCTGTCCCGCCCCAGCCCACTTCCCCCCAAATAACAACCAGAGGAAGAGAAAAAGGTGCCATTTACCGATGCCGGCCTTGCGGGTGTCCAAACCGAGCGGGATGGGGGGGGCTCGGCAACTCCTGGGGGCCTGGCGAGGAGGCGGGCTTCCCGGGGGGGGGACACGGGACCGCTTACCTGGAGCCCCCAAGCTTACCTGAGCACGCGCACAGACCCCCACACCCACCACCACAGGGTCAGCTAAAGCTACGGGGAAGGAAAGTAGGGGTTCTAGGGAACCACGAAGAGGGAAAGAACCACATCTCCTGCACCACCTGGAGACAGGCAGAGAAGCAGCGGGCCCCAAAGACACCTCAGGGAGGCCTTGAAAGGGGGTGACAAGGATTAGCACCAAGCCTGGAAGCTGGAAAGTCCTTGACAATCTTGTTTGAATTAAATTTTAAAAATTAAAAAAAAAAAGAGGAGGAAAAAAAAAGCTGGGGAGGTCTGAGAAATCCTGCCCACCTTCACCTCTGCCCACGGCGTCCACGCCCACCAGGCTCAGGCCTGCACATGGCGCCTGGTCCAACTCAGCTCTCCCCCCACCCCTGCCTCCGGCCACGGGCTGGCACACGGGGACACAGCCTCAGGGTCCAGGAGATGGAGTGCTGCCCATGCTGAGGAGGGGCCGTGGGGCCCCAGCCCAGAGGAGGGGGGGCGCTTAAGGCCCAGGGACAGTGTCAAGCAAAGGAGCCCTGCTCTGGTTCAACACCCCAAACCCCCGCAGAGGCCCCCCAGGAGAAACAGCCAAGAAATGTGTGTTGTGTGTATCGGCAGGCCTCTCTCTCTCTCTTTCTGTTCTCTCCCTCTCAAGGGTCAAGACCGGGCCACGGTCTTCGGTAGAACCTACAGCACCGTCAGCTGTTTGCACTGGCCTGAGCCCGCCCACAACCCAGCCTCAGATTCCAAGTGCTCTGAAGAGCACCACAGCCCATCCAGAGGCCTCAGCTCTAACAGAAGACAGGAAAGGGCCAGGGACCTCAATCTCACAATCTGAGCCTCCAGAGCCGGCAGAGTGGCAGCTCTGAGAAGGCAGGGGACCAAGGAAAGAAGGGCTGAAGGGCTCCCCACAGAGCCCTGGTCCTGTGTGCCTGTCTTCAGTGCTCACACGACTGCCGTGAATATCACCAAGTAGGGAACCTGGGAGGAGGTCACTGCCTCTCCCCCAGGGGACACTCAACTCCTCCTGGGATTAGTGCCATTTCTGGAGAGCACATGGATGAGGGCAGGAGGGACAAAGGGCACCCAAACAAGGAAAGGGTTCCGGGTGCGGGGAAACTGAGGGGCCACTGGGAAGGGGAGAAGGGGCGCTTTGCTGCTCCTAGCTGCCTGGCTAAGCTGGGCTGGTGTGCGGTGCTGAGTGATCTTACCCATGATACAAACCCTTATACCAACCATACACTGAGGTGTTGTAAGGGGAGCGTAAGCATCAGCTGCAAGCCAGCTGCGTGGTGGCTGCAGTGACAATAAGAACAGTCAATTAATACGGCGGCCCCTGGACACGCCGCAGCCCTGCCCGCCCTCCCCCACCCATCCCTGCCCATGTGGACGCCGCCGCCGCCTCACAGGGGGCCTGGGAGATGTGGGGGCAGGCGCGTGACACGCCTACCTGCCCACTGCCCACTGCGGGACAGGGTAGAGGGCTGGGGTGAGAGGCGGAGGGTCGGGTGGTCCAGCCCCAGCTCTGCCAGGGGGAGAGGGCAGGTTCAAAGGCCAGTCCTCATGCCAACCTGACCACCTCCCAACTCCAGGGTGGGGGGAAATGGGGAGTTTGTCCCCGACAATCTGACCCCCCACCTCCAACTGGCCCCAGCCTCTACCCAGTTCCCGCTTTGCCCCTGAGGTTCAACGTGTGACACTTACCTCCCCGGGCTCACACACACACACACACACGTTGTGGGGGATTTTGGTTTTTTGTTTTTAAAAAACACGTATACGAAAAAAAAAAAAAGATATATCAGAAACAGAGGGAGGAGAAAAGACATGGCTAATGTCAGGCTTGGCAAGGCTGGGGTGGGGACAGACGACGGAGGGGTGGGCTGGAGAAGAGAGGGGTCATGGGCAGGGCAGGGCGTGGGCACTGGTACTCACAGTGCATGTCTCGCTCGTGTTCATACTCGATGAAGGCGTAGCCCCGGGGCTTTCCTGACCGCTTACTGTAGACCATGTGGATCTGGGGGGCAGGAGTTGACATCAGATGGGAAAGCCCAGTCACCATGCAGACCCTCTTTCATCCTCAGGAGCCAGTGGCATGGCCAAAGGGGCACAGAGAGCTTCCTGAAGGAAGTGCCATAGGCCAGGACCAAAAAACAGAGCAGGATTTGGGAAGCAGCTGTGAAGTGTCATGTCAAGGGCCAAGCAGTGTGGCTAGGACGCTAAGAATCCCCAGGAGATGGGCCAGAGGGAGACAGGGCAGACCAGGAGCAGAGAAGGGTGTGGGACAGGAGGGGGAAAGATAACAGAATGTGTTAAGGTGAGCACAAGAGTTATGAAAAAGAGAAGCTGGAGTGATAGTACAGACCTGGGTTTGATCCCCAGCCTCACATATGATCCTGAGCCCCACCAGGAGTGATTCCTTAGGACAGAGCCAGGAGTAACCCCAAAATAAAAATAATAAAAAGTGATTTATCACTCCTGAGCACCACCAAGTATAGTACAAACACAAAAAAATAACTCAAGAAGCGTGGAAACAAATGAACTGTGGAAATAAAGGTAACCCAATGCCAAGGGCAAGGAGAAGGGAGGGTCAGGGCATTAAAAGGTCATAGCCCTGAGCATGGCCGAGTGGTCCAGAGCAAGCACACTATGCTGTAACAAGCACTGTGCTCCCAGAGCCAGAAACCCATCTTCTTCCTTCTCAGTTCAAATATGCCTGGTGCCAGTCCACTCACTCTTTTGATGGGTCCATACACCTCAAACTCTCTTCGGAGCTTCGACTCTGTTGTGTCGTAGTTCTACAGCGAGACAGAAATGAAGTTAGTGGGAGATGAGCTGTCCCAAAGCTCCCACCCAGAACTTTGTCACAGGCCCAGGTTCTCAGCAGCCCGGGGACTCACCACTCTAGCCACAAAGAGAGTCTTGAAGGCATCACCCTGAGCATTGGGATCATTGTGAGGGTCCCCTGGCGGGAAGGAAAGAGAGCAGAAATTGAAAAGTAACTTATGTGGAAGGAGAAAGAGACACACAGAGGCATCAGAGAGGAACTGGAGAACAGTGACTTGCATGTCTCCATTCCCCAGGCCCCAGTACAGTTTCCCTGAAGCACAGAGGCCTAGATCCAAGAGGCTGATTTAGGCAGATGGTGGGAAAGGAACGGCGCACTCGATGGGATAAAGCCTCACTGCCATTTCAGGTCTATACCCTATGGTGTGAGTCACCAAGCCCAACTTGGCCTCTCCTGCAGGGCCATACTGCCACCCACTGGCACAGCCAACAACTACAAGCTGCAGGAAGGCACAAGGTGAAGCCAGAGGGGAGAGGGAACCCAGTGAGGACACTACCTTTCCTTCCCAGGCTCTGAGGTCTGCAGGAGGAAGACAGGCTGGGGCTGGAACCAGTAAGTGCACCCACCTGACTGCTGGGTCACTGAAAACTGTTCCCATGGTGTCCTACATGGTGTCTAGGCACACACAATGGACAGGCCCCAAGGCACCATCCAGAGCCAGAAACAGGTGTTTCTTGAGCAAGAACCTTTCTCAGGACTATGCATATATTGGAAGATGCTGTGTCCACATGCAAATGGAAAGCAGCCTGTGACAGAGGCAGAGGCGGCAGCACAGCTGGAGGCCTCCAGAGATGGAGACATAGGACTGCCAAAAAGTCAGAAACAGTTAACAGACCTAAGAACAAGTCAGGAAATTCCCTCAAATTGGAGGATGGAGCCAGGCATTAGGGTCCATGTGCAATGTGATGACCAGCCTTCATGGAGACTGCTGGCCCCACCTAGCACCTTGCCCCTCTGCAGGGGGATCCCCTCCCCCACACACAAGTTTTTGGGTCATACCTAGTGATGCTCGGGGGTTACTCCTGGCTCTGTACCCAGGAATTACTCCTGGCAGTGCTGGGGGGAACATATGGGATGCCAAGGATCGAACCCGGGACAGCCGTCTCACTGTACTATTGCTCTGGCCCATGTGGGAGGATTTTCTATCTCCAACCTTTTCAGTCTGCACCGGGCTGGCGCGTTCTTGCTCTCCCCCCACCCCCAGGGGTGTGTCACACCCATCAGTGCTCAGGGATTATTCCTGACAGGGTTCAGCGAATCTATGTGATGCAAGATGGAAGCTGGGTTGGTGGGTACAAGGCAGGTCCTGTTTCTCCAACCCCTGCACTGGGCAGCTTTTGTGCAGTTAACAGATTTATTACTTCAAGTGCCTGGGCTTGAGGCAGGTACAGATAATTCAGCAATAAAAAAGGAAATATCCCTAGCTTTTGGAATTCATACAGTCATAGCAGGAGGACATTCAGGATCAAGGGACAGAAAGAATTCTCTAGTCTGTCAGACAGAAGGGGATGGAGAAGGACTGCAGGTCAGGAAAGGCCTCAGAGAGATGGCACACACAAGCTGAAATCCTGAAGGTTGCACCAACAGCCCTGGCTGGAGCTCCGGCTTTGCATCAAGCAGCGTGGACCTAAACATGGAACCGAACACAAGCACTAAACCAGAAATAAGCCTGAGGATTGCCAGGTGCAGCCCAAAAAACATCGAAAGAAAAAACAGGGGCTGGGGCTGGAGTGTTAGCACAGCAGGTAGGGTGTTTGCCCTGCAATCGACCTGGGTCCAATTCCCAGCATCCCATAAGTCCCCTGAGCACCACCAGGAGTAATTCCTGAGTGCAGAGCCAGGAGTAACCCAAAAAGAAAAAGTAAAAGGAAAAAAAAAAAAACAGATCTCAGTACCACCAAGGGCTGGAGCGATAGCCCAGTGGGTAGGGCGTTTGCTTTGTACACGGCCAACCCGGGTTCGATTCCTCCACACCTCAGAGAGCCTGGCAAGCTACCGAGAGTATTTCGCCCACACGGTAAAGCCTGGCAAGCCCCCCGTGACGTATTCAATATGCCAAACATAGTAACAACAATTCTCACAATGGAGACGTTACTGGACCCACTCGAGCAAATCAATGAACAACAGGAAGTACTGTAGCTACAGTACCACCAAGCAGTGGGCTCATGGGCATGGCACGGTGGGACACCCCAATGGGATCAATGACAACTGACCGGGGAATGGACAGAGGCCAAATAGCACAGAGCTGAGCTTCATAATGGGCAGCATGAGATGCCTCACAAAAAAGAGAACCAAGTGGGCAGAGACATAGTACAGCAGGCAGGGTGCTTACCTTATACATACTGAACAGGGTCCAAGCCCTGGCAGGTATGATCCCTGAGACCAGAGTCAGAAGTCAGCCCTGAGCACTGCCCCGTGTGGCCCCAAACAGCAAAAATAGAAAAGCAGGGAGGCACTTGCACAAGTCCAGGAGCTCAGGAGTTTGCCAAGAGGTGGAAGTTAGCACAGCTCATCCACCATGCAGACCAAGTCTGGCCCACAAGAAGGCAAGGCACAATAAAAACTTGAGCTCTAAAAACAGCTCATAGGACTGAAGATGGACAGAGACTGGCAAATGAATTCATTTAGAACTGTCTATCCAGGCAGAGGATAGACAGCCTGTGTTTGGTCATGGCAGGGAAAGGCTGAAGTTTTTGGAGTGAGAGAGATAGGCTGAGGGAGAAAGAAAACCACAAAGGTAGTAGTGAAACTGCATCAATAGGGGGCTGGAGCGATAGCACAGCGGGCAGGGCGTTTGCCTTGCACGTGGCCGACCTGGGTTCGATTCCCAGCATCCCATATGGTCCCCCAAGCACCGCCAGGAGTAATTCTTGAGTGCAGAGCCAGGAGTAACCCCTGTGCATCGCCAGGTGTGACCCAAAAAGGAAAAAATACCTGCACCAATAACTGAGGTCATAAACTGCAAATCTGAATGGAGACATGCCAGAAATGATACCAGATGGGCACAGGCTACATCCTGATCAAGGTGTATGAAATACTGCCGGGCCACCCGAAAGGTGATGGATATGGCTCATAACTCCGAAATTTAACAATAAAGCCTTTATCTAGGCCTTTGTGCAACTCAAAGAAACAGGGTTCAAAATAAAAGTATTTCCTACAGTCTCAAGAAAACCTCGCTTTTCTGACTGGCTGGCCTAAAAAGGGGCACCCGAGGCTGCTAGCAGCTTTTCCACATAGACTTGATTCACGGTAACACCATCACAATAGTCCCCTGGGCCCTGGATGGGGCTGGACTAGTCAAGCCTCAGAGGTAGGAAAATGGTGGGATCAGGAACGCTCCTGCAGCCCAGACCTCTCTGCCTCTACCTAAGACCTGGCCATGTGTTATGAGCCCTCCATATGAATGCTCAACCCCTTTCTTTCTGTCCTCACTCCATCTTTCTGCTCTTAAATGGCTAAAACAATACACAGCAAATGACAAGAGCTAAAAAGGCTACTGACCACTTCACTTTCCCAAGTAGGGTCCTTGGGCTGACTTGGGGGTGGGGGGTGGGGAAATGACAGTCTGGAAAGGGGAAAAGAAAGGAAAAAAAGAGACTTACACATTTTTAGCTCCGTCTCTACTTCCTGCTGTCGTCGCTCAATCTTTTCCCGTCTCTGTTAGGAAAGAGGGGGAACACATGAATGTAGATAGAGGTCCCCGATGACAGGGAACCACCTGAGCAATGTCAAAAAGGACAAAGGATGCCAAACTGCCATACCTTTCTTTCCATTCGCTCTTCCCGGGTTTCTGCTCGTGTTGGGGGAGGGGCATCTCGAGGGTCCTAGGAACAAGGAGAGAAAAGTGAGAGGGTGGGAGGACAGGGACACCCCAGCAAAGAATTAAGCATCTCAGTATGTACCCCAACACACAGTTCCCAGGCAGGTGGAGAAGGTTAGGTGACACAGAGTACAGTGTGGCCCACAAACTGCTATCAGTGAGTATAGAGAGAAACACATACACACAAATGACATGTATCCAGAAATTCCTACAACACCCTGATAGAAAATTTCTATGTTCGCTGCACTTAATATAAATGTCATCTGTTATGGGGCCACACAGGATGCTGCTCAGGTCTCACTCCTGGCTCTGCACTCAGGAATCACTCCAGGTTAGCTCTGGGGACCATATGTGGTGCCAGGGATCAAAGCAGAGAGTTCATTAAGTTATTGCACATCAAGGTGGTCATGGTTAAATCCTTGGGATTGCACAGTTCCTAAACAATGGAGCTGTGAGCCAGTTTCCGAGCACTTCCAGTTGTGGCCCCAAACTTAAAAAGCAACAACAAATACCTGCAACATGACCTCCATCACAGATGTAACCAGATCCAGTTCCCAAGCAATGGAGTTGACAGCCTTGCTCAGAGCAAACAAGTGGCCTCCCCTAAGGGCCACGACAGTTCCTGAAGGTCTCACAAACTGCTCATTAAAGAGTTAACTAGCAATAGCCCCAGCTGCCAAAGGATGCCACTGGCCCATAGCCATTAAATGAGTTTAACTGCCTAATAACATTTCCCAGGGCTGGCTCACACCCCACTGAAGAACCAACCTTTTGTTATCTCTACTACCCCTCCGCTTTTTTCACCTCCACCTGCCCTTTGCCCTAAGAACTTTCCTTTCCTGGCTTCTAGCCTGGTGCCAATATTTCTGAAGTTGTTCTTTGAGGCACCAAAGAGACCCGTTACTGGTCTGAAGAGATGGCAGAAATGAAGAGCCTGGGCTGCAGAAGGCCTGAGTTCATTCAGCCCCTAACTGGGACCAATACCCCTCTCACCTCTAGCATGGAGTCAACAACTTGCTCCTGAACAATACAACAAAGGGAGCCCCAGAAGAAAACAAAACAGGTGCCCAATGGGGTTGGAGATACAGTATAGTGGGTAGGGCGTTTGCCTTGCAAGCAGCTGACCCGGGTTCAATTCCCAACATCCCATATGGTCCCCCAAGCACCGCCAGGAGTAATTTCTGAGTGCAAAGCCAGGAGTAATCCCTGTGCATTGCCAGGTGTTACCCAAAAAGGAGAACAAAAAAAAAAGGTGCCCGAGCAATAGTACAGCAATTAAGGCTCTTGTCTTGCATGACGGCATACCATATGGTCCTCTGAGCACAGCCAAGAGTAATTTCTGAGTGCACAGCCAGGAGTAACCCCTGCGTACAACTTGATGTGACCCAAAACAAAGAGAGGGGCTAAAGTGATAGCACAGTGGGTAGGGAGTTTGCCTTGCATGCAACAGACCGGGTTCGATTCCCAACATCCCATATGGTCCCCTGAGCACCGTCAGGAGTAACTCCTGAGTGTAGAGGTAGGAGGAACCCCTGAGCATCAAAAAAAGTGGGGGGAAAAAAGAAAAAGAAAAGAGAAAACGAAGAAGTATGCGTTATCCCGTTCTTATGCATGGATTAACATACTCCAAAGGCTGTGTGGATCTCTGCTCACTCTGCTAATGTGAACACTCTAAAGCAGTGCTAACCTTTGAGGAATACTGTGAAACACCAAAATGCTGAGAACACTGACATTTTGTTGATCACTTGGAGGGTTAAGACCCATAACATACACGCTGCACCTCGTTAGGTGCACTTCCAGTTGTGGCCCCAACCCCACCACCATAGCAAAGAAATGCTGTTATCACCTGCTAGAGACCAAATAACTAAGTTTATGACAGAATTTTGCCTCTAAGTCCACAAAAGCTGTCAGGTCGATGCCATTTAAGAAAACAGGGCCAGAAATAGTAACGCCACCACCCCTTGCCCCATCTAATCTGAGAATGCCCAGGCTGGAACCCCCAATCCCACACCCACTCGGGGAACTCACCTCGAACTCTCGGATATAAGGGGCGATGCCACAGTACGGCTGATTGTGGTGTTTCTCATGCGGCAGCTTCTCCAGGGGGGGCAGGTATGGGATAGGGTCCCGGGGGGCAAAGAGGGCCAGCAGATTGGGTGGTAGGAACTGGGTCATGTTGCCAAATCTGAGAGGAAAAAATTGGACATCACCTTATTGTCGGGTAGGCAGACCCCTATGTTGGTCATCACCGAACTCCCCAGAAAAGACGGCACACTGGGCCATGGTTTTGGGACTTAAAAGGATCCTATCGAGGCCCTAAGGTGAGCTGTGTCACAAGAGAAGGCGAGTCCTCGAGGAAAAGTGGGGCGGGTGAGCGTGGACAAGGCCGGAGAGAACGGGAACAAAGCCAGAAAACCGCATTTCTAAGGAGTCGCGTCTCCAACGTCCGCAGCAAAATGTTGGGGGCGCTGAGAGCCTGGGGGCAGGGCGGCTCTTCGAGAATAGAGGATTCTGCAGGGGAGGAGCCGGCGGAGACAGCTAGCGGTCCCCCACCTAGGACAGGGCCGAGGGTCGCTCAAGTTTCCACAGGTTAAGTCAAAAGTGCGGAGGCAGGTCCCTCTAACTGGGGGCTTGTGGGTAATAACGCGAATCCCCAAAGGCGAACGGCATTGTGGGTAAGGGTCCGGGGCTCGGTGAAGGCAGGAAAAAAAAAGCAACGCCCCGCAAAGGCCTGTGGGTAGGGGCCCGGGAGGGGGAAGGGGCGAGGGCAGCTGGAAATGGGCCTGAAGGACTCTGGATATGGGGTGCAGAAAGGGGCTGAGAGGCGGGCGCGGGAACCCCGCGGGAACAGGGCACCGGTGGCGGGGAAGGGGTCGAGGCCCACCGCAGGGGGTTGTGGGTAGCGGTCCCGCACTCGCCAAGGCCACTAAATCTCACTCACCCGCCGCGCGGCGCCCTGCTCGGCCTGGCGACGGTCCGAGGGCTCGCGGCAGTCGCGGCGGCCCCTCAGCAGCAAGGATTCCCGCTCTGGCTTCGACTCCGGCGGCACCCGCGTCCGTCCGCCAACGTCGCCCACCCAGCGCGCGCAGCAGGCCGCTGCTCACGAGCCCGCGCGGCCTCAGCTCGCGTCAGGGGCAAAGGGTAGGCCCGGTCGCAAATCCCTCCGCCGCCGCACTGCGCACGCGCCGCGCGAGTCGCTCACAGCCTACAGCTCCCGAACCCGGCGCCGCAGAAGGCACGGCGCAGGCGCGAGGTCACCACCCCGCCTCCGGGCACCTTAAAACTTCAGCCGCCGCGAGCTGAAGCTCGTACTGCGCACGCGCACTCCTCGACTCCGCTGCGGGGGTGGGACCTCCTCGAGCGCTCGGTTCCAACCGCCTTCAGTCGGGCAGTGTCTTCCAGACGCTCCGCCCCTCGTAAGACACTTCCCGAATCTAGTGCGCACGCGCATATTGTCTTCACGTTACTATATCCTGCCGCTGCCTGCAAAAGAGTCCCTAAGTGAAAAGTATGGTCACTTTGCTAGCCTAGCTACTGTTCCCTAGCTACTGTTCACCCGGTGTCCAGGGCTTGCGAGCCGCTTTTTGTTGCTTTTTTTGGGGGGAGGGGGTAATACCCAGAGATTCCCAGAGCTACTCCCAGCTCGGCACTGGGGTGGGATGGGGGGGTGTTGTCACTCCTGACTGCTGCGTGGAGAATCATGCGGTACGGAGGCACGGGGAGAGGGGTAAGGGGGCGCTGAGGCAGGATGTCAGAGCTGGCCTCCAGCTTGCAAGGTGTTACACCCTAGCCTGTTGAGCTAGCTATCCGGCCCCACTTTCTTGGGCTATAGCGCGAGACCTAAGCAAAGCAAAGTCTCCTCTTGGGAGTTTATGTTGTACTGGGTGAGGGGGAGGGCTAATAATAAACAGGCCTTCACAATAAAAATATAAATACGGCAGAGTAAGGGAATGGGCAGCGTGCAGGGCTGATTTAGAAAGGCTGACAAAAAATAAAAAAGAAAAAGTGGGGGGTGGGGAAAAAAAAGAAAGGCTGACAATGGAAGGCCCTTGTGAAGAGATGACATTGAACAGCATGCAACCCCCCCTCCACACACACACACACACACACACACACACACACACACACATCCCAAGTTTAACATAAGTGCAAAGGCTCTGGGCTGCCAGAGAGGCCAAAACCTGCAGTTTGGCCAAGACAGCAAGAGGCTGAACACTTTATTCAAGGTGCATAGACCTGTAAGGATTTCCTATTGCACATAAGTTTTGTGGAAGGATTAAACTGCTAGATTAATGTTTACAGGCATTATTACCAAATTTATAGGAAACTGGCTGGAGATAGCACAGGGATTAAAGACCCTTGCCTTGCATGCCCTGGTTTGATCTTTATCACAGCATATGGTCTCCGGATCATGCCAGGACTGACCCTCAGCATACATGGATGTGGCCCAAAAACAAAAAATTTAAGTGACAGGGCTGGAGCAATAGCACAGCAGGTAGGGCATTTGCCTTGCACACGGCGACCCAGATTTGATTCCCAGCATTTCATATGGTCCCCCGAGCACCGCCAGGAGTAATTCCTGAGTACAGAGCCAGGAGTAACCCCTGTGCATCGCCGGGTGTGACCCCCCAAAAAATTAAGTGATAATCTGGGGATGTTGCTCGGTGGTGAGCACTTGCCTTGCAGAGATTAGGCCTTGGGTTCAATTCCCAATACCAGAAAATGTATGACTCTTATCATGTAGTATTTTTCGTTTGTTTGGGGGCTACTCCTGAATGTGTTCAGGGGTCACTCATGGTAGCGATCAGGGGATGGTATGTGGTAACTAGGATGGAATCTGATGCTCCACCACATGCAAGGCAAGCACCTTCCCAGCTGTCCTTTCAAGTGCTGCCCCCAAACAAAAACAACAATAAAACCCCAACAAAATAATAACAAAGGTTAGAGAGGTGGAAGAAATTAAAACAATTTTCAAGATGAAAAGTGAAGAATCAAGATACTGTTATATGGGAATGAGGTCAAAGAAAGTACACGCCAGACTGTAATCCTTTCCTTTTTGCTGCTGTAATGAATTGTAATAAAATTAACATCTTCAAACAATGCACATTTAGGGACTGGACTGAGATCTCCCCAAACTGAGTTCAATACCTGGTGCTGCATGGTCCCCCAAGCCATCACTGGGAGTGACCCCCAAGCACACAGCCAGGATTAGCCTAAACCACCAGATGTAGTTTCCTGCAAACGTACCTATATTATCATGTAGTTCAGAAGACCGGTAGTCCTAGGGCTGTGCTGCTCCTGGAATTTCTAGGGTTGAGTCCCTTTTCTTGTTTTTTTCCAACTACTAGTAGCATTGGCACTTCTTAGCCGGTAGCCCTTTCTCCACCTTCAAAGCTGGCAATGCGAGGGGGCTGGAGTGATGATATAGCGAGTAGGTTCTGGATCCTCAGCATCCCATATGGTACCTTGAGCCCCACCAGGAGAAATTCTGAAAACAGAGCCAGGAGTAAGCTCTGAGCACTGCCGGGTATGACCCAAAGAACAACAAAAAGAGCAGGCAACTTGACAGTCTGTCTCCTCTCTGATCTTGTTTATCATCTATGAGCCTGACCTTGCTCTTAGAAAGACCCTTATCTCTTCAAATCAAGAGCCTGAACTCAATCCATCTACAGAGTCCCTTTTGCCATAGAAAATAACAGCAGAGCTTCAGACCTATTTGCACTTCGCTTACATAGATTTTTTTTTTTGTTGGCTGGAGAGATAGCAGAGTGGGTAAGGCACTCACCATGCAAATGCCTGATCTGGGTTCAATCCCAGGCACCACATAGGGCCAGCAGTAATCTCTAAGGATGGAGCTAAGAGTAAGCCCTGGACATAGCCTGTTGTGGACCCCAAACCAAAAAAAAAATGATACAAAGGACCTGAGCAATAGTACAGCATATAGGGCATTTGCCTTGCATGCTGTGGACCTGGATTCCAATCCCTAACACCCCATAATGTTCCCTGAGCTCACCGGGAGTGATCCCTTAGTACAGAGCTAAGATAAGTTCTGAACACTGCCAGGTGTGGCCCACAAACAAAAGATACAAAATTGGGGGTGAGAGCGATAATATAGCAGGGAAGGCATTTGTCTTGCACACTGATATACTGCTGACCAAAGTTCGATCCCTAGTATCCAAGATTAATTTCTAAGTGCAGAGCCAGGAGTAAACCCTGAGCATCATTGGGTGTGACCCAAAAAGCTGGAAAAAAAATTAAGTTGAGGGACTGGAGACAGTTCAGGAGGTAATGCATTTATTTTGCATGCAGGCAGCTGGGTTCAATTCCTGGTACCACATATGGTCCCCTGAGCACCTGCAGGAGTTACTCCAGGGCACAGAGCCAGGAATAGCTCCTGAGTACTGCTGGGTTTGGCTCAAACAGTCCCCCTCCCCCCCCAAAAAAGAAACTTTAGTTGATGGGAAAAAGCACATGGGGAATGGGTTGTGAACAGAGTTTGGAGTGAGAGACAATGGCAGGGACCAGAAGGGTGAGGGTGTGGGCAGAGGGTGATGATAAGGGACCTGGGTTTATTGGAGCATAACTAAATGTGTAGTTGATTGTGGCACAAGGTGCTGAAACCTCTGAATCAATGAAAACTTTTTTGAGTCACGGACATTAAATGGGTGAATTTTCAGTTGTATGGGAGATTGGGGAGGGAGGGATTAGATTGATGAGAACAAAGGGCTCTGGTTACCCAGAGGTCACATTCTGATGATCCATGACTGGTTATTTGTGTTTTGTTTAGTTTTTGATAGAGGGGGTGGGGGCGTTGTTGGCTACAGGTGGGGGATTTGGACCAAACTGCTTTGTGCTCAGGAGTGACGCCTAGTGGTGCTTCGGAGACCATATGCGCTCCCAGGAATCTGCATCAGCCACAAGCAAAGCAACGAGCTTCTGTTGTTCAGTTTCATGTTGTTTGGGGGCCGGGCCAGCAGTGCTCGGGGCTTATTCCTGGCTTTGCGCTCAGGGATCACTCACTCCTGGTCTGGGGCTCTGGTCCTGGGGGAACCATATGGAGTGCTAGGGATAGAAGGCCAGGTGGCCACGTGCAAAACAAGCGCCCCACCCACTGAACTATGGCTCCAGCCCTCTCTCTGGTCTTTAAGGAGAGAACCAGGCAACAGAGAAGGAGACCAGAGATGTAAGGTAGAGATCCGGAGGCAGAGAGGGCTACAGAGCATGAAAGGTTTACAGCACTTGGGGCCAGAGAGAAGTGTAGCAGGGAGGGCACTTGCCTGGCATGCGGGCAACACAAGTTCGATCCCCAGCATCCCGTGGTCCCCTGAACACTGTAGCACTGTAGCACTGTCCTCCCGTTGTTCATCGGTTTGCTCGAGCAGGCACCAGTAACCTCTCCATTGTGAGACTTTTTGTTACTGTTTTTGGCATATCTAATACACCACGGGGAGCTTGCCAGGCTCTGCCATGTGGGCGGTATACTCTTGGTAGCTTGCCGGGCTCTCCGAGAGGGACGGAGGAATCGAACCCGGGTCAGCTGTGTGCGACGCAAACGCCCCTTAAAACATAGGCTCAAAAATATTATAAAGGTAAAGGCCCTCCTGTTGATCATCGATTTGCTCGAGCGGGCCCAGTAACGTCTCCATTGGAGACTTTGTTGTTACTGTGTCTGGCATATCGAATACTCTTGGTAGCTTGCCGGGCTCTCTGAGAGGGGCGAGGAATCGAACTCGGGTCGGCCATGTTGGCCGCTTGTAAGGCGAACGCCCTACCCGCTGTGCTATCGCTCCAGCCCCAAATAGCATAGCGGTAGGGCGTTTGCCTTACAAGCGGCCAACATGGCCAACCCGAGTTCGATTCCTCGCCCCTCTCGGAGAGCCCGGCAAGCTACCAAGAGTATTCGATATGCCAGACACAGTAACAACAAAGTCTCCAATGGAGACGTTACTGGGTCCGCTCGAGCAAAAATATTATAACAATGGAAAATTAAACAGAAGTACACATGCAAAAGCCTGGCAAGCTACCCGTGAGGTGTCAATATGCCAAACACAGTAACAAGTCTCACGATGGAGACGTTACTGGGCCCGCTCGAGCAAATCGATGAACAACGGGAGGACAACGCTACACATGCAGTTAAAACTCAGCGTAATTAAGTGACCAAGAACAT